TAAACTTATAAACACTGCTAGAACTATGAACTCAAAAGTTATGCTGTTTTTAAATAATATGACGTATTATGCTTTTATAAAAATAAAGGTAGGTGTTTATTAACTTGACTATAAAAGAAATATCGCCTATAAAATTATAATAATTAATAAATTAATTGAAATCAAAAAATAAACCTTACAATAATTTGATATTGACAATCTAGATAAACAAATATACCTAAAATAAGAAAATACTTTTGATAAATTATTTCAATAAGAATTACGCTTTTGCTTTATTAAATTAGAAGTATCTTTAACTGTCTAAGTAAAACTAAATTAAATGATTTCAACATAGAATTTATATTTTTTTATGCCATTAACTTTCTCTTAAGCTGATTTTATTAATAATTATTTTCATAAATATAACAAAAGTGGTTTTATATCATTTTTCCAACTATTTTATAGAGAAGAATTTATCACCTCAGTATCTATCCTCCAAGTATTTTATCCTCAATTATTAATGAGCTAGCTCTTTATTTTTAACCACTTATTAAATAAATTTCAACTTAAAAATATTAGCTCAATAATTTGCCAATGGCTTTTTCATTCATAAATATATACATTTATTATACTTTACAATAACTTATTATTCTACTAAATTTATTAAAATATTCTCAATTTATACATTTATGATAAATACAGTTTTTTTTTTACACAAAATATTTAGAAACTTCTAAAATTTTTTTCCCCCGATTTTGGATTATTTTAGCTGAATTCATTTGTCATACAAATTTTGCTACTAGACTTATTTTAAAGGATTCAAAGTAATTAAAAATAGATTTATTTGAACTCATTTAAAATGACATAATTTTAATTTTTATAAAACTGCTTGAGAACTATCTTTATTTATCAAAATTAAATAAATTAAAACTTTATAGATATTCATATGATAATATTTAGTGATATTATATTTAAAAAATTAGTAACTTTACATTTTGCTATGCTTTTTTTCGTGATTATTGATAAATTAATAGTTGTTATTGCTATGATTAATTATTTTAAATTTGGTTATATAAATATTTAGATTTTTAATATAAAAAAATATTAAAACACTTTTGTCTAATTCTATAAAATGGATTATTGAAATCCAAAAAGAAATATTGGTATTTATATAAATTTTTTTAATTTTCGTTTTAAGAGAAATAATCAAATAATATTTACTGTTTTTTAGAAACTTCTTTAGACTATTTTTTATATTCATTTATATCTTAATTTATTTTTTTTAATTATTTTATAGATATAAATGCTAACTATTACCATATTTATTGTTAAATCTTTTATATGTTTCTCTGAACTGTATATAAATATAAAATTATAAAGTAGCTGTAAACTAGAAATTTAAATTTAATCATTTCTTTCTTAAAAATATAGTCTAAAAATAAATAATGGTTTGTTTAAATCATTATAAAAAATAAATATATTTAAACAATTTGAAGGGTTTTATAATGCTATTTTTATTAAAGTTTATGGGTATTCTCTTTACAAATTAGTTTTATTTTTAATAATATAAAATAAATTTATAGAAAATATAAATATACTTAATGAGCTTGCTTAATACAATTTATGATTTATAATGCAAAAGTACTTAAACATAAGAAATAATAAAAAAATGTTATTAGAATACAATAAGTTCAACTTGAGATTAAAACCTATTTAAATATATCAAAATTGACTTAAAAGTATATAAAATAGCAAAAAAATTACAAAATAGATAGAAATTTTATCTTTAACTATAATCGCTTTAAAATATTTTTAATTTTTTAGAATAAATTAAAAAGTTCATTTTGAACCATATTTTGTAATTAATTAAAAAATTAAGAAATAGAAATATTATTTAGTAATAAAAAACATAAATCATATATAAATATTGTAGATCTTCGTAAACTAAGTGATAAATATATTATTGAGCTTTTTTTAGAAATTACTGTTACTTTTAGATTTTTGGATTTTTAATATAAAATGGGTCTTTGTTTTCTATTTACTTTAACCATAATTTTAAATTCCTTATTTTGCCTACCAAATAATCTATTTTTCACATTTATCTAAAATAATAAAAACCAGCTTTACATTAAAGGCATTTATCTTTATTACACATTAAACAGTATTATTGTTTACATGGTTCACATTATTTATCATTTAAAAATGTACCTTATGGACAATTTTTAAAGCACTTGTTAACAGATTTATCTAAATAGAATGATTCATTACAACTTTTACATTCATTTTAATTACACTCTTTGCAATTTTCAAATTTATTATTGCATAAATCACAAGCACTGCTCTAATAATTATAAAATTAATTTTATTCACATTTTACTTCTTCACATTTTTATTGATTTAATTTATAACCACTCTCACATTCCTCACATTTTTCAGTAGACTCTGAACAAACTTTACAATTTTCAATTAAGCACTTTTAGCACTAATTATTATTTGAAATGAGTTATTCTTTCTTGCAAGAAAAGCATTGATTATTATGTAATTGATAGTCTGTATTGCATTTTATACAACTTGAATTTGAAGAACATTAAGAACAATTAGGAATAGAGCTTGAACATTTTACACATTCATTTTAGCTTTTTAAATAACTTTCTTTATCACACACACACTTTCCATTCTCTAAAATAAAAGAATTAGAACATTTTTTACATTATTTATTTGATTCACACTCTAAACAATTTTATAATTCATCACTACACTTTCTGCATTTATGTAAATCATCTAAATAACTTTAGTTATCACATTTTGTTTCTTCAATACATTTCTAATTTTAATTTAACCAGTAACCGTTTTTACACTTTAAGCATACACTTTAATCATTTTAATTACACTCCAAACAGTTTTCATCACATAGATCCTAAGTACAGAAAACAGTAAAACCTGAGATACCAAAATAAGGGTACTTATTTTTCTTATTAAATCCTGTGTTCTCCTTATCCTTCATACTATTATTATTATTAATTATTTTTACATTGATATTCTAAATTTATCCTTTTGTTTTATCTATAGTATATGTTTTAGAGTACTTGTAAGTTCTTTCTTCTTTTGTTTTATCACCACACAACTAATTCTTTTCATATTATTATTTAGATAGTAAAATATTTTCTGATTAATCATTTAATTAAAGTGCAAAAGTATCTAATTCCATATCAGATATAAAATCTACAATTGTAAAACTAAATAAAAATATGACAGTTTTACAGTTATTTGAAATAATTTCAAATTCTATTTAGCTATTAAACTTATTAGCTAAGAATCCTCCTAAAAATTTCTTGTTGCCACATTTATTAGTAACCCTTTTTAATTCATTTTAATTTAGAAAGTTGCTTGTCTTAATATTTAAAGCATTTACTTCTAGATCAGAAAAATAATTATTATAAAATGCTTCAACTATTCCAATAGCTTTTAATAAAAATAAAATACATTAAAATTGTTTGTAAATAAATTTAAATTTAAAATTGATACCTTTTAACTATCCGGTTTGAATATATTATTTATCAATTTAGCAGATTTTAGAATCTTATGAGTAGGTGTAACCTATAGGACAACTAATAACACATTCTCCATTAAAAATGTATTGATATTTTATATTACATTAAATACAAGATCCGTTATCAAACTTTTCACAATTCTATGAATAGATACAAACCTTTTATATTTAGTCATAAGCAAAAAATTATTTTGATTCATCGCATGTGTCTACACATTAACCATCTTAAAAGTAAAGATTACAGTCTGAACATTTTCCATTTATTGGACTATTTTTAGAACATTTGGTGCATTAGCTTTTTTCTGGTCCACTACATTCTAAGCAAGATGGATGACAGGGCAAGATATTTATATTTAAGTTTTAAATACCAACAAATACTTTTTCTTCTAAATCAATTGAAATCTCAATTTTCTCATCCTTGAAAGGAGTAAATAAGAACTTACCTAATTTATTTCTAAAAATTAACTAAAAATAAAATTTTTAATATTTTACTTAATGTTAATTCATCAGAATCATTAAGCGAAGGTGGTATTGATTTATCATTACTGCATTTAATCATATGAATAGATTCATCCTCATAAACAATTTCATATTTTTATTCATTTATAAATAAATTGAAATTTTTTTTCACATTAAATAATAAAAAATCAATATTTATTTCTAGTTTAAAATGAGGAGGAATTTGTTTATTTGATTAAAAAAAGATAATCTTTTATTAAATAGGTTCTTTATTTATCCATTACACTTAATTATATTCATAATCTACTGAATCTACACATTTAAATTATTTTAGCTAGTCATTTGTGTATTCTTCAACTAAAATTATATTTCTTTCTTTTAGATATTTAATAATAAATATTATAAAATATTTGTTTTTAAAATAATTTTACCCTAATAGGCTTATTCTTAGAAGGTTTTTCTGATATTAATTAAAAATAGTAAAATTATCATCCTCATTTTTACTTTTTCTAACACAAATTTACAAATATTATGAATAGAAAAAATATTTATAAAAACAATATGTTTATTGAAGAATGTAAATTTAGTAAAAATATCACTCTATCAATATATTTTATTTTTTTGTAGTCTTTAATTAATACTTTTATCAAAATCATGTGCTTACAATATTTTGCTAGTACTATTTACATATATAAAATATTAATTTTTTTGATATTTATTAAAAAAAATTGATACTTATTATTAATTTTTTGTTAACAAAGAAATGTAATTTTAAAATTGTAAAAATGCTTAACTTTTAAAAACATTACAATTTTATTAATGAAATTAGGTAAAAGAAAAACAAATTACTCTAAAATTTTTTTATTTTTTTAGTATTTTTTTTTTTTAATTTCTTGAAATAATTTAATTAATTATTAATCTTTATTTTCATAGGAATTTATTTCTTTTTATTTACTTTATATAGCTTTTTTAATATAAATTTTTAATTAGTTAAAATATTTTTTCGATTATTTCATCTTTTTGATAAAGATGTATTCATCACCCTAGTAATATCTGATCTTATTCTTCTAAATTCTCCTGGAGTATTTTATCTCTTAGCATTTTAACTAAACTCTCCATCTTTTTTATAGGATTATTATAAATATTTTTTAAAAACTAAATAATCAAGAAATAATTAAAATACCTCCTATTGGCAAACTTGTTGCATTATCTACAGATTATCTTTAAGAAACATTTTTTAAGTAAGTTTCTAACCCAACTGTTGAAGAAATTCCAACTGAGAAATTTTTAGTCCTGTCTCTTTGTAAATTTTATTTGGCCTCTTGTAAACCTGTGTTTTTAATTGGAACCCAAGATCTTTAATAAGTAGTGTTATATTTAGGGTCTTACTCTATTATTTTTAAATTCAAATATGATTTCAAATTTTCAAAAAATGATTAATACCTTCTTAAAATTTTTCTCCAGTTTATAATGAGAGCAATCTCTTTCTTTATTAATCAGGAGGTTTGCTAGCCTAAATACTTAAGCCAGCTGGTTAATTTTATTCTTTTTATTACTTCGATTACATGTCATTAGGTGTTTACTTTAAGGGTCTAGAAAAAGATTATTAGTAGCTTGTCATATCCAAACTTATTTTAAATATACATAAAATTACTCATTAAATTTGATTTTAAAATAATAATTAAATAATTTATATTTACAATCTACTATGCATTTCATCATGTTTACGTAAAGTAGATCCAAAATCTCCTATATTTTGCTTTGCAGTTCTTTCTTTTTCAAGCTACTTGATGTTATGTCTTCCTACTAAGTGGTAGCTATTACTTTTATGAGTCATCATAGTGATTGTGTTAATTTCAGGCATATCTTTCTTTTCTTGAATTGTCTTTGTAATATTTCTACAATCTCCATTTTCAAAATAATTATTCAACAGTTTTTTATCAAAAAATGTTTAGTTTGTGGTTCTAAATTCTTTCTTTAATAGATAAAATGAATTGATTATAATATAATGTTTGAGTTAAAATTTACATAGTTATCATTAGGAATATTCTCTTTAGTTTGCCAGGCAGAGTTTCTTTCCAATCTTCTTAGAGGTAACAAAGTACCATTGTCAACATAAGTGCTAATAGCATTATCAGTTTCTCTTAACTTTTTAAAAGTTTAAAATTTAGTTAGTTTGAAACTAAGTAAAAGCTAAATTTCACCTTTTTTAATGTTATATCTCTGAATGGTTATTTAGGAGCAAGTCTCTCTTCCATCCAATTACCTAAAAATCAAAAATTTATTTACTACTTTCATTAATTATGACTTGTATTCATAAAATGTAAAATTTTATTTAGCAATTTTATCTATTTACCCATGAGTGTATTTTAGCTAAAACCGCCGCAAGCTTATTATGAATACTAATTATATCTGTTCATTCAAGTTTTTTGATTAACTGAAAAATATTTTATTAATTCTAAAGGAAAAATCTTTTTCTTTGAAACAATTTGTTTTTAGAGTATCAAAAACTAATTTATATTTTTGAATTTATTTAATTCAAACAAAATTTTGTAAAAACTAGTTGTGAGTGTTAATAATAAAATCTGTTGAATGGCTAATTAAAATTGAGTTATTAATAAATCATTGTTTTTCAACAGAAAATAATATAAACAAATAAAATATCCATAAGATATTACAACTGAAAGAAAATAAATTAAATAGATGTGTTGCTTAGATATTTGCTTATAGTTAGAATATATAGAAACTTATAATAAATAAATAGATTATGAAAAAGTAAGAAAATATTAATTAAAATTATTTGAGAGCTATAAAACCTTTTAAATATCATTTTTAGTTATTAAATATGAGTTTTTGCTAGATCAAAGACAAATAAACTTTTAATTTATGATAATATCATAGATAATTTATAATATTAATGATATTTCTTAATGTAAGTTTTAAAAAATGTATGTTACTATTAAAATAATTTAGATTTTCAATCTAAAGTTTTATTTTAAGCTTAAAGCTTTTATTAAATTTAATTGAAAATTTGATAAAAGAATATTTATAATAGATAAAAAAATATATATAATAGATAAAATTTTGAAAAAAAGTGCAGTAAATTAAATGGAATTCATGGTTTTTGAGAGAAGCTGTAAAACACATTTAAAAACGAATTAAGGACATTTATATTAATTCAAGAAAGCATTTCTATTAATTCTTATTTTCTTTCGATCATAGATTTTTGTTGCTCAAATTCGTTTAATAAATAGTTTTCAAAAGCAATCAAAAATTCAGGTTCTTTTAACTTTCTAGTGAAGAATTCAGCAAGTCTGACTTCAGCAGATTAAACAATTTATTAATTTGTAGCAGTTGAAGGAGCAGAACTTAAAATCATTTCTATTTCTTAAGACATTTCAGCTAAGATCAAAATATCTTTGTTAATTTTTGGGATAATCTAAGTTTTTTATGGGAATCTCTCAGGTGTTCTTATTTTATGATGAGAGTACATAGAATCTTTAAATTCGTAAAAGGTACCAATTTAGTCGATCAAACTGTTCATAAAAATAAAATTTTAACAATCTTAGATGATTATGTTTAATTATTTAATACCCATTTTTAAGAGCTTGTTATGCAGTAAATGTTTAACCACTTAAAATTTCCTTTTTAGCTTGTTCCCTAGATATTCCCTATTATAATTTTAATTTCACAATTAGTATTAGAATAAACTCAAATATTTACTTTGTTTTCAAAGTGCTTTCCTCTTTTTTGTAAAATAAGATTTTAAATTGATTCTAAAACTTCTTGGTTTGATTATTCAGCCAACTGAATATCAGAAGGAGTAGGCTTTCTTGAAGGTAAGAAAGCAGGGGAAGAGCTTGCTTTAGGTATAATAAATTATTTAATTAAATATAAAGCTTGTAAGATATGTATTATTACTGTAAATATCGTATTTGATTCCAAGTCTTTCAAAGAGCTTTTCAAAGCTGATATAGTTAATTCTGCTATTTATACCTTAATAATTTATAGTTATGTATTTAGAAATAATGCTTAAATCCTTTGTAATTCATATTTTAATTATAACACTTCATCAAATTTGAATTATTAATGCGATTAAATTCAATTACTTCCTATGATGCTGAATGGATCTAATTATTATTTTTAACAAATAAAATTATTATATTATTTTTTCCATTAATATTCTTTTACTTGCAGTAACTGTTTCACCTAAGCTCAATAATAAGTAAGAATCTCCTAAAGCTTAATCTTCAGAAAATGTGTATAATGGTGCTCTTTATATGGATAAAATGTTAAAATTTAAACTGGATTCTTGAATAAAAAAGCAACCTCAATTTTTCGCTAGCTTATCTAAGAGCTTCGTAAAATGTGATGACTCTGGGAGTATCTCTAGATTCTTTATTTATAAATGAAAATTTTATTTGCATATTGAATTGCGAGCTTATGATAAGCATAAAACTTAATGATATCACTTATTATCAACAAATAACCAACATACTTTAAAATGAAGATATAGACAAAGCAAAAACCTATCCTTCCTTGTGTCTCATAGCTCTCAAGTACTATAGGTTATCTTCTAATCTATGAATTAAATTAAAAAATTTATAGCATAAACGAGATAAATTATAGCGTATGAGTAATTTCAATAAGTATTTGAATAATTCGAGCATCTAAATATGCTCTTCTGCTTCTAAAATTTTACACCTAACTACTTAATGAGTTTGATATTCTGAAATGCCAAATAGTAGGACTATTCTTGCTAAAGAAATTGCTAACTTATCTGATTGCTCCTGACATAACTAAAATAAATTATCTTGAAAGTTCTCTATTTTATTGCAAAAAATATCTTTTTTGATATATTTATAAATATCAAATCAAACGAAATAAATAAATTAACAAACATCAAAAAAGCATGCATTGTTTATTTTGATAGATAAACACACAAATAAATAAATATCTTCTCTCTCAACCCTTCAAAAATAATGATCAAGTAATAATCTTAAGTATTTTTTACAATATGCACTTCGTTTTAAAAGAAATATAAAATATTCATTAAAAAAATAGATTTTATTTTTTTTTATAAAATTTATTTGTATTTTTAAATAAAATTATTAAAGTTGATAGAATATTTAACATAAAATAAAGTAAAGTTAACTAATTTTAATATTTTTTTAAAATAAAAATAAGCTTTATTTATTTTTTTCAGTATCTTTTTAAATTTTTATGAAACAAGAAACTTTCAATTTTTAAAAATTAAATAATTTTAAAAATTTTATTTTATGTTTTTATTATTTGTTTTAATTCAAATTATATTAATATTGAGTTTAATTTATGACATATTTTTTTTTTCATTAAATAGATTTAAATCCTTTAAGAAGTAAGGAAATAAATAAATAATTTATTAACGAATGATTTTAATTTATTATTTAAGTATTTTTTGATTTAATTAATTAATATTGATATATTAATACATTTATTTATTTTAAAAGTTGGGAATACTTTCGTTTATATTTGAAGGGTATTAATTTATTTGATGTTAATTTTAAGATAATTTTAATAATACATATTACAAATAATATTTAAAATTTAGTTAAAAACTTTGATTTAAATTATATTTAAAACGCTTAACTAATATTATTAAATTTATGATATTAATTTATACTTTGTAGACCAAATGCTTTTTTTAATTAATAAAATTAACTAAATACTTTTTATATAGAAAAATGTGATAAAAATATCAAATTGGAAATTTATTTTTTGTTGTTGGATTTAATTAATTAAAAAGTATGAATTCAATAATTCTATTTACTTTTTATATTTTTAAAAAAATCGTAGTGAATATGTGCTTCTTGAAATGTTTGTTAAAAAACTTAATTTTACTTTCTTAAAAACCTGGTTGGATAGAGTGAGAAAAAAAGATAAGAAATAAAATAAAGTATTGGCTGCGGATGAAAAATACAAGATAAGATTTGTGATTTACATTAGGTGGTATATTATATTTTTGTTTGAATTGTGCAATCTACCTTGTAAGAAAATAAATAGGTCTTTAAGCATTGGTAATTATTGATTTAGTTAGATTTTATGGTATATATAATTGTTTTAGCAAAACAATTAACAATATTTATTATTAAACTCTAATAAATATTACATATTCAATCAAATCAGTTTATATCTAATTAAGCAAAACAAACTAGTTTAGCTCATTTACTTATTCAGCATCAAGAATATATTATTGAGCTTATTTTAAACTTATCAAATATACTTAGATAGTATTTTATCCCAAATATTTAGGGTCATTTTATCATTCAACATTCAAGAAATATATTGATTGAGCATTAATTTAGATTATATCTCAAATGAATAACTCTTCACCTATAAGAGTAAATAGCTACCTCTAAAGTAACAATTAAGCATGGTAATTAGCTTAATAGATATGCCAATCGGCAACGAAGTCAAATTAATAAAATACAAGTTCAATAGAAAGACCACATTCATAAATTTAAGGTTAGGCTTCTTAATAAATATAGTTAAATGGTTATAATTTTTAAGGCCACACCAGCATTATTTCGAATGGCAACTATTAGCATCAACTGCATCATTAAAAAGTAGCAATTAGCGAATCGCCATAAAGACCTTAATAGCAAATAATAAATAATCAAATTATAAAATTAGAGGCATTGGGAGTGCAAAAAGATAATCCGAATTAGATATTTTCATTTCATCACTAAAATGGATATTTTAAAAAGAAAAACTATTCCGCAGCAGTAAAGAGGAATCTTTCTTAGCAAGTATCTTAGCAATTATTTAACTGCGAATTAAAAGGCATCAATCCTTAACATAATATTTTCTGTGATCAAAATAAAGGATCACATTTAAGATCCAGCTCCAACCACGTTAACCCATATATTTAGTAAAAGATAAATGGGTTTTAGTAAAGTGTTTTACAAAATAAAACTTTGTACTATGGCTCAAATGCAAGCAATTCCCTTTTATCATCATAACCCTAAAAAATAGATATATTCGCTCGTTCAACTTACTACGTTAGACCTTTATAAGAGCTAGTACAGCTCAACTCAGGGAAAAGAATTTTGGATCCTTAAAGCTATGCAAATGCTGAAAATATAAATTAACTTGAGTAACCTGAAAAGGCTTTAATTTAAGAAATTGAATGCAACTAGCAAGAAACTAATACAAGTTTAAATATTGATGATTCAAGTAAACACAATTAGAGAAATCTTAGTATAAATGAAGGGAAAATTCAAAAAGAGATTATTGGATTACAAAATTAGTCATTTGGAATACATTGCGATAATCCAAACAAAAGGTTGTCAGATAGTATTACAATATAAGCTCCTTTCAGTAGTCACAATTATGATTTCCAATAAGAGGATTATAAACTATAGAGAGTAACTCTTAACCCAGTATATAAAACAGAATAAAATATAGAAAGATTGGAACCTATTGAAAATGGAGATTAGTTCACTCCTTAAAGCAGCAATTTGGAATAAAAAAAATCAAAAAAAATACAAAACTTTCCTGATTAGATGCAATTTAGTGAAACCAAAAGGTAAATAAAACAAGCTGAACTATTTAGGATATCTTCGCCACTCAAATACATAAAATCAAATGCATAGTTCAAATTAAGATCAATTTCATAGTAAGATCCAGCTTTAAAAAATGTATTATAAGTACAGGAAAGCCCTATCAAGCAAATTTATTAAGAAAGAGAGTAAAAATTATAAATTTTACATTAAAATTTGATTGAAAATAAAATTTTATTTTTAAAATTAAAAAAAAAATAGAGTTATTGTAAAATAAAGTATCACAAATACGAATTTTGCCAACAATCCACTTATGGTTACATCTTCTATAGAAAAAACAATAGACTTCTAGCCAAATAATAATATTTAAGATGAAAAAGAGAGAATTATAAGCAAAAGCTATTCAGCTGTAAAAAAATCTCTAGCAGAGAGGACGTCAAGGTCTTAAAACCCTCATGAAATTCTTAATCGAACTTAAAATGTGATTTAGATGTATCAAAGTTAAAATAGTTACAATAGCAATTACGGGAGCATAAGGAAGAGTAAGAATCATTATTCTTTTACAAAAAAGCAGAAGGAAGAAAAAATTGAATAAATCATTTTGAAATGCACAGATAAAACATATTTTGATCCTGCTGGTGATATGAGAAATGAGTTGCAGTAATAACAGCAAAAGGTTAGTACTTTGAATAAGAATGATTTCAAAGTCGGAATAAACAGCGAAAAAGCTTCTCCAAAATCATAAACAGTAATATAAAAATATGGTATTAATCAATCAGAGTAAAAGGAAGGTGATCAAGCCAAAAAAGTGTTTGTGTTTAAAAAAAATATTAATAAAAATGAAGAAGATGACGATGATGAAGAGAAAAATCAAAACAACAGTGATAGCGATTCATCGAAAGATTTAGATGTCGATAGTGATGAAGATGAAGATGAGGATGAGAATGACTTAGAAGATAGCATCGACTAAGCATTGATTAATTCAGCATATGAACCATCAACAGAATGCTCTGCTTCATTTTAACCTCCAGTCTTGCAACCAAATAGATATAACAAGCTCTTACTATTAAAAAGTGTGTATGAAAACCGTCCTTTGACCGTATTCTTTCCCTATCCTCCTTAATGTGGAGATATCATCAGAAACTCTTCTAGAACAGTTGTAGCAACCGATTATGAAGAAAAAAGGTTTGATATGAGGTAAATTTTTATTTTTTAAAGTATTTAAGCTGTAATGAAATCATTTAGTTGTTTTTCATTTTTTTTTGATGTTGTTGTAAATTTTTGTTATATTTTTGCTATGGAAAATATTGAATAATCAAGAAATTAAAAAAAATTTTGTTTTTTAAAGGTTTAAGGTGACCACTAATAGCTTAAATAGGTGTGTTGGACATGCATTTTAGTATGCAGGTATTAGAGAGACTGAAGATAATGACTGGAATATGGTATGGAGCACTGGAAGAGATAATAGAGTAAAAAATATGATTAAATATTAAAAAATTAACCACTTCCCATAGTATTGGAATATGGGGAGAAAGGACTGCTTGTGGAAAAATTTGTCTAAAGTTAAAAGAAAATTTCCATAAGAATATGACTTTATTCCAAATACTTATATATTGTAACATTAATCAGATTGGGATAGATTTTTGGCAAAAAGAGATGATGCTGAGAAAGGAAAATTGTGGATTATGAAGCCTAGCAACTAGGCCTAAGGAAAAAATATAAAGATGATATCAAAGAGAAGCAAAGTATAAAGAAAGCAAGAATACATTATTTGTGAGTATGTAGCAAATCCACATTTGATTGATGGATTAAAATATGATCTTCGTATATATGTTTTAGTCACTTCATATGATCCTCTTAGGATATACATTTTCGATGATGGTTTGACTCGTTTCGCGACTGAAAAATATTCAACTAATACAAAAGAACTCTCAAAAAGATATGTGCATTTGACTAATTACTCACTTAATAAAAATAATCCTAACTTCAAGAAAAACAAGGATGCTAATGAAGATAGTGAAGGCTCGAAGTGGTCATTAAAAGCTCTATTTAGAAAATACACAGAGATGGGAGTTAACACTGCTCAGTTGTGGGACAGAATAAAAGATATTGTAATTAAAACTTGTATTGCAACTGAGCCATATATGACAGATTAGTATGTAAAATGTGAAAATCATAGAACAAATTGTTTTGAATTGTATGGCTTTGACATATTAATCGATGATACCCTAAAGCCTTGGTTGCTTGAAGTAAATGTGCGTCCATCTTTAAGCAGTTCTTCTCCTTTAGACAGAAGAATAAAGCATACTTTAGTATGTGATACATTCAATTTGATAGGAATCTAGCCTTATGATAAAAGAAAGTTTGAAGAAGATCAAAGAAAAAAGATTCCAGGAGTATCTGATTAAAAAAGAGGATTTTCTAAAAACTTAAAAGATTTATCAGATTTAAATGAATTCAACTGTTTGCAAAAGCTTTCACCAGAAGATTGGAATATGCTTTTTGAAACAGACGAAGAGAACTATAGAACAGGACATTTCGAGAGAATTTTTCCTCCTCCTAAAGATAAAATTGATTTTTACTTGAAGTTTTTTGAATATGAGAGATATAACAACATAATCATTCGCAGTTGGGTCAAGTCAAGCACCAACTTTTTAGAAAAAATCTTGAAAAAAGTTTATGAATTTAATGTTTGAGTTTTAAAAAGTAATTTATTTAAAATTTAAAGAAAAAAATTGATTCAATTAAACTGATGAATGAATGAATAACTCAATATAAATTGATTAATCAAATATTAATTTGTGCTTAATTAAAATTAAAAATAACAAGAATAGAATATAATTTTGATATACTTTTGATTTCAAATTGCTCTAAAGATAATAAGTTAAATACAACCATTGCAAAAAAGTCAGAGATGAAAGATAAGAGTTGTTAAAAGTGAATGAGTTAAAAAAAATATAAAATAAAAAAAGTTACATTAATAAATTTACATTATTTAAAAATCTATATAATTATATTAAAAAAATCTTAAATATTTATAAAAAAACTGGATTATAAGTTAGATATTTAATTAATATATATCAAATTAATATAAAGATATATGCTATACATTGTAAATGTATTAAACAATTTGTAATATTTATAAAAAAGCTGGGATGAAGAGTGTGATACTCACTAAATATGTTTATTATGTTTTTTAAATAAATTTAAAATATTAATTTTACTTTGTAATTTTTTATTCTAATTAACTTTATTCAACATGTTTTTAATTAATTTATTTTAAATCCAATATTTTTAAATTAAATAGCTTTCATTTTTGATAACTATTTTAGTCATCATTTATTTTTAGATAAATATTAACTTTAACTCATTTTTTTTAATTTATTATTTTATTTTAATAAATTTACTTTTGTTAATTTTTAAACAAATCCTTATCTTATTTTAAACAATTTTTTCAATATTATAATCAATTATTAAAAAAAATTTTCTTTTTTTTTAAATTTGTTTGTTTTCCAATTTTCTTTGAAATTTATTTTATTTAAATCATTTACTTTTTTTGAAAATTTCAAATTAATTTAAGCGACTTTCTGATTAATAATTTATTTTTTTGAAAATTTAGTTAAATTATTTAAAATTTAAACTTAACATTTAAAACTTTTTTCATAGATTTGAACAATTTATTTTTAAAATACAAAATATGTTTGATTCATAATATGTTCAAGTTATATAAAATATATTGAAAGAAAAATTTTTGATTTTATAATTAAAAGAAATAAGTGAATTTGAAGGATGGCTTATTGAAAGATTAATGGATGTGTTTAGAACAACAAAGACTACCATTCTGTCAACTAAACATAATAATACTATTACTTACTTTTAATTACATAGAATTTGTATAAAATAATAGTAATAATACTATTATAGACCATAAGGTAGATAATTAATTTATTATTCATTAGTATGTTATATTTTTTCCTTCTTTTCTTAGAGTTCAATGTTTGTTAGATTTTAAGATGGCTTCTCTTTCAGCATTAGAATCCTCAAAATCTTTTCATAATTTATAAAATTAATTTATTTTATTTATTTTTTTATTCTACCTTCGGGGAATTGTTCCCAGAGATTCCAGTGAGAGTCATTTTGAGGATAATCTTCATAGAAAGGCATGGCTTCTTCTGGTCTATTTTCAGAGAGCAATTTAGGAGAATAGAAACCAAAAGGATCGAATTTAAGGAGCTATTAAAAGTATCAAAAAATTATTACTAAATTGCTATTTGATAAAATATAAAATATGATTTACGTAGTCATCGAAAATATAATATCTTCCAGAAGAGGCAGCATAAGGTCTAGATTCATCTGTTTATTATTTAATATTAAAAATGATTTATAAAACATAAAATAGATTCATTTATTTTGAAAGGTAGATAGAAAGATGTATATCTTGTGTTAAGTTATTTGTATTCTTTTGATAGAATCTTTGCTAAAAATTAATTGAATTTCGAAAAACTGACCAATAATCATAGCAGGGTCGAAGAGTTCTTCTTGTAAATCTTCGTATTTCTTAAAGTAAGCTTACAATTCCAATGATTCAGGCTTTAATGCTAACATTTTGTTGAAATCTTTGCCAATATCTGTAATATTTTCATTGTATTGTTTGAAATCAGTCTTGTAACCTTCAACTTGATGGGCATAAACTCTTCTCAAAGTGGCTCTATAGAAATTAATTCAAAAATAAATAAATTACTATTATGAATAAGGAATTATTAGTTGCTATATTATTTATTAACTTAAATTAATTCCTAATTTCATTAAACATAATCTCTTAGAGGATTATCAGCTAATTGATTTGTATTATTTGCAGATTGTAATAGCATTTTATATATTTTAAAAATGAATCAATCTAATTTAACAATATGATCAAATATTAAAAATATTCTTGCGTTTGTTATTCATAAAATGTATAATTTTATTTGTTCTTATTAATTATTTTATTGCATAATTTGTAAAACAACAATATTATAGTTGCGATATCGTTTTAAGTGTATTCAATGATATGAATTCAATTTGCTTTTGATTAATCCCTAAGAAATTTTTAATTTTAAACAGAATTTTGCTTAATTTATCTTAAATCCGCACCTGTAGAGACGAGTGACCTTTTATTAATGGTTAAGGACGGTAGGATACTTAGTACCGTAGCATAATAAATTGGAAACTTCAGCCCAGCTAAAGTTTTTGACGAAATAGTAAGCCTTTGACATTTCTTTTTTCCTTTATTATTTCTTTTCTTAAGTTTATTGAATGTAATAATTATTTGACCTTTTGTTCTAATTATTACAAATATTTTTATTGTAAATTCTTAATGTATTTTAACATTCTTCTCTTTTCCTTTATTGATTCCTATTAAGATAAAGTAAGTATGTATCTTATAATTTACTAAATAATTTCATAGGATGGATCTCAGTAATATTTATCAAGCATTTATTTTTGAGTTTGACTAACCATGTTTTTCTATCTGCTCTATTCAATTAAATTGCAATGACAATTTTAACATATCTTCCAATATAAATAAATAAATATACTATAAATAAATTAAAAATAAATAAAATTCTAAATAAATACTAATCATTTAGCTAGGATATTTTTTTCACACAAAATGCATTCAAAAATTAATATAGTTTTATAAAATATTTTCTCATACATAAAGTATATAATTAAGGTTATTATATTTTCTTCATATAATATCCTTAGCTTCATAAAAATGGATTCTTTCTAAAAATTATTCTTTTTAATTTATTTAAGTTTTAAGGCTTTATGAATATGTATGTATGTATGAGTATTTATATAATTAAAATAAATTAATACTTTTACATAAATTAATATAAAATATGCTAATTAATAAAAATATTTTCAACTTAAAGCAACTGTAAATTATCTAATTAATTTAATTTATTTTATTTTATTGCAAGAAATATAAATTGTTTCTACTTAATTTAAATTAATAAAGTTTAATATAAAATGATTGTAAATTTACTAAATATTAAAAACTTATTCAAATTTAGACAAAAAATATCAACTTAAAAAGTAGTCAAGTTGATTTAATTTATACTTTTTTTTTATTACAAACAAAATAAATATTGAGGATTACCTAAATGTTTTAAATTGCTTTTAATAAAATAAACACTTATTTAGTTCATTTATAATAAATTTACCTATTTATTACACAAGTTTTAAATTTTTATAAGTTATTTTTAAAATTTTTAGTATTTTATTTTACAATAAAATTACGATAAAAGAAATTATAAGTGATTTAACTTTATAGATTTAATTCAATTTTGTTATCAAATATAAATTTTAATTTATCTTATCTAACTTTTATCTTAAAATATATTTTAATTTTGAATCTAAAATATATTTTTTCTTAAAGGTTTCTCTTTAAAAATTTGTTAGATTTTCAATTATTTTTCAAATGAAAAAATTAAAATTAAACTTTTATCAAAAATTAAAAAAATGAAAAATTATTAAAGAAAATAATTTTTAAACAGCTTTTTTTTTATAAGTCAAATCATTCATTTTATAAAAATAAAAAAATATTTTAATATTTAATTCAAAATGATTAACAATAAGCTATTCATAAAACTCCTTTTAAGGATTACAAAAATAAAAAATTTAGTTATATGTTAAACTTATTTTTATCATAGAAAATTTTATATAAAACCAGACTAAATATTTGATAACTCAATAAACAAACAAAATGCAAAAATAAATTTCTTGGTAGAATGCTAGCATAAAATTATACAGAAAAAGTTATATTTTAATGTCATAAATAATTTATTAGAAAAGACTATATTTATATTTGTATGACTGATTTTTTATATAAACCATAAGTAATTTATGATATAAGGAATTATTAAAATCATTTATGCCTTGACTTTTAATGGTTAATATCGATATCTATTTGTTCAAGTTTAGTTTCATGCAAAGAGCGATCTCTTCCTGGCATTTTCTCAAATTTTGGAACAGAAACCTTCTTTAAAATTTAACTTTTAGAACGTGCAAGTGAGAAAACATAATCATCATTGATAGACTCGTTAAGAGTGTAAACTGGCTTAGTCTATGGCTTTCTGGGTGATAATTTAGAATAATCCAACACTCCAATACTGTTACGTGGGTGCACTAAATCATAGTTTACATTGTAGTCTAAGCCTCCTGTTTTTGATCCAAAAACTTACTGACTTCTTTTTTAAGTTTCGAAAGATATATTTGGTAAATGCTGGCTCTTAGAATAAATTGAGGGAATTTCAATATATTCGAATCTTTTATCATGTGGTATTGATTATGCCATTAAAGGTTTTCTGCCTTGCTATTTTTCAAATTGTACTGGTCCTACAACACGACTGCGTGGTTTATCAAAGTCTATACCAAGGATAGAAGAATCTGAGATAGAATTATTCAAAACTCTTTTTGTTTGAATAGAAGATTGATTAAGGGCACTTTACTAAACGAGGGCTGATTGATTGAGACTTTACAACTATGCTGCAGTAGTAGCTGCAACTTGAGACGCATTTAATTACATTTATTAAGAAGCAATTATAGATTTATTGTTATTTATTAACTAACTCTCATTTTAAATCTACTGCTAAAGCAACATCTATTGTTATTATTATAACTAGTGCTTTTTTTATTAAATTGTCTTGAGCCTCTTGGCTGATTAAGAGAAATGCAAATTCTACAACTGGAATTCTCTCGCTCTTTATTTAACATCTTGGCTTTCAAGATCAGGGTAGAGAGGACTCTTTTCGTAAATTAAATGATATTTTGGATTGTACATTCCGAATTTTTGATTATTTGAAGTAAGTTTTGACTGAAGAATCTAATATTAATCTCTTGAAACCATCTTGAAAAAAGGTTATTTAATTGTTGGTAAACTCTTTGTTGTATCATTACCACCACGAGGCTAAAATGTTCTGTGTTTTTCATTTCCGTGTTATTGTTTTGCATGCATAGAATTTAGAGATTATTAAATATGAATATCTGATAATTTCTAAATCTTTCTTTTGTTATTTAATATAAAATCTTTCTCCTATAACATAGTATACATTTCTAAAGATAGTCTTCCGGCCTTTGAAAACATCCCAGAAGGATCCAACTTATCTTAAATAATCATTTTAATTTAGATAATTAGTTAATTATTCGCTTTTAAAAACTCTCCCTAATTAACACTATTAATTGCTATATTTTTAATATTGTAATTATTATGATTCAATCAATTTCTATGAATTAATTGATTAATTAAAAATATTAATATGCAATAAATATAAGGTTTCAAATTTCAATCTTAATCATTTCAGCCAAATCAGCTTTTTTATTCTTATTATTTTTTATTATATTTCATGCGTTTTATTTATAGTAATTCAAATATCAGATCCGCCAAAAATAATTAAATTAGAAAAATATAAAATGTTAAAAGCTAAATAAAATATTTTTTTTATAAACAAAATATTCATTAAAATCTTGGAAATATTTTAGAATAAATTTATTGAAATGTGAAATAACTCAAAATGCATTTCTAAGAAAATTAAAAGTCTTAAAAATATTTGAATTTTATGTTAAAATTATTAAACGTCCAAAAATGATCAAGTTTATTTAGTTTTGAAATTATTTTGTTTTTTAAATTACTAATCCAAGTACAAAAATAATAAATTCAACATAAGATAAGAATTATTTAAAGTGTTTAAATTTATATTGAATTACCATAATTACTCGTTACCAAGGCTTATCTGGAGCTGGCAGAGTGAGAAAATATAAAAATGAATATCTCAAAATATTGATTTGTGTTCTGTTCGACAAAAGGAAATATTTAGTTGAAGTTAGTAAATTTAATAAAAAAGTATTGATTGCTTAATTTAATTATTTTAGTCCTTCATTTTAAAAAAATTAGTATGAGAATTATTTAATTAAAAAATTTAATTTGATTCATTTAATTCATTAAAAATAAAATATTTTTAATTTATTTAATTTATTTCATTATTTTGAAAATGAAAGTTTTTATAAATTTTTTATTAATAACTGAATTTTTTTAACTATGATATTAGTAAAATTCAGCCTAATTTTAATTGGAAAAGCAAAAATTGAGCTAAAATTTCAAATAATATTTAAAAATTTTAAATTATTTTGATTTTAAAAAATTAGAAGAGATAAAAATATGGATTTTACTTAATTGATTGGCACTTTATATTCAACAAAAAAAGAGAATATTTAATGCTCAGGTGAATAAAATAAAAATAAATGGATTAACATGCTAAATTTACTAAATAGTTTTGAAAATAGCTAAGCAAAATCTTTGTAAAGTCAGCAATAAAATGGCCTTTCACACTCAGATTTTAAAAATAGTTTACTCAAAAATAGTACTTTGTAATTATTTTGTTAATGTTAAGAGCAACTTGAATATTTAGTTAATCTTCAAATGAAATTTCAAGAAAGAGGACTTAAGCTTAGAGAGGATTTAAATGAATAGTAAATGCTTGAAGTAGGACTATGCTTTGCAATAATCTTGATTTTAGAGAATGATTTTATTAGCCATGAATTTTTTGGTATTGATCAAAACAAAACATAACCTGCCTTTAAAAGTATTCACAAAGTGTTAAACTATGATTACTTTATCGACAATAGCTCGAATGAAAATCTACAAAGGTATGAAGAAATTACTTACAAAACAGCTCAATCAACAAATAATTAAACAGAAAATATTAGCACAGAGAAAAATAATGAATTGGAAAAATATTTGCAAACTGAACTAAAACACACAAGTAGCTCGCCATAACTTTAATCTCAATCACCTTTAAAGATCTAAATTTAAAACAATTAGCATTAAAAATCATTTTCAACATAAAACTATTTCTCTTAAAATCTATACAAAAACTCGCAAGCTAAATGCTCAACAATCTCTCAAACAAACAAAAATTAGCTAGTGAGTAAAAACTAAAGTTAAAATGTTTTGTTTTAAGAAAATCATATTTTAAACTTAAGCATTCTTTTTTACAGATTTTTTAATTCTTTTTAAATGAGTTATGATACATTTTCATCATAAACTGAGTACTCTTTGAGCAATTAATTCTAAAATGCTATTTCGGAATAATAATTTAATTTTAACTTTTGTGAAAAGGTTTTGAGAGAAAGTTAAAAGAAAGATGAATCTAATGTCTTCTAGGAATAAAAATACATTACTCCAAAAAGATTAACCACACCTGATGCTATTAAATTAATAGAAAATAATTAATCAATTATTTCTGATAACAAAGAAAATCAAAAAGGAAATGTTCTGGAAAGTAACATTTACACTAATTCTTTTGAAAAGAGCGTAATTAATCAGAATTAGGATATTCTAAATTTTTTTTTTGAAGATCCATCAAAAAAGCTCAAAAAATCCAATAGACATTCAATGGACTGTTTGGGAGACAAAATGAATGATTCACCAATGTAACTTAAAAACTTTCATATGAGCAAAAAGAAAGAATAGAGGTTTGAATCATGTGTTATAAACGGAAACAATAATCTCTTTGAAGAGAGTTAACTGATAATAAACAAACTTGACCTACAAAAAAGGAGATATTAGCAATATTCTCAAGAGCAAAGCAAACTAATATAAGAACTACATAGCTTATACATCGATCTAAAAACAAAATATGAGTCTCTTCAGCAATCTAGTTTGAATTTTTCTAATGATTAAGAAGCTAAACAAAAAGTGAGGGAAAGCCAACAAAACTTTAGTATTGAAAACAAATAAAAGAATATTGTAAAAAAAAGTGATTTTTAATAGATTAATACTTAAAATTGTGAATTTGATAATTCATCTGTAAACGAATAAAAACAAAACTAAAAAAATGACGAATAAATTTTTGAAAGCAAAATAATTTAATCATCTACTTTGAGCTAGAGCAACATAAAGACTAGTGAATGTAATCCTATGACAATGTAGCTTAACTATTAGTAAAAAAATAAGATTTTTACTGAAAACGACTCAGATATTAATAGAAGATAAGTGCATGATGATATTTTAAGTTAGAATTTTTTATTCTAAAGTGTAAACATAAACTAAAGCAATTGTGACTAACTTCCTTAACAAAATAGTTTGAACCCTGAAGACTAACAATCAATAATTTTTAACTATGTGAACATCTCAGACATATGGAACAGCTCTCAAAAGTCATCTCATGAACTTGTTAAACATAAAAAGAAAAAAGATGAAGAAAAGAGCAATTACTCAAAAAAAGATATAGTGACAATAACTTTTTTAATTTTGTTGCTATTTTGTTATTTTTTACTAATATTTTATTATTGATTAATAAAAGAATTACATCTAGCTAAAATTATATATCAGAGTTATGTTTGTATTTTTTTAAAGTAAAAAAAGTTCAATAATGCATAGATAGTTACAACCAATTTTTCTTTTATTAAATTTTTAATAATTCTCATTTTATTCATAAAAAAACACAAAATTGACAAAATAAAATTAATATTTAAACTACCTTGACAATACTTAGATAAACTATTCTTCTTATAAAAAAATATAATATAGAAGTTAGGGGAGGGATGCTGATATTTATAACTTTGAATTATATGCTAAATTGATAGTTTATGATGATTTTAGAGTAATGTTACAATTTAACAAAAGATAAATCTGTAAAAATATAATTCAAAACAATTACAAGGTATTTTAGGTAAAATTATCTTTGAATTGAAATTCATAAATAAAATTTTTATTTAATTTGGATTTTTCACCAAAATTTATTATATAAATTAACAAAGTCTTTTCCAAAATTTAGAAAACAATTAAATAAAAAATAATTAAAGAATATTAATTTGGCAAAAAAAAAAAAAAAATGAAAATTTAATTTGCTTTGATAGTATTTTGCATTATTTCAACTTTTGCAAGCTGTAATTCACAAAATAACTTTCTCAGAATGGCTGCAAAATAGTTTGCTAGTTCTGACATATTCCCTCTTGTATCAACAGTGCCAAATATGGATTACCATCAACTTGTTTATGGATAGCAAGCCTATAACATCAACTACAAAGGTCCTCCTTAAGGATATACTTTTTATTCTGGATATACTAGAAATTAAGTAACTTTCTATCTAGCCCCTGATTAACTAACTGCTCGTGACTAAACTGACATCTTCATAGTTAGAACTCATAATATTGGTAAATTCATTATGTCAAAATTTTAAGATACTATTGGAGAAGACATATATGTTATAATTATTAACGTGATTGCCACTCTTGATTCTAGAATTAAAAAAGTTTCTGTTTATAACAATCCTGAAAATGTACAATTTTACTACTTCTTCCTTGAAAATTAATAGATTCTCTCTGGTTAAATAATCAAATAATCTAGATAATAATATGTAATCGAAAAATTGGAAAGTGTCTCAAATGATTTTGTTGACTTGATCAATGACACTTTATTTTTTAAGACATATTTCTTAGCTAAGACACAAGTAAATGGAATTGTTAAAGAAGTGAAAACATCTTATCCTTTAAATAAATCTGTGAAACAGGTATGTTTATCTACTTAAAATGTACTCACATTTGTAACTGATTAAGATGAAGTCTATTAAGGAAGTAATATTATCTCTAACTTACCATAATAACCTATTGTTGATATCTAACCCGGAAAAAATTCTACCTTCTCTCTTCTATACAGAGATAGAGCAGTCATTGTTAATTCTTATCAAACAGCAGAAAAAAGCTTAACTTTCCAACAAACAACCATTAATATTCAACAAAAAGAGTATGGAATCTACAAAAGAATAAGTTTAGCTAATATTGAAGGTGTCTACTCTGAAAATTACAAAGTTATCTTGAATACTAATAATCAATATATTGATGAATCCTCAGTAGATTTCTTTGTTTCTAACAATTCTATTTAGGCTTGAAAATCAATTAGAAATATAAATACAATTTAAGAACTTATTCTAGTTTTTTTATAATACAATACATATTTTTTATTTAAATAAATTAAAAGAACATCTTTTTGTTTTTAAATATTTGAATTTAAAAAAATTTTTCACATCAAAAATTCTATTTTATATTAAATCTTTAATTTATTTTTATTCAAACCAATTTATTACAATATCATGCAAAGTATTTTTTACAAATTAAAAATAAAATTAATTGATTAAATAAATAAGTAAATTTTTACACCAAACTTTGTTTCTGTTTCTGAAGAGGATAAAAAATAGAAAATAATTATATTATGAATTGCCAATTTATTTTGAAAAATTGAATAAATTCTAATTAAAAATAAACATAAAAAAAATATAAAGTTGTACAAGTAACATATTTCATTCATAAATTTCAAACTTATACTGATCATAATACAAAAATTGATTTTTTTTCAAATGCAATAACAACTTTATATTAATTTCTTATTAAATACAAAAAATATTTTTGTTCAGTTTATATTTTTTTGTTACAGATAAAAAATTTTATACCTTATTTATTAATAAATCTAAGAAAAAAACTAAAATACTAAAATAAATATAAGAGTTAATAATATTTATAATAAAAAATTGATGATATTAATTTAATAAAAAAAATATATAAATGATAATTGATTCTCCTATATTCTGACCCATTTAAATATTTACCCACAAATATCATTTTTAAAATTAGAACTATGAATTATTTTCTTTCATAATTTATTGATAATAATACTTGTTTTAATACTTTAGATAAAATACTTTTCTATTATTGCTAATATCAAAAAAAAAAAAATTTTTTTTAAATTAAAAATGTTCAATCAAAATGCTTTAATTATCAAATTAAAGATTTCAAACATATAAAACAATATTAGAAGAGTTTTTTAATTTTCATAGTGATGGTTTTATCTCATATTATATATCTTTAATATTGCCAATAAATATACAAAAAAGAATCTCTATATTGTGATTACATTTACTTTTAAATTAACTAAATTGCTTCTCTACTAATTAAAGAATTAAAATGTTAATGTTAAAATATATTTTGGTAAATTTAATCATGCATATTTGACAGAGTGCATAAGAAATGATCTAATACGATATAAATTTAATTTTAAAATTAAAATAATTAACAGTTTATTTATTCATTCATAAACAAACTCTTTTTAATCTAACTCTTCTTAAGCATCGTCTACAAATTTCTACTTTCTTACATTGCTGGGCTTCTAACTTTTACTTTGTTGTTACTTATTTTCACTTTTACCAATTTTTTTATCAGATGAATTTTTTTAAGCATTATTTTCGTCATCTGAGGAGGAGTGACTATCTGAATTATCTTCTTTCTTCTCTTCGTATTGTTCATCTTCGTCTTCTATACTCTTTTAAATTGACTCCCATATTTTTTATTTTTTTTGCTCAGCTGAATCATTGTGAATATGAGATTAATTTTTTATAGTTTCATCCATTTCGATGTCTTTGTAAATTTCTCCTATAATTTGTTTATGGTGCTTATCTTCATCTTCTTCTTCATTTTCATGGTGATCGAGATTATATTGCTATTCATCGTTCTTGTTTTCAACTGGTAAATACAAGTATGTGATCACATAAATGTAAATGTTAAGAATGCTCTCCTTGTTAAGCATTAAGTATGTTGAATGATTTTCTTCAGGGATGTAAAATTCCTAATAACACATATAACCGTATGAATAGAAAACTGCATATGTGAAATAGCATAGAAATTTGAAATTAGTGTCGATAGTATTTTCAATGCAAACCTTAAGCATAGCAGCAACAATACAAAGAGCGTAAATAAAAAAAGTTGAAACAGCAAGCTTGTGAACTAAATCAAAGCTATCGAAATTTACTAAATCTCTGTTGTTGCTAATTGTCAAAACAGAAGAAGCTCCACCAATAAAGAAGAAAGATAAGATGACTCTAGGAGCGTTATGAAGAAATACTAGTAATATTTTTAAGAAATTCTTAAATCCTTTCAAAGAAGATTTTGCTTAATTCTGAGTACTACTCTAGCTATGGCGATTCATAGACTTAATGCTTAACCAGAAAAACATAATTAGAGAAAGGAAGAAAAGCTCACCAGTACGAGTTACCATTTACAGAATTTTATTTGAAGGGAAAAATAGGTGAACTGGACTGTTATAAACTAACAAAAATGCTAGTAAATATCTGATCCATTTTTAAATGCTGATGAGTTAATCTGCATAGAAATTCTTCAGACTTACCAAAGTATAAATCAAAAATCCTGCAGTGACTATGCTATAAAGTGATTTCATAATCATTTCTAGTTGATGATTGGAGTTTTTATATTTCAGCTAAAATAAAATCTTTCTAAATTTGCTTGTATTTCCATTCTTTTCAGGTTATTTTTACTGATATTATTCTCCACTTGTTTGATTTTAATCTCCTTCTTTAAAATCTACTTCTGCTTTTTTTTCATCTTATTCTAAAATTCTTAACATTTTCAGCTGATTACCTCTCTCAAACTCATTCAATAATCTAGTTTTATTTTAAGATAGTTTGCTTTAATCAATATTAGGATATTTATTGATTTTGATCAATAAGATGTATTCCTGCTTCAGGTCTTCCCTGGCCTCTTCTAAAATGGGGTTGCTATAGCATCCTTCATTATTTTACTTCTTGTTAATAATACTGCTGTTATTGCAATAAAAACTTATATTCTTTGTGTGATTATTATGAATTATTTTCCAATTTTAGTCATATGAATCTTCCTTTATTTTAGGAAAAGTCTCATCAAATTCTATTTCTTTTTGGTATTGAGAATTGCTGGTGCTATTACTTTTCTAATCTACTTGCAAAGCGCCATAGACAACTTAGCTCATTTAAATTTGATACTTCTCCTAAGAGCTTATTTATTCTATTTCATTATTGACTAATGCTACAATTCTAATTAAAAAATTATCCTTAACTGCATAATCAACTGGCTTTAGAGAAATTTAGCATACATAATAGGGCAATTTGGTTGTATTCATTGAAGTCTTATTCTAGTATTCGTCTATACATCTATTTGTTGGAGAGTTAATGTATTATGACTAATAAAGTGAAGGACCTAAATGGTTAATAACCATCAATATAACATAAATAGAGAACCAGAACAAGAAAAAGAAGCAAAGAGAACTTACTCCCATTTTTTCTAGCCTGAGAGCATATTTTTACTAAAGCTAAATCATATTTGAATAATACGATGAATTTAAAATAAGCTAAATAACTTGATATTAAAAAGAAAATACTTTAAATCAATTTTTAAATAAATTATTTAGGAGTAATAAAAAATAATAGGACAATTAAATAAATCAATCAACTTTTATCTTTCTATCTTTCTACTTAAATTTAAAATCTTAAACCGATCTTCATCAGAATATAAAAAAATAACATTTAAAAATAAACAATTTAAATCTTATTTAGTTCTATCAATATAATTACATTTTTTCTGTAATGCCTGAAGAAATATTTATTTATTTATTAGCTATTAATTGTGATTTAGAGTAGAAAATTATTTAATATTTTATTTTCTTAAAAGTTAAATATTTTAAATAACTTAAATTTTAATTATTTTTATAACTCCAAATTATTAAATTTCTTATCAAATTAATTTTAATTTTTCTCTTTTGTAATTTATCAAATTAATTTTAATTTCTATTTTTTATTTAATAATAATTTTTAATTTTTATAAAAATAATAGTAAATTTAATTCAATTTAGTCTATTTCTATGAAATTTTAGATAAAGATAGATATTTGAAGACCATTTATTAAAATTTTTTAAGGATAAATTATCTTTAATGAATAAATACGTTTAATTAAGAGCAAACTCAATAATCACTTAAAAGTTATTTAAGCATTTGTAATCATTTTCATAAAATTATTGGATATTTTTTCTTTAAATTTGAGTTTAAAATATATTTTTTTTCAATACATAAAACATAAAAAAATGAGGGTAGAAAAGCATATTAGGGTACTTTTAATTAGATTAATTAGCTTACTTTACAATTTTACAAAATATTTATGATATATTGCTTTTAATTATTATGTTTTTAAGTAATTAAATAAGATTATGATGTATGGTATGAATTATTTATATTCGTTAAAATAAGATATCAATTACAATTAGATTTCAAAAACAAACACTTTTCAAAGAGTCAAATAAATAATTGATATTGTAATTTGTATTAATTTTACATAACTGTAAAGTAGAATAAAATATAATAATTAAGAAGGTTAATTTTTTAGCAAGTGGGATTATGTGCGAGTATAGTCAAATTAAATATAAGCCCTCATTTTCATAGAGTTTAGTTTAGATGATAGATGAAGAAATAGCTAAAAATGATGAATTAGAAGATATTGAAATTAGCAATTAATATGGATTAACAATTTGCTTTGTTGGACATAATAAAATATTAAATGAAAGAACTATAATGAGATTTACAAACATCACTATGTACAATGAGCAATCTATGCAAGGACCTAAATAGATATTTAAAGATTTAGAGAAAATAAATCATCCAAGAATTCTCAAAATTAAGCAATATTAAATGATTAAAAAGTATAATAACTCTTAATACAGCCTTTGCTTTGAAAAATTAGAGTATTTTGATAAAAAATGTCATTATTTTTGGCTTTAATTTTATAAATTATTAGATTATTTAACATCTAAAATAAGAATTTAAAAATTTTAGCTCAGGAATAAACAAATTTTATATAAAATATAGAAAGTTTAAGGGAATTTCTAAATGAAAAGACAATAAATAAGCAGTTTCCAATAAATATGTAGTTTTCAATAATATTACAAGTGTTTGATGCTGTTGCTGCTCTCCACGCTGCTAATTTATCATTTGGAAATATAATGCCAAACAACTTTTCCTTTTCAGAAAATGAAATCAAGTTTAGTAAAATTCTAAAATTAAAAATATAAATGAATGATTGATATAAATTTATTATTAAATAGCAAATTATGATGTTTTTAAGCTTAATCAATAACCTCTAGATGTATTTATTTTCTATAATTTTATAATCAAATTCACTTATTTAAAACATTAAGCTTGAACTTCTTTACTACAAGAGTCCAGAATAAAGAAACAAAGATATTGGTGAAAACTACAAAATATTTTCATCAGATAATGTTAATCAAGGAGAAACTTACAAATACCATAATTAATAAGTATATATAACTTATGTTATTTAAATATATTACAATTTTAATTATCATAAAGTCAGATTCGTATTTGCTTGGCCTTATAATTTTAGATGTAATTGCTTTTAATTCATTCAATCCTAAAGAGAGAATAAAAAATATGGCATTTATATAAGATAGTAATAACATTAATCCTTATAATTTTCCTGTTTAAAATACCTTCTTACTCGAAAAAGCTAAGTAATTAATTTTTATGATATTTTTAAATATTTTAAACTTCTATAAATTTTAACTTCATTATGTTTCTATTAAAATTTTCATAGATATTTTATCAAAATTTATCGCATTTTATTTATATTTGAATGTGAAATAAAAACACTTGTATTAAAAATTATGACTTACTAAAATTAAAAAAGCATTTATAAAAAGTTAAAAATTTTAATTTAAATTAAAATAAATTTTTTAATCTTCAATGCAATAAATGAGTTGAGTTAATTAATTTTAAAAAATATAAAAATTAAATAATTTTTATTTAGGATTTTGTTGAACCCATAAAGCCATCTCAGGGGAAATATAATTACTCACCTTAGAGATTTAGTTGAAGAAGAAAAAAGCTTATCAAGAGGGAATTTCTAAACTTTAATTTCATCTCTTAAGCTTAGTGAAGTTCCAGATAAAAAGATATTTGAAAAAAGTTGGTTTTAATTCTTGATTACTCATCTTGAGGAATAAAATGATTTGAAAAATTTAGTTATTTTAAGCTAGGAACCTTACATGATAAAATTTAGAGGGATAGAAATATAAACAGGGAGAATTTTCTGTCTTCACATAGAAAACATTTCTTCATTAAACAACAATTAATTAGAATATACAAACAAACAACAAAAACTCATTGAAAAATTAAATCATCCAAAAATAGTTAAATATTGTTACAGTAAACCAGTAAAGGCTTCATAAAGAGATGCGTTTTATTATTTTATTAAATCTAAAACAGAATACTATAGCCAGGAATATAGTAAAACAAAAATTTAATTTATATTAAATAAATGAGTACCAAATAATCAATTTATTTATTAAAAGCTCTAAATTTAAAAGATTATCTTGAAAAGTTTAAGGTCAGCATGACCTCCATTCACAAATAAATACAATACAAATTAATTATCTAATTGTTAGATGCAATAAGTTCAGCTCATCAAGATGGCATTTAAGTTATTGATATTTCCCCAAAGACAATATTCTTAAAAAATACAGATATTAAAGTTTGTAAACATTAATTAATTTTCACATTATAATTTTTAACTCTCTAACTTAATAAAGGTATAGGAGGTTATAATTCCATTATCTACATCTATGATAAAAATATTGAAAATGTAAATAACTTATTTTATTACTTTGTTTTAGAATTAAGATTTAATTTAATTAGGATTATTGCTTTTTCAACATATTTTTTATTCTAAAATTGAAAATTGCAAATAAACAAAAACTCTGAGAAACCTAAAAATGTCGATTAAGATTTGTTTAAAATTATTTTAAAATTAAGATACATTTTTAATGAATTGGATATCATTTTATTTAAAATTATTTCATTAAAAATTGATTAGATGGATCAGTAAAAAAACAGTATCCCTTATATTAGCCCAGAGGTGCATAAAAAATTTTATGGTTTATCAAAATAAAAAATATCAAGCTAATATGCTTAAAAAAATAAACTTGATTAGAACGCAAAGTTAAATTTATAAGTAAAGATATTCATTCATATTGATAATCTAAAAATTAATATTTTGTATTATGTAAAGTCAGATATATACTCTATAGGTGTTGTAATATTGGAAATTCTGTTTTGCAAAGTTTTATAAAGAGTTAACTTGCTTCAAATAGTTGAAGATGTCTAACAGCAAAAGATGCAAATATCATCAGATATAGATCCTTTTTTGTTCTAAAAAGCTTAAAAAATGGTGTCAATAAACCCAGATGATAGAGGAAAAATTGTAGAATATTTGTTAGAAATTAGCTAAAAAGAAAAAAAGACGTTTCCAAATAGTATTACTGATATTTTTCAATAAAATATCAAAGAGAGCTTAGAAACTCTTGTAGTGAAATCAACTTAAGATTTGATTGAAAATTTTTTCAAATTCAAGAAAATACAAATCACTTTAGGCCAGTAAAATACTTTTTAATTAAAAAATATTTTAAAAATTATTTAAATTAGATAGCCTTTTAGTTCCAGTACTGACTATCAAGAGCTTTTTGAAGTGCTCATAAAGCAATACGATTATGATGCTCTTTTTTTTAATTAAGGATTTTATGTTTCTCCATGGGGAATCAATTGCTACGAGAAAAACAAAGTTTAGAAAGAAATACTTTAGCAAATATGCATTATCCTTAATTAGAACTAGCTACAGGAGTTTTGCTTAGAAGCCAAGTAAATAAATTAAATAAATTTCTCAAAAACTTTTTTTAAATTAAAGCTTTATTTCTTTAAATTCTAAAATAAATTTAAATAAAACTTTATCAATTTTAAAATGTTTTTGTTTTGGTATATCAAATTTCATAATTTACTTAAATAAAAAGATATTAAGTTATTTATTTTAAAAGTTTATTATTAATTTGGTTATTTTTTTAATTTAATTTAATAGGTTTATTTTTTTTATTTTTTCAAAATTAGAACTTTTTAGAGAAAAAATTTATAAATATTAAATTTTTTTATAAATTTATATTTAAAATGATTTCTTTTGGATTATAAAAGTGATAGTCAAATATATTTGGAAGAATTTTAGCATTTCACCAAGCTTTTGAAAAATCAAGATAATTTAAAAAAGCTTACACTTGGATTAGAGTATTAAAAAAAAGAATTTACTTAAAATAACTTATATTTATTCATAGATCGAATTAACTATGTTTGCAAGGATAATAGAATGCAAGATCTTTCTCCAAAATTTTTAAGAGATCAAACATGAAATATATTAACTTGAATTTGTCGTAAATTTTTAATTTAAAAATTTACTTATTTTTAATAAATCAATATTTATTAGAAATAATAAAATTCATGAAGAAGGTTTTTTTGAAATTATGGCAAATTTAGCTAAAAACAAATAGCTCGAATATTTGAAGTTAAATATTAGGTAAAATTTTTAAATCATTTAGTTAAAATTATTAAGTCAACTAAAAATAGATCTAATTAGCTTAGTATTGTAGGATGTGAAGATCTTTTATAAAAAATCCAATAACTTAACAAGCTATCAGTTTTACATTTGAATTTAGGGTAAATAAATTTATTTAAAATAGCTTTTATTAATTGAATTTACATCAGAAATAATAGGATTGGCAATAAAGGTTTTATTAATATTTCTAATTGTATGACAGCTCTAGAAAATTTATTGGAATTTTCGCTAATTTTATGGTAAACAAATGATAAAATAAAAATCTTACTTAAAGTTAAAATTAATTAAAAAGCGATAACAGTTTAGATTAAGGATTTGGATATGTGTTAAATTCATTCACCACACTCTCAAAATTGAAATAGCTCACTTTATGGGCAAGGTAAAAATTATATAGCCTTTTTATGTAAAACTATAAATAATAACGTCTCTCTTTATAAACAAATAGCAATTGCAATATCTAAGAAAAAATATTTGAATTTATGACAAAAAGCTTTAGCAGTTTTTACTCCACGCTCAAGCATCTCTCATTAAATTTTAGGTAATAAAATAGTATTATATGATTGTTGAAAAATGTTCAAACTCTAAAATATATTAGATCTAACAATATTGGGATTAAGGGATGCCAGTTCTTAAATAATGAAATATCTTAGTTAAATAGCTTAAATTATCTTTATTTAAATTTAGGGTATATTTTAAATAATCGTATTAATTTATTTAAATTCTTAACGAAATAAATAAATAAAGAAATATAGAAATAAGTTATGGAGGATAGAAATAATTAGGATAAAACGGTTTTAAATTAATTTCTGACTTACTAGCAGGTTTAACAGTAAATTAAATAGTTCTAAAACTGGAGTATTTTTTGAGTTTTTATTAGCAATATTCTATTAAAAAATTTTTAATTTAGTGGAAATAACATAGATGATGAAATATTTGATATGATGACTAAAAGTTTAAAAAAAGTAAAAAGACTCAAAAATTTAGAGCTTACTTTACAGTAATTTTTTTTTTCTTTTTAATGATTTGCATTTTTCTTTAAATATAAGCTTGACTTAGAATTATTATTCATTCTTTAAATAAATATCTCAAGTTTAAAATTTTCCATTTTTTCATTTGTTTTTTATTAAATTAATTAATATCATAAATATAAATTAGAAATAACCCTATATCTGATTCTTTGATACAAGATTTCAGGTAATCATTGGATTAAAGTTAAGTAAAGAACAATCTTTGAGATATTAAACTTCAATAAGTTTAGCTTCTCATAAGTATATCTGTATTTTAAAGTAAATTATTATTTAAGAATAAATTTAAAAAAGTTCAACTTTATTTTATTTAATTTTTAAAAAATCTTAAATATTTTTTATAAAATAGATGTTTGTTTTGTCTAACTTTTGTTTTCAAAAAAATTTTGAATGGTATTTCAATTTAAAAAATAAATGAAAAATTATAAAATATCAGAATATTATATTAAAATATACCTATGTATGTATGTTATGCATACTTATAAAATTATTTATTAATACAAAAATTATCTTTGGTTTAGAAATACTATTATATATTTTTTTACAAATTTTGTTTATATTTTACTATTAAAAAAAAATCAAACAATCAAAAGTGTTATAAAATTTATTAATTTTAACTGTATTTACTAAATTTACTGATTAACTTTTAATGTATTTATTTTATTATTGTTATTATTATTATTTTATTTAATATTCTCTTAACTTGAAATACTTTTAATTTATTTTATATATATGTTTATCAATTCATTGATTAATTTATTTACTTATTATTTTGTTTAAAATTTAATTCTTCAGCTTATTTAAATTACAATTTTTATATTGCTTAAGTTTATATATTTTTTTATTCAATTTTACTGATTAATTAATACATTTTATATTTTTTATATTAATGTGATTGTCACTATGTACATTTATTTATTATTTTGTTGAAGACAAATTCTTCAGCTTTTATGAGTCTTTATATAAACATTAACTGCGAAGGTTAGTAGTGATATCATAAAAAGAATTGAATTTTTTAGCATTGTGAAGGTGATGGTAATTCCAAAAAACTCAAAAGGCTAAGAATTTTACAAAAGTACGAGCTCGTTTTTAACATTATCAATTTATTAGATGACTGCCTTTATTCTTTTGATGATAAATTGTTTGTTATTATCAAATTTAATTCTAAGTTTTCTTAATAAAGCCCTGTATAGATAGCTGCAGAATTCATCGTTTTAGAAAATGAAGTCTTCTCTAACTAAATTTCTAAAAATGATTCTTATTTCCTCTAATATTTATGTATGGTATATAAATTAGTAGTTTATAGAAGCAGTATAATAAAGACTTATGCTGATGAAAGAAAAGATAACTACAAAATCGAAGACTAGATACCATAAATTTAGATTGCAAAATCTAAAGATGTCAAGCAAATGTAAAAAAATGAATATTATAGGATAAAGGGAATACAACAACATAAAACTGGCGTTCGCTTATCCTCTAAGCCAAAATCTTTTTCCATATTCTATTGTAAGCCTCCTGAGCTAAATCCAGTTTTTGTAGGTATCATAACAAATTACATTTAAGGTAGGCAGAACTTTTTTGTAGCAAATGAACTTTTCATCTTTTTTTGGTTTAATTAGAAATAGCATTTGAATGTTAAGGTAATATATTCTGTGAATATCCGCTATTTAAGATAAAAGGAATTTGACCACTAAAAAGTATATTAAAAAGTTGAATAAGCTGAGCTAAGAACCTAAAATACACTCATACCATTCTAGAGATGTAATTCTACTTTAGTTGTATATCGAAAAATAGACTATCCAAATTATTGATCTTAAAAATGCAAAGAAGAGAGGAATGTAAAATTTAGTGTAAATAGGGTAGAGTTTACTGAACTGGTTGATAAGATAATGCAAAATAACAATTCCATTATAACTATTACGACAAGCAATAGGATTTTCATAATTTTTTTATTAAAGATTTTGCTCTTAAACTTCTTTTATTTCTTGTTGTTCAGATTTCTCATCAGCTTTTTATGTTACTTTAATTTTATTCCTCAACTGTTTGTAGAATTCATTATGTAATTTTTTTATTTTATCCAAAGATTCTCTAATTTCATTTGAATTGATATCTTAGAAAAAGCTACAATAGAACATACTTACATCAACTTCGTCTCTCTTTGAGGCAAAATAAAGCTCTTCCATCACACATTCGTCATCTTATAGTTTCCAATTACTCAAATAGAAATCCTTATTTTCTTCTTCCTTATTTATATAAGTAGTTCTATACAACTCTATTTAATAAGGGTGGAGCATAGCGTATCTGCATGAAATAGAAAAGATTCTAAAAACCAACAAAATCCAATTATTATATAACAAAAAAAACTCAAAGGTAGCTCTATCTTTCTTACTAGCAAAATATGATATTGTAAAGCAAAGATTCAAAAACCATAAAAACAGTTAGTAGTAAGAAAATTTTCCTAAAATTCCAAATCTCAAATTCTTGTAGATGAACAAACCATTGAAAGGATAAAAAAATATAATACAAAAAGGCCCAAAAATGAAATATATTAAATGATAAAAAAAGAATTCAAAAAACTAAGTCCAAATCCATGAAGCATAAATATTTGAATTCTCGATTTATTTTAAATTAGATTTATTTGTTTTATTCTTTTCAAGTATACAATCAAAATCACAGCTGTCTTACTTGAAGTAATCGCTATCGCTCACAAAACTAGATGCATTTCTATTACTTTAAAACAATCTATCTAAATTCTCTCCAAAAATATAGCTTTGCTAATCTCCTTCCTAAAATAAATCTTCTCTGTCTCTTTGATCTGCTTATTTTATTTTGGCATTTCCAGATTCATCACTAACTCCACTGAAATAATTTTCATCGCGATTAATTTATTTATTATTTACATTTAAAGATGGTTTAATATTATTATCTTGATACATATTAAATTATTCTTGGCTTTTATTCTAAAATGTATGGTCTTAATCTACTTTATCTTTTTCAGCAGATGGTTCTTAACTTAACCTATTACTAATTCGTTAAAAAGGATCTTTAAGAATCTATTCCATATGTTTACTTTATTAATTATAAGTTGTAGTACAATTAATTATATATTTTTATATTTAAATCTTCACAAACTTAATAAATAGTTAAGTTTTATGTTTTCCTAAAGAAATTATACAAAACTATCTTTTACAATTAATTAATGTTACAATCGCTAGATTTAATAGTAAAATCATAGATTTTGATAATTTACATAGGTGTACAAAAATCAAAATAGCCACTAAAATATATTCTTTTAAGTGTAAACAAAGGACTAGATTACACATTAATATTTTTTGTATATTTAGACTATAAACAGAAACATATGTAAATATTATTAATTTAAATATTATCAATAGAACAACTTTATAAAAGAAAAAACCCTGCAACCTCATAAACTAATAAATGAATTATCAATCTTTATTAAATTTTTCATTTATTATTAGTTATGTTACAAATGTAAACCGCTTGATTGATTTTTGAGAGGGAATCGAAGATAATTTACAGTATTTTTTAAGTTTAAACTTGCTAATACATTTTATTAAACCAATATGGAAAGAAATATTATTTTTTTTAGTTAAATTGAATGTTTTAATTTATGTTACATTAAAAATATTTGAAATTATAAGAATTTTTTTAGTTTAATGAATAAATTTTAACAAGATAATTTTTAAATATTTTATTATAAATTTTGAATATCAAAAATGAATGATTTATTAATTCAATGTGCTTTAAGGTAAACATTAATTGAGAATGTTAGAATTGAAGATAAGAAAATAAGACCGCTTTTGAGAATTGAGAAAGTGATGGTAAAGCCAAAGCATTAGAAGGGCTCTGTGTTTGATAAAAGTTATAATTCATTTTTAGAGTCATCAATAGATTCAATTATGTTATTAATATATTCTTGAATTGCTTCTTCATTATTTCCAGTCTTTTCCCTTAAATTTTTTAGGATAATCCTGTATAAATAATTGGAAGGTTCTTGCTTTGATTATAGCAAATCTTCTCTTTAAAGATTCCTGAAAACTATTTGTATTTCTTCTAAAATGGAAATATGGTAGACAAACGAATAATTGATACATGCAGAGAAGTAGAGACAGATAGCTACACTAATAAAAGTGATAAAGAAATCGAAGGTCATAAACCAAATTTCTAACTCGCAAAAATGAAAAACATCTAGCATGTAGAGGATTAAACTAATAGCTGGATAGATAGAGTATAATAGCATAAAACTTAAATTGACCTATCCTCTTTTCCAAAATCTTTTCCCATACTCTATGGATAGTCTCCTCAACTAAACCCAATTTTTAAAGTTATTATTTTATGTCAAATTAAGAGTAGGAAGATACTTTTAGGTTTAAATGTAATTTTAATCTTTTTTTGGTTTAATAAGAAATAGCATTTAAACCATTAGATGATATATTCTATGAGAGTCAAAAATAATGTTTAACAAGAATAGACCTATTGTCACATAAAGTAAAAAGTTGAAAGCTGTCATTGCTGTTCCAACAACTGTAACAAATAAATCAAATTCTAAATATTTTTCAGGATAGTATACTAAAGTGTAGATATACCAAATGCTAGATCTTAAAAGCCCAATTAGAAACACAATATAGTTTGCTTGATAGAATTTCTAATTTTTATTGAATTATTTAATCAAAAAGTGGAGAATCACCATACCATTAAAAGATTAAGACTTTGTCTAGTTTTTATCCGTTTTTAACTAAGAAAATTATTCTACCAATTTTACAGAATTATTTCCTAGTATGTCTAAAGAGACTCTAGAAAACTGAAGAGATTCTAATTGAATTTGTTAAATTTCTTGCAATTTGTTATAAGTGTTATCATTTATTTCGTAGAAAAAACTGGTAGAAAACATAGTCAAGTCTACTTCGTTTCTTTGCTGTGCTGCAAAAAGTTCTTCTATTAAACATTAATCTGTTTGCTTTTTCCAATCAGCTAAGTAAAAATCTTTTAATTTTTCTTCTTTGGTTAATAATTTCTTTTTATAAAGGGTTATTGTCATGGGATGCAGCATCGCATATTTGCAAGATATAGAAAATATACGAAAAATAACCATAATCCACATGTTATAGACTTCGAATACTTCTACAAAAGTCTATGTTTTAGGAATAAATATATAAGCTATTGTAATAAACAAGTTTGTAATCCAAAGTACAAACTAGATGAAACTAAAATCACCTCCTAAGTTAAAGCCAAGATTCTTATAAATATAAGTCTTATTAAAAGGATAAAAAATAATAATGCAAAAAGGCCCAAATATGTAGTAAATTATATGATAAATGAAGAATTCAAAGAATTGAGACCAACTCCAAGAAGCGTAATTGCCAAACTTGCCTTAAAATTCATCTAAATTGATATCTCCTTCTAGATTCATTATCTAGTCAAAGTTTGAGCTGTCTTATTTAAAATACTCGCTATCATCTGAATACGATTAAGTATTCGTCATTTGATCAGCGTTGTACTAATCTCCATCAAAATTTTATTAATCATCTTAATCTTCATTATTTTCAATTTATTTATTAGAATTTTATCCTAGATTTATAAAATCTTTATTATTTTCTCTTGAACAATCTCTTTCTTATTTTTAAGATCTGAAACCTTATTTCAATTTTTTGATGTACTTCACCAAATCATCCTGCTCGTCTTCTTGAAAAGTTTAAGTTTTAGATCTATCAGAAGAATTTATATTATTATGTTTTTTTCTTTAATTTGTTTCACTCAAATTGTAAGATTGGTTATCATCGTTTATGGAAAGAAATCTCTCTCTTATTTCTTTATCTTAGGAATCCATAATTTAACTAATTTCCTAATATCTGAATGAAAAATTTGATTATTTTTTAAAGTCAATTAGATTATTAATTGAAAGAGTGGTCTTTATTTTATTTGGCGAAATCTTATTTCTAAGTAATCTAAAAATAATTTATCAACTTATTAATTTTGTTTAAATTTCACATAAAAGAAATTTGATGTAATTAAAGAACTTATAGAGAAAAAAGGAATAAGTAAGTAATTTATTAGTTTTGATCAAAAATTAATTTCAATGCAAACACATACTTTTAAAATACCAAAATTGGATATTTCCTATTAATTTATCATCTATATCTAAGCTTTTATTAAAAAAACTAAATACAAGTAAATAAGTAAAACAAGCTCATCAAAAAGCAAATCTTCAACATAAACATAAAATAAATATATTCACTACTGATTTTACCTTTGAATAAAAGAATGTTTGATTCAATAAGTCATTAGATAATTTTTAATATCATATTTTGTATATTTTTATTTAAAAATAAATAGTGACTTTAAAGGTCTGTAAATAGATTCGATTAATTGGTAATTTGAATTAACGATAGATAAACTTTTAACAGATATTTATTTATTAAACAATTAAATACTATTAGTAGAATTTAAATAATTATGATTAAAATATTATTAAGTATTATGTAGATGATCGAGCAGATAGAAAAGATTTAACCATAAAAATTTTTTATTATATTTTTGGTGTTGAATTATTTATTAGATTTTGATTAGTTTTTTATGCTCACTAAACATACCTAGACTATAAAGAAGAATAGAACTCCTCGAGCTTTTTATAGCCCTAAGTACTAATTGTGTGGCCACTAGTTTGATCAATAAATAAACAAAAATTATAATCTTATCTATTACTCTCTAGCTCTTCAAAAGATTGAGAAGCCAATTAAAAATTTATAACAGAGTCATTTTTAGATATTCCAATAAAAAGAGGCAGTCTATTTCTATGTTTATCATTAAAGTTGAAATTTATACCACAAAATCCTAATACTCCTCCCAACCTATGATCGAATTCTAGTCCCACTTTTAAGCTTAAGATAAACCCTTGAGAGAATCCTCCTAAAAATATCCTCTCATACTGATTATTTAGAATTTAAGCTTCAAATTAAATTATTTTTGATATGAACTCAGCTGCACTTTTTATTCCATTTTCATCATTGGCTTGCAATAAATCTTATGCCTATAAATGCTCTATATCAAACCAACTATTCATTAGGAATGCAGGTAAAGCTTTAGTTTTTATTAAAGGAGCGCAAGGCAAAACAATTTTTGTATTTTCACCAAAAGGATTTATATTATCTTAAAATAGCTCATAAAAACCTAAATGAGTATCTCCATATCCATGAAGCCAAACAACAGTAAAATGATGGTCTCTTTTTGGTTCTATATAAACAATTTTTTTTTCCTTAATAAGCTATTTTACATCTAATTTTAAATATTCTTCCATCTTTGTTTTTCTATTCACTACTTTTAATTAGGAATTAGATTTGGATTTTAAACTAATTTCTGAAATATATAGATATTATTATCTGTTCAATTAATTCATTATATATTTTTAATATAAACAAATACATTAACTAAGTAGATCTTAAAAAGATTATAACATTCTATCTACACTTATATAGATTTATTATTTTAAAATATTTATTGTCAAACATTTTACTTATAAATTAGATGTAAGGAATAAAAATTAGAAATTGGTATTTTAATTTTTATTAATTAATCTTTAAATGAATTTACTCTTATATAATGCAGTTCCTATAACCTTGTAATTAGCTGCTTGTGTAAAAGGCCAGGTTGGTTTGGAGATAAATTTAAATTTATTATTGAGTAATTGTGAATATAGAGGTTAAGAAAAGTATCATAAATATTAGAAATTAATATAAAAAATAAATTAAATAATTTTTAAAAATATGATGCAATTAAATTATTTCATTTTCTTACTTTTTACTTTTTATTAATGAAATTAATAAGTGTTAGTTTAGTGAGTTTTTGTGTTAAAAAATTTGATTTCTTAATTTGACTTTGTTTTTTTACAAACAACTTTTGTTTAAATAGAAAATAAGCATTTATAATTCATAAAGATTTAATTTACTTGATTTATAAAGTTTATTTTGTAAATTAAAATTTTAATTATTTTAATATATTTATTTCCTAACCTTCTAAGTATATCTAAAATATTTTATAAATACTGTAGGTTCTCATAAATTAACACCCTGTTAAATTAACACCCAATTATTTATTCATGAAAATTTCATCCAAAAATTGAGTAAAAAACAGACAAGGGGGTGGGTGTTAATTAATGAGAACCTACAGTATATTGTAATTTTTATTTAACCTTTGCATATTCTTTAAAAAACATTAATTTCGATTATTAATACATCAATTTATATTTTTGATATAAAAGCTTAGCATGTATGTAGTTTAATATAAGACACAAGCAATTACTAAAAGCTTTGATTGCTTGTCAAAAATGTGTGCGATTTAAAGGAATTGCTTATTTATGAATATTCAATCTTTAAATTTATATAAAATAAAATTTTTTTTTTAATTCCAATATTATTATATTTTTAAAGTATTAAAATATCTTTTATTTATCCATATTTTAGTTTAAATTATTCAATTACAAAATATTATAAAATAAATGTATTAAACTATATTATTCTAATTTTTTTTTTCTTCATGTTTTGATCATATATTTACTATCATTAGAATAAATTGTAAGACAACTAATCTCTTTGATTTAAGACACTTATTCTTTATTTTCATTGTTTCTTATTTTTAACTTTTAAAATAAATAAGTGTAAATTACTAATCAAAATTAAGAATAAAATGTTTATTAAAAATATTATTTTTAATCAGTAAATATCAAACAACATTATCAAGAATAATAAGAAAAATAAATCAAATAAAAAGCAATTGATAAATAAATAAATTAAAAGAGTTTTATTGTTTTAAATTCATTTTTATAATAAAAAGTATCGTAATCCAAAATAAATAAACTTTTCTACGAAAGAGTGAGCGTTAAGTTTGAGAGATTAGTGCACTTTTTTAAAGCAGAACCTAAACTTGATGCTCCAATCTCGCTAATTTAATTCAACCTTTTTAAATATCGAAGTACACATATAAAATATATTAGTTAGTAAGAGAGAAAAAAAAAAATGAAATAATAAGAAATGATTAATAAATAATAAAAGCAAAAGTTGAAAATAAAAAATGAATTAAACTAAGAAGGAAAAAAAAAACATAAGCAGAATAAAAAGAAAAATAAATTAAATTAAAATTAATAAATAAATTAAAGAATTTTATTGTTTTAAATTCATTTTTATATTAAAAAGTATCACAATCCAAAACAAATAGACTATTTTTACGTAAGAAAAAGTGTCAATTTTGAGAGATTAGTCCACTTTTCTAAAGCTGAACCTAAGTTTGATACTCCATCATCACCAATTTAATTTTTACTTTTTAAGTATTGAAGAAAAAATAAGTAATTAATAAACTAGTAAATAGGAAAAATTGAAGAAATAAATTAAAAATAAATTGAAAATTACAAAATGAATTAAATTAAAAAGGAAGAAAAATAAAAATAAAATAAATAAGAAAAATAAATCAAATAAAAAACAATAAATAAATTAAAAAAATTTTATTGTTTTAAATTCCTTTTTATATTAAAAATTATCAAAACCCAAAACAAAATAAACTGTTTTTACTAAAGTGAAAGTATTAAATTTGAGAGATTAGTGCAGTTCCCTAAAGCAGAACATAAGCCTGATATACCTTCATCACCAATTTAATTCTAACTTTTTAAATATTGAAATAAGAATAAATAAATAGTTTATTTATTATTTAATTAGAAAATAAAAAATATGAAATAATTAATAAATTATAAATTTAAGAAAAAGTTAAAAATTAAAAAATGAGCTTATTTAACAATGAAACAAAAAAACATAAGCAGAATAAATAAAAAAAGAAAAGCAAATCTAATAAAAAGCAATAAATAAAAATATTAAAAGAGTTTTGTTGTTTTAAATTCATTTTTATAAAAAGTATTATAATTCAAAATTAATAAACTGCTTTTACTGAAGAGAAAGTTATAAGTTTGAGAGATTAGAGCATTTTTCGAATGCAGGACCTAAACCTGATGTACCTTCATCACCAATCTAATTACAACTATTTAAATTGAAGAAAATATATAATTAATTAGTTATTTAGAAGGAAAAAAGGAATAAAAATGTGAAATAATAAGAAATTAATAAATTTATAATGAAAGCAGAAGTTGAAAAAGAAAACATTAGCTAAATTAATTAACAATAAATAAAAAAAAACACATCCAAAATAAAAAAGAAAAATAAATCAAACAAAAAGATAAAAAATAAGCTAAAAGAGTTTTATTGCTTTAAATTGAATTATTAATTAAAAAATATAACAATCCAAATAAATAAACTATTTTTACGAAAGATCAAGAGTCATTTTTTAGAGATTATTGAGTTTCTGAGCTTCTGAGTTTCTGAGATTTTGCGTTTTTGAGTTTCTGAGTTTCTGAGTTAATTTATTAGTTTGTTAGTTTACTAGTTTCTGAGTTTTTTGCGCACTTGAGCTTCTTTCAGAGTTTCAATGTTTTTTTATGTTCAAATGTTTCAGTGTTAGTGTCTAAAGTTATAATAAACTAAAATTAAATTATATAAAACTATTATTAAATTTTTTATTTAAGATGTATTCTGAGTGCATATTTATGTGCGAGTATTTCTATTCTATTCTATTCTGGACCAATTTAATTTTAACTATTTAATTATTGAAGAATAAATATTTAAACAATTTGTTATTAAGAAGGAAACAAAGAAGAAAAAATATGAAATAATAAATTAATAATGATAGAAAAAGTTGAAAATCAAAAAATTAACATGGAAGAAAAAAAAAAACAAACATAATAAAAAAGGAAAATAAATCTAAAAAAATAGTAAAATAAATAATTTTTATTATTTTAAATTCATTTTTATATTAAAAAGTATAACAATCGAATAAATATTTTTACGAAAGAAAAAGTGCCAAATTTGTGAGATTAGTGTACTTTGCTAAAGCAGAACCTAAGTTTGATGCACCAATTTCACCAATTTTATTATAGCTATTTAAATATTGAACAAAAGATAAAAAATTAACTTGTAGTAAGAAGAAAAAATGTTAAATAATAAGTAATAAATAGATTTATTATGAAAGCAAAAGTTGTGAATGAAAAAATGAGCTAAATAAATAAGGAAACAAAAAAAATAAACTGAATAAAAAGAAAAATAAAAAAAATAAAATCAATTATTTAAATAAATTTAAAGATTTTTATTGTTTTAAATTCTTTTTTATATTAAAAAGATAACAAATAAACTATTTTTACGAAAGAGAAAGTGTCAAATTTTAGAGATTAGTGCACTTTTCGAAAGCAGGACCTAAGCCTAATGTACCTTCATCAACAATTTAATTATAACTTATTAAATTGAAGAAATAATATATAAATAATTAGTTAGTTAGTTAGTTAGTTAGAAAGAAAGAAAAAAAGAAGAAAAAATGTGAAAAAATAACGAGTGAATAAATTAATAAAAAGAAAAGTTGAAAATAAAAAATTACTTTATTTAACAAGGAAGAAAAAAAACAAAAGCAGACTAATAAAGAATAAAAAATCAAATAAAGCAATAAATAAATTAAAAGTGTTTTATTATTATAAATTCATTTTTATATTAAAAAGTATCATAATCCAAAACAAACAAACAATTTTTACGAAAGAGAAAGTGTCAAGTTAGAGAGATTAGTGCAATTTCTTAAAGCAGAACCTAAGTTTGATGTACCTTCATCACCAATTTAATTATAACTTTTTAAATATTAAAATAAATAAATAATTAATTAGTTAGAAGGAAAAAATGAAGAAAAATATTAAATAATAAGAAACGCATACCATTTGAAACCATTTTTAAAAATAGATTTCAAATAAATTAATAATGAAAGGAAAACTGAAAATAAAAAATGAGCTAGATTACTAAGGAAAAAAAAAATAAAAAGGAAAAATAAATCAAATAAAATGTGAAAAATAAATTAAATGAGCTTTATTGTTTAAATTAACTAATTATTTTTACCGAAGTTCAAGAATCAAGTTTAAAAGATTAGTACACTTTTCTAAAGCAGAACATAAACCTGATATACTTTAATCATCAATTTGCATTTAACTTTTTAAATTTTGAAGAAAAAATAGAGTATTAATTAGTTAGTTAGTTAAAAGTAAAAAATAATAAAAAAACATGAAATAAATAATAAAAATGAATAAATTAATAAAGAAAGCAAAAGAAAGCTGAAAATGAAAAGAAAGGTAAAGTAGTTAAAAAAAATAAAAACGAGAATGAATCTCTATTAGAAAAGTAATACTTAAATTATTAAAAATAAAAAATAATAATAATAATATTAAATATACCTTTGAATAATATGGAGAACCTAATGAGATTAAAGTGAAGAGCTTAAAAACTTTTTTTATTATTAACAAGTAAATTTTTTTACAATCTATTTTTAAAAAAGTTTTTAATAAAATTAAAAGTATATTTATATATTTTAAAAAATACCTCTATTAATTATTTTACTAATATTTTTTAATAAATATTTTAACTCATTCTTTTAACATACAAAAGAGGATAGATTTATTTTCATTTAATTAATTTTATTTGTAATTTTTCATATTTCTATTTTGTTTTAGATAAAAACAAAGATTTTCATATTTGTTTGAAGTTATCAAATTCAAAATTATAAAATTGAATTCATTTTAAAATCACTTTTATGAAACAATTCTATTAAATTACAATCAATAACTTAAAAAATTTTGTTAAATTAATCAATAATAAATTTATAGAGCAATTTACTCATTTCTTTTAATATGAACAAGTTTCAAAAAAGCTTATTCTTTAAATGGTTTCTTCTATAAGCTAATTATATGCTTCTTTTATATTTACATTATATTTTGCAGATACTTCAAAAAATAAAATTCCATAAGAATCTGAAAAAGATTTTGCTTCATTAAAGCTAACTTGTCTATTAGAATATTTGTCTAATTTATTTCCAAGCAGAAGGTAGGTAAATTTCCTATCCTAAATTTTCGTTGATTCGAAATAATATTTAGTCATTTCTTCAAAAGAATTTCTGTCTGTAATATCATAAACTAAAATTAAGCAACCACCTTTCAAAAGTAATCTAAAGTAATTTTTCATAGTAACAGCTCCTTGTATTTCTTCACCTGATGTGTCTATTTAAGTTATTTATAAATTCAAACCACACTATTTTTATATTTATTTATTGGTTAGTTAATTCAATTGTAGGTTTTGGCTTAATCATTTTATTGAAAACAAATATTTTAAAAATTTATTTTTGTTTAATACCTGAATAAAGGTATTAAATTGTTTTAATTAATTAATTAATTTTTATTGATTATTATTTAAGGAGAAAATAATGATTAAAATCTGAGTAAGCAGAAAAATTTTAGTTGTATTATCTATCAAAAGTGAGAGAGAGAAGTAAAAAAAAATATTTCAATTAAATAAGCTACTTTTTTTATATCATTCTGATAATAAGGTACTTAATAATCAATTCCACAATACCTTTGAGCAATAGTTGATTTACCAACAGCTAATTCTCCACCAAATAAAACAATTATAAAACCTTGTTTTCTTATTTACTCCATTTTCTATTTTGAATTGATTAAATCTTTGATAATTAAATTATTTATAAAAAATGTTGATCCTTTTAAAATTAAGGCATTTAAAAAATAGAATATTTTTCTATATTCTTATATAAATTTAATGAATAATAACTTTAAAAAATCTTCACTGATTAGTACGTACATCAAGATTGTGGAAACGCAAGAAATTAATTACAGGATTAACTAGATTAATTATTTGAATAGTAATTTTATTTTAATTTCTATAACAAAACTTTTATTTTATTATTTTTTAATTTTAAATTTTATATTAAATAGATTTTTATTTGATAATTATTATATAATACTTTATCATTTTCAAAATTAATTAATTATTTTAAAAACAAATAATTTCCAAATATTTTAACTAAAATTAATTTTCTAAAAATTTTTATTAATTTTAAAAGTAAAATATTTTTTTTATTTTTTAGAATAAATAATTGCAAATATAAAAATAATTTTATTTTTTCAACTTTTTAGAATAAAAAGTTTTAAATTAGAAAAATAAAATCCTTATTTAAAGATAAGAAAATCTTTTGGTTTTATGAATGGGAAGATGTAATTAGATAGACAGACAGACTGGTTTTATTTAATAATAATAAGCATTTTAATTTTTCAATATTAAAAAATAATGAATACTTTTTAATTGATTTGATTACAAAATTTAAAGAATAAACTTTGCGCCAAAATTTATTTAACAAATAAAAGGATCATTTATAAAATTGAATTTGAAATTTAAAAAATCATTGAAAGGGAAATTAAATAAAAACGCAAATTATAAATAAAACACGCAAAGTTATTAAATATTATTATCATAATCAATTAATAAAATATCCTAACACTCCCAAATTATATTTATAATTAATATAGATAATAATAATTAAAGCGATTATAAACTAGGGATATAGGTAAATTTGCAAGGAGATAATAACAATCATTAAATACTTATAGACCAGTCAAATTATTACAAAAGCATGGAGTAAGAAGATTTGTTTTCATCATCCTCAAAAAAGTTTAGGAAAAACAATCATAATGAGGATGAAAGCGTAGACATGATAAATATGGACTATGATAGTGGCATTAAAGGATAGAAAAACTAGCTTAGAAAATACATTGAGGACTTCGCTCGCTTGGAAGATATAGAATAGAAGCTTGATGAATTGTAAGACTCTTTAAGCAGCTTAGATCCAAACGTATTGATAGATTTGACTAGTAAGTTGAATATTGGTAAAGAAATACAAATGGAAGTAGCTGAGATGATGCAAAACATAGAGGATAATAATTAATATTCAGCTTATTTTTAGATAAGTTTTGCTGAATTTAAGAGAGCTTAAGAAATGCTCGATTAAATGCAACAATATAAACTCAATATGGTGAGTGAAAGCTAATAACTCACGTTTCTTATATAAATAAAGGAATTCTTAGAAAAACTTATGAAAGCTTTAAAGATGACTGTTAATGTTGGAAGAAAAGGTGGGAAGGAAACTGATAAAGAAATTAAGTAATTTGATGAAAATTTGAAATTTATTTAAGCGGGTATTTTATCAGATGATTCTTTGGGAGAAAAACTAGAACTTGATTAACTTAATGGATTGTATGTAGATTTGCTCAGCGCAATAGATTTAGCATAGAAGCTACCTGAAAAGAGTCGTAATTCTAAGATTAAATTAGTGAAGTTTTTAGAAGATAAATTTACTGAAGCGATTTGGATCAATAAGGCAACTGACCTTAAAAATAGTGACACCACCTCAGTCATTTAGATGTCATTTTCTAAATTTAATGATCTTTTAAGATAGGTGCCAAAAGAGAATTAAAAAGCATAGTAGCTCTTAAAAGAATTAGATGCTATGAAAGAAAAGTATCTCGCATATGCTAATTTATTCAAGGATTTAGAAACAATAATTGATGAAAAGAAAATTAGCTTTTTACCATCAGATTAGTTAAAAACTCTTTCAACTAAACTATAACAGGCATCTTCTAAATACAAAGAAGTTCCTTATGCTCTTAAATTAGATTTGAAGCAAAAGTAGCAATTTGTAGAAAGGATTTAAGATAGTATTAATTGGTCTATAAATGCAAAAGGTATACTTGAAGAAAGAGTGCAAAATGTAGAAAAGTTGGAATAGATTTTAATAGAGCAAACTCAAAAGCAACTTTAACCTTCCTAGAAACTGCTAATAAAAGACATAAATGAGAGAATTTCAGCTGTGAAAAAGTGCGATTCTTAACTCAACTAAATTAAAGAATAAATTGAATAGTATAATTAATCAAAGCAATAGGAATAAAAGAATAAATATTAGGTATAAGTTTTTATTGAGCTTTTTGATACTTACAAGGATTTAAATCAGTATATCGAACTCGAGTCTCAACTCAACTAAGTAGAGGACTTCCTTAAAAAGTATTAAGATGAAGAGTTTACCATTCTAAAGCTAACTAAGAATTGGATGAGCAGCTTAAATGAGTAGAATTTGGAATTGAAGTCTTTTAAGTCTGATTTAGAAAATGTTTCATCTTTGATGTAAATATTTTTAACATTATTTATTTTTTTCATTAATTTATTAAATTTTAAGAAAAAAGAGTATTTTCGAGTGGAATAAATATGAAGCAAATATTTAAGGCTTGGAGCTTGCAATATAGATAAAAGAGATAATTTAAACTAGTTAAGAAGAATCAATGAACGAAAAGAGTGATATGATTGATGAAGACAAGAAATTGAGTTGGAAAAGCGTCTTGCGTTTAAAAGAATAATTAGCAGCATTAGAGTAGAAAGACAACTATGTTATCAAAAATTTCGATGGCAGAAATGTCTTTTTGAAATCGATAGAAGACTATTAATTAGCCAAATAGGATTTAGATAATATAGGTAAGAAGAGCATTACTTAAGAGAGATTCGATGAAATATGCAGCATTATACAAAACACATTTATTCATTCTCCTAATGATTAGCAACGCTTAATGAAAATTAAATAGTTAAAGGAAAAAATCTATAATGAAATGAGAGAATTTGAAGTGTGCTATGTCAAAAAAGAGAAGGTGGACATTAAGAGAATATTTGATGTTTTAGAATCAATTAAATTGAGTGGATTGAAGTTGGATGATAAAAAAGTTTAATTAGAAAAGAAGATTCACATTGCTAATTAAATAATTAGAATTGTTAAGACTTCAGCTAACTTTGATGTTGACAAAATTATTGAGCAGTACAATAATTAGAGTGTTTAAATAGAATAAATGGAAGAAATGATAACAGAAAATAAGCAAGTGAACAATGATTTAGAGGATTTTTAAGAAAAAATCATTTATAGCTTTGATGACTATGAGGATTTAATGGAAATATACTAAAAGATAGGTTCTGTTAAGCTTCATTTCACTAGAAAGAGACCATATCTGTTATTGAAATAAAAGATTTTCTCGCTTTTAACTATATTGATATGGAAGAGCTGGTCAGAAAACAAACCCTTGTTTGGATTTAACTACAATTCTCTCAAAAGTATTTTGAATGACAGCGAGTTGTATGACGAATTTATAATTCTCAATAAAGCAAAAATTAAGCAGTTGAATATTTTTACTTAAGAAAAGCAATAAAAAGCTTAAATGCCTAAGATTTAAAGAAATTCTTAGAAAGAAAATGAAATGCAAATTGAGGATTTACCATCAACTGAGACAAAAGTAAAGAAAATCGAAGAATTAAGTGCTTAGGAAATTGTTATGGACTTGGAAAAAGACAAAGAAGATATTGAAAAAGATAATAAAGATGACAATGAAGAAAAGATATATTTGGGAGATGAAGAAAACAACAATATAACAGATGAGCCAAAAAATGCAAGATAGTAAGAGTGTGGTGGAGCTGAAGAGCAAATAATGTAACAAGAATTAAATTAATAAGAAGAAATTGAAGAAGAGTTGATAAGCTAAGAAAAGAAGCTGAAGAGTATCTAAGAAATAATTGTCGATGAGAGAGTGCAAGTAGAGATTTCTATCTTAAAAGAATGTAGAGATTTAATAAAAAGCATGTGGGATCAAGTCATGAAAAGAGTCAGATATATCAGAGAAGCTTAAAAAAGTGCTGAAATTGAGAAGCTTGAAAATGAGTATGCTTATCAATTAGGCTGTGTTGATTTGATGGATATATTAATCGAATAAAAAATATTAGTTTAAGGTAAAGAAGAATTATATGAATAGGAGTAGCTAAAAAAGAAAAAGCTCGAGGAGCAACAAAATCAAATGAAAGAACAACAATACCAAGCAGCATAATATTTTGCTTAAACTTAATTACAAATACAATAACAAAAAAATAATAACAAGACAATGAAAAAATCCTAAAATGTAAATTAGAGTACTAATGTTGTTTAAAGTTAGACTAATTAATAAGTACCAAATTCATCAGATAGTGCTGTTGAAAAGATTTTGGCAACTTAGAGCTTTGCCCAATTCGATCAAAAGAAAATAAAAATTGCAAAAAAAATAATAGGAAGCATGATTTCAAATCCACACTATAAAGATTTGAATCACAGAATTATTGAAAACACAGTGAGTTATTTAATAAAAAAAATAGTTTAATTTTAGTATACATAAGATTATATTGAGTAAATATTTGAGTTCTTTAATGAGCTTAAAGAAGATGTTTATTTGGCTGAGCAATATCGTAAAGAATCATTTAGCTTTAAGTCATTCTCCACAATGATGAGACTATAATCAAACAAGCTTTAAGACAATATTAAAATCAAAAAGAGAAAATTGAATGAAGATTAATAGCAAGTTAGTTAATAGGGATAAGAATTAGAAATTTAATTGGAAAAGCAGTAAAAAGGTATTAGTTTAGATGATGTTTATTGCAATACTGTTAAGAAAGCTCCTTCTAAAATTATTGATCACGATGAATATGTTAAGCTAAATTACAGATTCAGCAATACTCAAATAAAAGATCCACTTTTCAAAGAGTTTTATCGTCTTTTACAAAGCAAGGAAACTCTAGCTTAATTCAGAAAATATTAACAAGAGCTATAAAGAATAGCTGGAGAGGCTGATTTTTAAGCAGGGTAATATAATGGAAATGAAACAGAAGAAGAGGACGAAGAAGAAGAAAATAAGAAAAAATCAATTAAATCATCTAAAAATAAGAGCAGTCTTTCAAGCATAGGAAGTAAATCAAAATTAGCTGGATAATTCTCTTCAGAGGACGAAGAAGATTACTAATAAGAAATAATTTAATCTCATCCATCTGTTTTGAAATACATCAAAGACGACAGAGTAAAGAAACTTATTGATCCCATTAAAGAAGAAGAAATGGATAGCTTTATTGATTTTTGCAATAACCAACTTCGTTAAAAGTTGACAAAAGAGCTAGGTCAAATCAGAATCATGTACAATCCCTTAACTAATGATGAGGAATACATAAAGCACTAAAAAGGTAGCAAAAATGATGCTTCTGGCTACGAAACTGATGACGGAGATGAGAAAAATAAGTACGATCCTGAATAAATAAAAAATTAAAAGAACATTTACAGTATTTATCAAGGCTAAATCCACCTCCGTCCTGATACTAACTAGGTACCTTTAGAGGTCACATGCATAATAGAATCCACTGAAGCTTTATTAAAAGAATGTCCTGTTTTTAAGTATGGGGATATGATCAAGTAGAGCGGAGAATCTGAAATGCTTGAAACAAAAGAATTCCTCATCAGATCTTACAAATGCGAAACTATTCTCTCACTGTTTGGCTCAATAGAAAGCGATAACGAAGAAGCTCAAAAATAATTAGATTCACTTGCTTAAGATCTAAAGAATAGAGACAGAGTTTCTATAGCTTTATGGAATACAGCAACAAAAATGTACATCTTCCACAAGAAATTGTTTGAAAGAGATCACTGTGGAAACAGAATACAAAAGAAATTAAATCTCTCTTCATCTGAATTGTGCTTTGCTATAATTTTTAAATCAACTAGTTGCAAGCCTGAAGAGATAGAAAGTATTACAAAAATAACTGACCCTGTTTTATACGCTTAGTCTCCTTCTGACTTTTTGGAGTTGCAAGCAATTAAAACTGCTCAAAAAAGAGAAAATGAAGAATTCAGAGACATGAACAAAGAAAATCTTTTTGACAGTAGCGAAAAACCAAAATTTAAAAAACCACTGCCAAAATACAAAAAAGATACTGTTCTTAAAATTTATTTACCCTTAAAGGAGAGTGAATCTAATATTAAAGAAAATTAGTCAAAGAACACTCTTAGTCTTCTAGTAAAACCAAGAACTAAAGAAATTGAAAAAAAAATAGAATATGCTGTTCAAAAGCATCAATTCTAATCTAACTTTGTTAGACAGCAGCCACCTTTGAGAGTTACCTAAGTAAAAAATTAATTATTCATTATAAATTTATGTTTTATTTATTATTTATAAATATAGACACCAGAATACAATCCACAAATAGATGAAATATTAAGGAGAAGAGTATAGGGAAAAAGAACAGGAAAGAAATCTATAATGCTTGATGATTTAAAGTTAAAAGTGAAGGATCCAAACAATTAAAAGCCTAATTTACTTGAATAATCACAATTTAATGAAATTTTACCAACAACGAATAAGAAGTTTTCAATGAGTAAGAAGAGTGTTACTATTTCTGATAAAATACAGGAAGAAGAAGATTTATAATAATAGCAATATAATGATGATTTAGGTTATAATGATAATGATTATGGTGGCATTAATGATTACTAAGAAAATTAATTTTAAGAAGTTACACCTTTCGAAGTGAATCCAGTGAGAAAGACAGAACTCTCATCAGTTTCATCCTTACATTACAATAAAAGTGTTTCTTCTAAGCAATCAAAAAGCATTTTAAGCAATAAAATGTCTTCTGTTTCTTCTTTAAGTTCTCAATATAAAGATAACTTTAACAGAAAGCCAAAATCATACATTGAAGAAGACTACTTAACCTAAGTAAACACCTACTAGAATTCTAGATAGCCAAAGTAATCTGTAATGGCCTTAATGGGATAAGATAGCAACAGCGAATAAGAAGAAGAGTAAGAAAACCAAGACTATTTGTAAAAAAAAGTTATAGAACAAGCAAATAGAAACATGCAGTTATTAAGTGAAGACTCTCAAACACCAATTTATTCAAAGTCTAGTATTTCTTCTCTCTCTGAAGAATCAATGGCCAAAAATAACTAAAAACTTTAAGAACTTGCATCGATTTTAGATTAGATGAAAACAAATACTGCATAAAACGAAAGAAAAGCATCTACATCCTCCATTTCAGTTTCATAGTTTGAAGGAAGTCTGAATGGCGATTCCAATTTTTCCAAAGTTTCTTCTATTAAATCTAGAAGACCATACAGCACAGTTTCTAAGAACACATTAAAATCAGTTAGTTATAACGATGAATCAAATTAATAATTCTAAGAAGACTTCTAATTAGATTCACAAGAAATGGATCAAGAAGAACCTTAATACTATCACTAGAATAATCAATATTAAAATAAGTTTAATTTCAATAATAGAAATAAAATAGCTAATAACTACTTAGAACCAGAAGAAAGTGATTACAAACCAAGTGATATTTCTTCTTTGCCAAGCAGTGATTAGAGCAATAGCAGATTTGCATAACCAAAATTCACTAGCTAAGGTAAATTCCCATAAACAAAGTTGTAATTCTAAAAGAATAGCAATTATGACAACAAAGAAAACACTTTTTACAACAACTAAAGAGATCTTGAAAATGATGGAATTTTAACTCCTTAGCTTAGTCTCTCAAAAGACTCCTATTCAAAATTATCTGTACCTTCATTGAGTTCATATAGCGGTAAGAGATCACACAACACATTTAATTCCAATTAAAACTAACCTGCTTTCAACAAGAGTTCTAAGTTTTCAATCAGCAGCTATCACAGTAATCGTACACAGCAATACTCTGAAGACTTAGACTATGAAAAACAAACACCTGTTCTTGAAAATTTTGTTAATAACACTTTTAGAAATGATAATACTGCCTAAAACTTCAATAGTTCTCGCAACTTCAACAACAACAATAATAATCCAACCAATTACCAAAGACATCAATAAAATAATTCATACTAAACGAATAATTAATCCTAAAGAAGACCATTAAATACCCAACCTTAGGCCTACATATATGAGCAAGACAGTTATCAGTAAGCAATTTTATTTATTTAATTAATTATTTATTTATAAATATTTTATTGTAGATATAATAGCAAAGTATTCAATAAATCCATGTAGAAATCCATACACAAAAACCAGTCAGCATTTAACATATAAAACTATTACAATGAAGATGATTAACAATAAAGTGAACCATCCTCTATTAATTCAAAAATTTACGAAGAACAAATTCTTGATTTCCGTGACTAATTAGATAGCTTGCTACAAACCATTAAGCATAAAAAATTTATGCATTAATAATGAATAAATTTTTGAATATTTTTAATAAGAAAAAGATAAATAATTGTGTTTAATATTTAAACTTTAAATAATTTATATAAAATATATTTATAATTAATATTTTGTCTGTTATTCGAGTGTGTCAACTAAAAATTATATAATTAATAAATTATAAGGTACCTTATATCCTCATAAATTCATAAATTGCACCATTTTAATGCAGGATCACTTTTTAATATTTTATATGCATATTATTCTTTAAATATAAAATAAATGGGTGGGTTTGTAAAAAATGTGTATGTATGATTTAAAAATAGTTAATTTAGAAAATTAAATGACTAATAAGCAAGCATAACCAAAAGAATAAAAATAAAATAAAAAATACAATTAGTAATAAAATTACTTGTAGATTTAAAATTAATAATTTTAATTGTGTTCATTCAATTACTTTATTATTTTTGTTGTTGTTCTTGTAAATTTTTAATTTAATCAAATAAAACTAAAAATTATTTATATTAATCTTCATTGATATCTTGTTTTTCATAATTTTTCATATTTCCAAATTAAATGTAGTAGTTCTTATTAAATAGCTTAATAACTTTTATGAATTTGCAATTATTGGGTAAATTGTCATCTTTAGCAATATTTTAGTAATACTCTTCCTTTTATTTTGGAGTCTGTATGTTTTGAGGAAATTAAAATCCTTACATAAAGATGTGTGTGCTCATTTGGTTTTACTCTTTAAAATAAGATTAAAGAATGGTTTCTTTAGTAAATTAACTGGCCATTTGATATTTAATTGTCTGGAAAAATTTCTTTACTTATGAAGTGATATCAGTTAATTACTCATTATAATCTGGTTCTTTGATTTTCAGTGGTTACGATTTATAAAGTTATTATTACATTTAATCTTCTTTATCTATTTTATATTATTGGCTGTAATTTTTATAAAGAGGCTTGACAAATTCTTAATTTTATTTTAACTCTTCTTATTGTTTAAAAAATTATTTTTCTTAAATTTAAAAATCTTAATTTAAATTTTATTAATTTAAATTTTATTGAATTTGCTGATTTTAATTTTATTAGTTTTGATAGTTAATTTATTAGGTTTACTAATGCTAATCTGTAACTTAGAATTGCTTTTGCTAATTAAATTAATTTTCATTCTATTAGATTTAATTCTAATTCTAAAATTTTTATGAATATTATTGCTGTTAGGTTTCTTAGAATTACTTTTATTAATTAAAAAGTTATTCATTGGAGTTAATTTAGTTTTAGTTATAAATTTATTATGTTTGTTGTTGCTATTACTATTATGTTATTTAGAATTACTATTATTAAGGATAGTTATTTTAGTTTTATTAGTTCTAATTATTAAAATGCTAGGTTTATTATTGTTATTTTGTTATTTAGAATTATTTTTATTCATTTTAAGGAAGCTCATTTGAATTTACATACAAAGTTTACTATTTCTAGTAAAAATTTTGTTAATCTTATTAAGCATTTTAATTAGTTATTAAATTTGGTGTTATATTCTATTAATTTTAGTTTTAAATTTATTATGTTTGTTGTTGATATTACTATTAAGTTACTAAAAATTATTATTATTATTAATCATTCTAAAATGATTATGTTGATTATTGCTGTTAGGTTACTTAGAATTATTTTTATTAATTAAAAAGGTATTCATTTGAGTTAATTTAGTTTTAATTATTAATTTATTATGTTTGTTGTTGGTATTACTATTATGTTATCTAGAATTGTTATTATTATTATTACTATTAATTTTAAGGCTAATTATTTTAGTTTTAGTAGTTCTAATTATTAAAATGCTAGGTTTATTATTCTTATTTTGTTATTTAGAATTATTTTTATTCATTTTAAGGATTCTCATTTTAGTTTACATACAAAGTTTACTATTTCTAGTAAAAATTTTGTTAATCTTATTAAGCATTTTAATTAGTTATTAAATTTGGTGTTATATTTTAATTTTATACTTAAAAAGTGTGTGGTAGATTTGCTTAATTGATATTTTAATCATTCAAATTATTGTTGATATTATAGTTAGGATTTTATTGCTATTGATAATTTGTGTCATTTTAGCAATTGTTTGCATTATTAAATTGAATTGCTTAGTGCAAATATTATATTTATTGGTATTGTAGAGTAAACTACTATTTAAAATCTTAAATTTCATTGTTTACAGTAAGCTGATTTTCATTTAGTTATTATCTTAACATTTCAAAGTCTTGTTTTAATTACTAAAAGTTGCTGTTGTATGTTTAACTATCAACATATTTATTTGAAAATTAATTGATTTGCTATTAGATTTTTTAATCTAACTAATTAATATAATTATCTGTCTTTTACATCTAAGAGAAAATTGATGATTCTATTTGTTAGATTTTTTTAAAGTTTTACTCTTACTAATTTGCTAGATTTTGAATTTTTTAGTTAAAATTCGTACAAAATTAATTTATTTAAGTAGAATTAATTACTTAGCCACTAATTTGATTCATTTTTTATTCTAATGATAAAATCTTTTGTTACATTTAATTTTAACAATCTATAATTAGTTGATTTTGATTCTATTATTAAATTTAGTTATGATTATATTTTTTTTAGGCTAGTGAATACACATAATTGAAGGGTAGTAGATAGGAAGAATATTAGTTAACAGGGATAAAATTACCACATTTTATTTACTACAGTTTTTAGTAATCTTGTGAGCTAAGAGGATCGAAAAAAAATTCAGTTTTCAAAATCAAATTTTATGGATTCTAATTAATTAAATCTTCAAATTGTTGCAATATTTAATCTGGGTCTGCCCTCTACCATGGATAAAAAGCTAAAAGAGATTTTAACATTTAAACAATAGGATTTTTCAATTTAAAGTGGTCTAGCCAACTAAATTGCATATTTTATACATACTCGTCTGAGAACAAAAGATGATAATAATTGAAATTAGAATTATCACATATTAAATTTAGCAAAATTAATCCAGCAGCAAACGAATCTGTTTTAAATGATTGCTTAGACTCAAATTATGTTTGTTTCTTAATCATTTTTTTGATGTTCTCATCCATAAGCTCAGGAGCAAAGTGATAACAATTTCCTTCAATGGATGAGGCATATTTATTACTGAAACTCTATAATTGATAGGATAAACCAAAATCACTCAGTTTAAGTCTACCATCAAAGCCAATTAATATATTGTCAGGTTTTAAATCTCGATTAATCATTTTATTATTTTAAGTAAATTTTAATCCTTTCATAAGATCAATAAAATACTAAATGAACTAGTTTTCACCTAAATGGCCTATCTATTCTTTCAACTCACTTAAGGTGCCAACACACTACTCTAATTGGATTAAATAAAATTTATTGCCTTTAACACTCTTGAAACAATATACTACATTTTAATTCCTGTTATTAAGAAGCACTTGAGCTTCAAATTCTGCCTTTTTTAATTTTTCAGAGTCTATTTCTTCACTATCATTTTTACAAATGTTAAAACATTTAACAGCATATCTATTCATATTATGATCTACACTAGAAAATACATAAGATTAGCATCCAAATCCTATCAGTTGCGAATTCTTTAATGAGAGATATTCCTTAATTTCACTTTTTGCTAACTCTATTTAGTCTTGATTTTTTTTAATTTTACTTTCAAAATTCAACTCCATTTCTAAATTATCTTCATTGTGCAATTTATTCAATTTCTACAATGAGATAAAATCATTTTCTAAAAATTAATCTTCTTTCTTCAATTTCTAAATGACATAATTCACTGCTATGCTTAGTGTGCTTTCTTTTGGTTGACTTTAAACTTGCATTTTTCAAACGAAATTAATTAATAAAAATATCTTCAATAAATAATTAACCGGATATAAATTTGATTAAATTATTATTCTAATTGCTCTTTTAAAAGAAAACCTCTAATAATGAAATTTGCATATAAAAATTAACATTATTAATAATTTAATAAAAGAATATAAAATTGTTACAACAAATAAATATACCATTGAACAAGATTTCTTTAGATATTTAGATGATATATTTTATAAAGTCTATAATAATTTAAATTTTCAATCTAATCTTAATAAAATGATGAAAATTAACTATTAATATTAAATTTAAAATATTTATTTTAAAATGAATGAAAATGTATGTACTCTAAACAAGAAATCTAATTAAATATTTTATCTAATTCAACTTAAATAAATAAAAGAATGAATGTAAGTCTAATAGTTTATTAATATAATAAATACTCGAGTTTAAATTACTTTATTAAAAAATATATTAAAAAGCATATTCTTCTTTATAATTAAAAATAATTTTATTTATTTCATATATTATACATTATGTATATATATAAATATTGTTGTTCATCCATCAACTCTATCTAAAGAGAAATTATATCAATATGTTTTAATATGATTTATTATTACAAATTTTTATGAGTAAAAATTAATGCCGGACCCGGTATTGTATTTTTTAAAATATTTATAGTTTTCATATTAATATTTTTAAAATATTATACCGTATTCCCTCGATAAGACCCACCAACCGGTCAACCGAGGTAGGGCAAAAATGGGATATTTTTTTGAAATTTTAAATTAAAAGCCATAAATTAGTCCCCCAAATAGTTGGTGGAGGGAGTACCTTTAATTATTGGGGAGTGAGAGTATTTTAATTCTAATATTATGATATTGGAATGATAAAAATTGACAATAATATGATCTCATAATTTATTTATATCGTTTAGTAATATTAGAGTATAAATCAATAAATATATTAGAAAGGTGTCTAATTGTATTAGAAGAACATTTTCCTTCAACCTATCAATTAAAATTTTTTTAAAAGATACAAAGAAAAAAATTATTTTGGATGAAAAAAACTACAATTACATCACAGTAAGGTAACCAAAAAAATCTTGATTTTACTTTATCAAGATTAAATATTTACAAAACTTAAATTGAAATTTATAAGATTGAATAACAAGAAATTAACGAAAGCGATCTTAAGCTTTTAAAGTTTTTGAATTTAGAAAGTAATAAAAATACAAAAGAAAGTGGTGAAGGATATGGATGCAATGAATAGAAAAGGATATTACTTCAAAGAGTTAATTTTATTAAGAAAAGGATGGATATACTTCAAAATTTTATAATAAAACTAGAAAGAGAATTGTATTTGGATGATGAATTAAATAGAAAAAATGGATTATCAGACGATTAAGTGAAAGAAGCCTAATTAAACAAAATTAGTTAAGAACCAGATAAATATAGTAATTTGGTTTTGAATTTGGACTACAAATTAAATTCGACTTAGGAAAGTAGAAGTAAAGATGGTTATGATGTTGAATAGTGGTTTAATTTATAAAAAGTAGATTTTAGAACATAAGCAACTATTTATGCTGCAGATTCTAAATAAAATTTTTATCGTTGGATTTAAATCTTTTAAAATAAAAATGAGTATTAGCATCTTTGTTTGTACATTCATGGCTTAGAAACTGAGACAGAATTTTTTAAATTTGATGATTTTATTTCAACACTAAAAATGTTTGATATCTGTTTCCAAACAGTTACTATTGATGTTCAATTTGAAAGTAATCTATGCATACTTGCTTTATTAAGATCTTTGATGTCGATAAATAGGTTTAATATCCTTAACATAACAACAGATTCCTCCTTTTCATATAAGAGAAAAAAAATTTATTTATACTAAGTTGGTGATCTTATAGAATCTATATTTACTGTTATTTTCTCACATCGCCATTTGTAAGGCATCAAGCTATAGCTTCCACCTGAATCATTTGATTTTTTACATAAAATTACTTCGTAAATTAATGCAAAAAAAAGCCAACTAAGAGTTTACTGCTAAGCTTCTGATTATATATTTGCTAATTCAAACAAGGTATCAGATTACTTTTAATTTTTGGCTTAAATCCCTCATTTAGCTTACATCAGCTAATACGCTATTCCAATTACAACAATAAATGCTGCTAATAACCTCAATTTTATACTTAAAAAAGTTTAATCAGCCTGTCTTAATTTAATCACAGTACTCCCATAATTTAACTTTGTAATTTGTTTCACTAATTTAAGATATTTGAATTTAGAACTCAGTTTTGATCCTAACATTTTTACAAATTAAAATCTTGAAAATCTACTTTTAAGTTTGAAAGAAGCAAAAATGTTAACTTCACTTAAATTGCGTTTTTACAAATGCGTGTATTATTCTGGTTAAGATACGACAAAAAGTTAAGCATTAAACTAAATAGCAGAAGAAAATTTAGAAATTACAGGAGGGACTCATAGAAATAATGAATTTACTCCTGAATTTAAAAGTTTATTTCATGACCAATAAAAAGTAATACAAAATACAAATTACAATCCTAACACCTGTGTTTGCACTCCTAGTTAAAAATTAAATAGTATGAAATTTTTTGACAATCTTTCTGAATTAACTGAGCTTGAAGACTTTGACATTACTATTCAAGCAACCTAAGAAATATATGATAGTTTGCATAAACTTTTGATAAAATCAACAAGTTTAAAGGAATTCTAATTAAGATTAAATTAAACATAAAAGTAAAATAAAATGGTTGACTTGGGTAATATTTATAAAACCTTGAATGATTTAAAGTAGGTATCTGTGAAGATTGAAACTGAAAATATTTGTATTTCATACTAACTTTTGAATGAGTATTCTAATTTTTATTTCTTTGATTTAGAATTAAGCTAAGAATCAAATGAATTTAGATAAATTTTCAATTAATATGAATTTTAATTAGAAAATATAAAAAAAATAAGGATTCAATAGAAATATTTAGAAAATTTAGAAAATTTGAATGTTCTATGCAAATCTTTATCTTCTTGCCATTCATTAAAGAATATATAGCTTATTGTTCATTTAAATTACAACCATAATTAACTCAAAAATATCAAGAGATAGCCTATTAACAAGCCTGAATTACTTTTTTTCAAATAATTTGAATATCTTAAGCAGTTAGAAAATATTTATATTGACTGTATCGTTGATTAACACATACTGAACTCTATATCTGAATTCTTAGAAAAGTGCAATCTAATTAAGTCATTTATTTTGAAAAAGTAAGATGTACAATAATATTATCTTGACTATTCAAATATTTTTAAAAGTCTTCAGAAATTACCTTAACTAAATTAAGTTTACGTAAGCTATTAATAAGAGTATCTAAAAATTAGTGATGAACATAAATAAACATGGGAAAAGCATAAACTAAACACTTTCTATAAGCCTTTGAGCGAATTTATCAAAGAATCATCTTAAACTCTTTAGCTAATAGATCTCAATCAAAGATAAATAGATGAAGAACCTTTAAAATAAATACTTTAATCTCTTATTGACTCAAGATTTCATCACTATATGAGAATGAATCCGTTTTTACAAGATAAAATCAAATAATAAGAAGATAAATAATATTAGTAGCTTCTTGAAGCATGTAACTAAAAAGGTGTTTTAGTATAAGGCTATTTTAAATTCCCTCTAAGTTAGCCTACTAATCCTTAATGATTTAAATAATTGTGATTGATGATTAAAATAATAGTAGTGTTTTAACCAAAGCTAAAAATAAATATGATATAATTGTATTTATCAATTATTTATTTATTTTAGAGGATCTATACTTGGCAATTTTAAAAATTTTAAATTTAAATTGTTTTTTTATTAAAGTTTGTTATTATTTAAAATGTGTTTTTTTGTTTATTGCTAATTGTGATATAGAAAAAAAGGGTATTGAGAGAAACCCATAATGACCCTCAACTTAATCCTTAATTTTTTTATTAATATTCATCAAAAATAGTGGATGTATGGAGGGAGATTCCCTTAATTATTGTGGAGAGAGTATTTTAATTCTGATATCGAATGATAAAAATATTAAGAATAATGTCTCATAACTTATATATTATTTAGTAATAATCAATAATTATTAGAAATTATACGATCTCATATTTTATTTATATCGTCTAGTAATAATTTAAATATATTAAAGTATAAATCTATTTATATATATTAGAAATGTGTCTAATTGTATTTAAAAGGGCATTTTCCTTCGAGCTATCAATTAAAATTTTTTTAAAATATATCAAGCAAAAAATTATTTTGGATGAAAAAAACTACAATTGCATCACTCGAAGGTAATCAGAAATATCTTGATTTTACTTTATCAAGATTAAATATTTACAAAAGTTAAATTGAAATTTATAAGATTGAATAGCAAGAAATTAATGAAAGCGATCTTAAGCTTTTAAAGTTTTTGAATTTAGAAAGGGCTAAACATACAGATGAAAGTGCAGAAGGAGATAACTGCAATGAATAGAAAAGGATATTATTTCAAAGAGTTAATTTTATTAAGAGAAAGATTGATATACTTCAAAAGGTTAGAAGATAATTAGAAAGAGAATTGTATTTGGATGATGAATTAAATAGAAAAAATGGATTATCAGACGATTAAGTGAAAGAAGCCTAATTAAACAAAATTAGTTAAGAACCAGATAAATATAGTAATTTGGTTTTGAATTTGGACTACGAATTAAATTTAACTTAGGAAAGTAGAAGTAAAGATGGTTATGATGTTGAATAGTGGTTTAATTTATAAAAAGTAGATTTTAGAACATAAGCAACTATTTATGCTGCAGATTCTAAATAAAATTTCTATCGTTGGATTTAAATCTTTTAAAATAAAAATGAGTATTAGCATCTTTATTTGTACATCCATGGCTTAGAAACTGAGACAGAATTTTTTTAATTTGATGATTTTATTTCAACACTAAAAATGTTTGATATCTGTTTCTAAACAGTTACTATTGATGTTCAATTTGAAAATAATCTATGCATACTTGCTTTATTAAGATCTTTGATGTCGATAAATAGGTTTAATATCCTTAACATAACAACAAATTCCTCCTTTTCATATAAGAGAAAAAAAATTTATTTATAGTAAGTTGGTGATCTTATAGAATCTATATTTACTGTTATTTTCTCACATCGCCATTTGCAAGGCATCAAGCTATAGCTTCCACCTGAATCATTTGATTTTTTACATAAAATTACTTAATAAATTAATGCAAAAAAAAGCCAACTAAAAGTTTACTGCTAAGCTTCTGATTATAAGTTCGCTAATTCAAGCAAGGTATCAGACTACTTTTAGTTTTTGGCTTAAATCCCTCATTTAGCTCACATAAGCTAATACGCTATTCCAATTAGAACAGAAGATGCTGCTAATAACCTCAATTTTATACTTAAAAAAGTTTAATCAGCTTGTCTTAATTTAATTACTGTACTCCCATAATTTAATTTTGAGTTTTATTTCTCTAATTTAAAACATCTAAATTTGGAACTCAGTATTGATCCTTAAATGTTTTCAAATTAAAATCTTGAAAATCTACTTTTAAGTTTGAAAGAAGCAAAAATGTTAACTTCTCTTAAATTATACTTTTACAATTGTGTGTATTATCCTGCTTAAGAAACTCCGAAAAGCTAAGCATTTAACTAATTAACGGAAATCAAAAGAGAAGAAAATTCAGAAATTAAAGGAGAGACTCATAGAAATAATGTATTTACTACTAAAATAAAAAATTAATTTGATGGCTAATAACAAGTAACACAAAATATTAACTAGAATCTTAACACCTATACACATACTCCTATTTAAAAAGTAAATAGTATGAAATTATTTGACAATCTTTCTGAATTAACTGAGCTTGAAGACTTTAACATTACAATTCAAGCAACCTAAGAAATATATGATAGCTTGCATAAACTTTTGATAAAATCAATAAGATTAAAGAAATTCTAATTAAAATTAAATTAAGCATAAAAGTAAAATAAAATTGTTGACTTGGGAAATATTTATAAAACCTTGAATGACTTAAAGTAGGTATCTGTGAAGATTGAAACTGAAAATATTTGCGTTTCATACTAACTTCTGAATGAGTATTCTAATTTTTATTTCTTTGACTTAAAATTAAGCTAAGAATCAAATGAATTTAAATAAATTTTCAATTAATATGAATTTTAATTTGAGAATATAAAATAAATAAGAATTTAATAGAAATATTTAGAAAATTTAGAAAATTTGAATGTTTTATGCAAATCTTTATCTTCTTGCGATTCATTAAAGAATATTTAGCTTATTGTTCATTTAAATTACAATCATAATTTACTCAAAAATATCTAGAGATAGCCTATCAACATGCCTGAATTACTTTTTTTCAAATAATTTGAATATCTTAAGTAGTTAGAAAATATTTATATTGACTGTGTCGTTGATTAACACATACTGAACTCTATATCTGAATTCTTAGAAAATTGTTAACTCATTAAGTCATTTATTTTGAAAAAGTAAGATGTACCATAATATTATCTTGACTATTCAAATATTTTTAAAAGTCTTCAGAAATTACCTTAACTAAATTAAGTTTTCGTAAGCTATTAATCGGAGTATCTAAAAATTAGTGATAAACATAAATAAGCATGGGAAAAGCATAAGCTAAACACTTTCTACTAGCCATTGTGCGAATTTATCAAAGAATCATCTTAAACTCTTTAGCTAATAGATCTGGATGAAAGATAGATAGATGATTAACCCTTAACAAAAATATTGTAATCTCTTATCGACTCAAAATTTCATCACTATGTAAGAATAAATCCTTTTTTACAATAAACAATCATTTAGTAAAAAGATAAAAAATATTACTAGCTTCTCGAAGCATGTAACTAAAAAGGACTTTTAGTTTAAGGCTATTTTAAATTCCCTCTAAGTTAGCCGACTGATCCTTACTGATTTAAATAATTGTGATTGGTGATTAAAATAATAATAGTGTTTAAACCAAAACTAAAAACAATATATTATATAATTTTATTTACAGCTTATTTATTTATCTATTTATTTTACAAAATTAATAACTGAAAATTTAAAAATTCTAAATTTGTTTTTTATTAAGTTTGTAAATATTTTTTTTTGTTTATTATTGCTAATTGTGACAAAGAAAAAGGTGTATACATCGAAACCCATAAAACTTCAAATTAATCTTTAATTACAATCAACAATCATCAAATAGCATTATAGTCCAATCAATATTGATAATATTTTTAAGGTAGGAAATTAAAATATAAAAATTATTAGAGTATTTAAAAATAAAATTTAATAAGATTCAATTGAATTAATATATCTTTTTTTCCTGATCTTGTTGATCACAAATAATATATTCATAAATTAGATACCTAATTAGTTTTCAATTAGTAATACTATTAATTAATAAATAAAAAAGAAACATCAAACAAAATGGCTAGAGGTAATAAAAATAATGCTATGGCTCCTAAAAGAAAAGAAAAAAATCTTGACTTTGTATTACTGAGATTAGAAGTTTACAAAAGCCAGATTGAGTATTATAAGACCTAGTAGTAATAGATCAAAGTTGTAATTTTTAGTAATTTGCAGAATAAAAAACTCCCCCTACTAAATTTTTTAATTTTTAAACTTTTTACGTGATTGATTAACCAATCTATAGACCTTTAAATGAATTACAATAAAAATAGTTATTTATTGTATTTTCAAATAAAAAAATTAGAATTCTTTCTTAATTTTTTTTTTTTTTTTGGTTTTATTTCATTTTTTATAACAAAAAAGTTAATTAAATAAATATAGAGTAGGCTAATTTAACAAAAAATAAAAAATACTATAAATTGAGAAAAAAAATGAAAAACTTCCATTCAAAAATGAATGGGTCCCTGCTATGCCCCCCCCCCCCCCCCCCGTATTAAAATTAAAGTAAAAATATTTATTTAATTTATCTACTTTATTGCAAATCAAGGAATTAAATTCTTGAGTTTTAGATACACAAGAATTTAAAAGCTGGAAATGCTCTTTGCAGTTTTAAAAAATATTTGACTTCTTTTTTGATATTATATAATTAAAATTTATAAAATATAGAGTCTACTTATTTTTGATAATGTATTATATGAGATTATTTTATTTAGTAAATGATCTATTTGGCGATTCTTCTCGCTTTAAATTTATTTTAAGTAATTTTAAAACTAGTTTAAACTGTAAATAAATTAACTATTAAATTTAAGATAGAGCTTATTTATGATATCGATTAGTTATTTTTTTGAATTATTTATATATTAAATAAATGAACTAATTTTTACATATATTTTTATTAGACAACAAATAATATAAACGATTTATGTCTACATTTTTATTTAAATTAATTGAGATATTCATAACTTTAATAAGACGCTATAAGATAAAAATCAATAATCCAAATTTGTTTACCAAACTAAGCCAAATATATGTTTATAAAAAATACATATTTTCAAGAAATAATTTTCTCTCTTAAATTGTATTTTGCTCGAGTAATTAGTAATCAAAATCTTTTAATAAAAAATTAGATGCCTAGTCCTTTTAAATAAGCACATAATTTAGAGCTAACTACTGATAATAACTATACTTTTTATCAAGATTTATTAATTATTAAAAATCAAATAAGTATATAAAAATAAATTGTTTTTTTTTGTAATTTTAAAACCATCTCCATAATATTTTAAATATTTGTTTCATTTAGTACTATATTTTTCTGTGATTTGAATAATATATAATGGCTTACATTATATCTTTGATAATATATTAATACTACTAAATTTGCATTGGATGCTTGAAATTGATTTTATAGACGCTATCCCAATATTTACATTAATATAAAGATATTCTGATCAAAATAAATTTTAACTAATTTCCAAAAATTAATTGCTATAGCATCTAGCCTTTAGGTAGCAGAAGATATGCTTTTCATTTACTTGTTTTCCTGATCTTGTTGTGATCACAAATAATATATTGATAAATTAAATTAAATACCTAATTAGTTTTCAATATTCAATACTATTAATTAATAAATAAAAAAAAGCAAACTACAAAGAAAATGTCAAGGCGTAACTAAAAAAAGCCATAGGCTCCTATAGGCAATGAAACAAATCTTGATTTTGTATTACAAAATCTAGAAGTTTACAAAAGCCAGATTGAGCATTATAAGACCTAGTAGTAATAGATCAAAGAGGAGGATCTCAAGCTTTTAAAGTTCAAAAATTAAGATTAGGATGGAAACTCTGGCAACGATGATGATGATGAAGAAAACAACTCAAATAAATAATAAGAATTATTAAGGAGAGTCAATTAGATTAAGTAGCAAGTTTAATTGATAAAAAAAGTTGGTTCTAAGGTAGAGAAAGATTTGAATTTGAACGAAGATGAAAACAAAAAGAATGGACTTTCTGAATAGCAAGTGAAAGAAGAGTAATTAAGAACGATTACTGAAGAATAGGTTAAGTATTAAAATTTAGTATTTAACATGGACTACCAGTTAGATTTAAATGAGAGTGGTGGCCATAGAAGACACAGAAGAGAAACAGATTATGATACTGAAAAATGGTTTGAAATATCTCATGACCAAAAAAATTATGTATCAATTTACGCCAACTAAAAGACATCATATTGTTGGTGGCTTAAAGATTATTTTAATAAAAACAATTATGATCATCTTAATGTAAGCATTAACAGACTAGAAACTGAAGCCGAATTCTATGCCTTTGATGATTTTTCACAAACAATCAAACTTACTAATAATTCTTACTAGACTGTTAACATAGACGTTAATTTTGATAATAATCTCTGTATACTCGCATTGCTTAGATTTTTATTATCACTAGAAAGATTCAATATTTTGAATATAAGATCTTCTTATACAAGAAATTAATATAATTTTGAGAAAATTGGTGAGCTACTTGAAACTATCTTCGCAGTTGTCTTTTCTCATCGCCACTTACAAGGCATTCATTTACAAGTTCCTTGCGAAGCGTTCTAATATTTAGTTAACTCCTCATCATAAATTAGCGTTAAAGATAGCTAATTATAGGTATACTCTTTCTCTACAGACTTAAAATTAGTTGACACTAACAAAGTCCAAGATTATTTTAAGTTCTTATAAGAATTCCCTCGTTTGACTCATGTAAGCTAGTAGGCTATCCCAGTTAGTGCTACTAACGCTGTAGAGAACCTCAATGTTTTACTTAAAAAGGTCAAGCATGCTAATCTTAATTTAGTTTCTATCCCTACCTAATTCAATTTTGATTTCTACTTTGTTAATTTATAACATTTGAAATTAGAGTTTGGATTAGAACCAAATATTTTGACAAAACAAAAGCTTGAAAATCTACTTTTGAGTATAAAATAATCAAAAAATCTTAAATTTTTAAGATTAAACTTTTACACCTACGTTGCTTAAGAAACCTCCAGAAAACAGATATTAAAACAAGCTACAACAATCAAAAATCTCAAAAACAATAAAAATCAAGAAGAAACTCCTGAAACTAAAGATGAAACTCCAAGCGAAAGCACAAGTGGTATGAAATTTTTTGATCATCTTTCTGAATTAACCGAGCTTGAAGATTTCAGCGTTAACTTGTAAGCTACCCAAGAAATTTATGATAGCTTGCACAAACTTTTGATTAGATCAACAAATTTAAAGAAGTTCAAATTAAGTTACAAATATGAAATGGAAAAGAGTAAAATGGATACATTCATAGATCTTAAGAATATTTATGAAACCTTAAACAATCTTAAAAGATGCTCTGTTAATATATCAAATCCTCATGGAAACATTTCTTATGAACTGACAAATAAAGATTCTACTTTTTATAAATTTAAGCTGACCTTAAACTAAGAATTATAACACGCTAAGTATACTTTTAAGTAGAACGAATTTTAATTTAATAACGTTAAAAGTGCAAAAATTGAATCTTCCTCATTAGAAAGCTTAGAAGATATTGATAGTCTTTGCAAATCTATTGCTTCTTGTAAAAATTTACAAAATGTTAATATTATCGCCAGTTTGCTCTATCCCAACAATATTTAGAAAAATCCTTTCAATAAGCCCAATCTTCTATTTTTCAAGCAATTTGAATAATTGAAAAATTTGGAAAATGTATCTATCAACTGTATTCTTGATCAGCATATACTTAATTCTATTTCAGAATTCTTAGAAAAGAATAAAAAAATAAAAGCATTCATTTTGAAAAGATATTATTTATTACAATATTATCTTGATTATACTAAATTATTTAAAACACTTCAATAGTTACCTGAATTAAATTAAGTTTACATTAATTAGCAATTAGAAGAATTGACTGTGAGTGAAGTACATAAGTAAGTATGGGAAAACCACAAGCAAAAAGCTTTCTATGAACCATTATGTGAGTTTATCAAAGAATCATCCTAAACCCTTTAGCTAATAGATTTTGACCAAAACACTGTAAGTGATGACTCTATTAAAAAGATTTTAGAATCTATATCTGAGTCTAAGTATCATCATTATTTGAGATTGAACCCTAGTTAATCTAGCAGTTTAATTAAATCTGAAAACGAAGAAATTTAAGAACTTCTCAAAGCTTGCGACGAAAAAGGTGTTTTAGTAAAAGCATACTATAAATTCCCTCTATGTTTACCAACTGGTACTTATTACGATTACAATTCAGATAGATGGTGATTAATTAAATATTAGTTTAAATAAATATTAAATATTGAATATTTCTTTGCTTATTATTTGAATAATACATACAATAGTCATTTTTAGTGTTTTGAATATATTTTAGTTATTTAATTCATTATTTTAAGTAAATAATTATTTTTCAATCATTTTTTAAAAAATCAAACAAATAAAACTCCTCTAAAAATATTAGTAATTTTTGGTGATTTGCATAAAAACAAACTCATCCTGATAAATTTTATAATTTTTAAGCTTTTTACATGATTGGTTGACCAATATAAAGACCTCTAAATGAATTAAAAGAAATATTTATTTATTATATTTCATTCTGTTAATAATAAAGTTAGTTTTAAGTAATTTAGATATTTAAAAATTTTAATATTTAAGACTAAAAATCCTTAATGAATTAAAATTAAATAAAGAAAATAATTAAATCATATAAAATTCTGTAAAAAAAAAATCACTTATTTTTGAAAAAATATTAATATTAAATTTTAATAGCATTAAGTTTTCTATCTATTAATTTTATTTTTTTTTAATATCTAAAATATTATAATTGAATTATTAAATAATAAATAAATTACTGGAAATATTGTGCTTTATCATCAAAAATCCAAATGAAATTAAATAAAAAATGTTTTAATTTTTTGAATTAAAAATTTTTATTAATATTATCCTGATCCCTAATGTGATGATTAGACAGGCTGAGGAAGTAAAGTAATAAAAGAAATTTTAATAAGATTGCAAATTTTGTTGAAAGAATAAAATAAATTAAATTTTCCTAAAAAATAAAATGAGTAATTATGAAGTCAACTAAAAAATTCATTTAAAAACAGAATATATCTAAAATAATACTTAGGTTTACTTTATCATTATGAATACTTTATTGATAATAAATAAAATAAAATTATTTTCAATATTTTCTAGAATTTATTTAGGCTTTTTTTGTTTTGATAGATTAAACTCAAAATAAATATTATCTTTCTAATTTAACTATTTTCATTTTGAATTCATATTATTCTATAAATTTCATAGTTTTATCAAAATTAGTTGCAAAATTTGTTGGAAATTATATAATTTTTAAAAATTAATCAAATTTTAGTTATATATTATCATTACAATTAAAATCAGGTTGAAAATACTAAAAAATTTTTGGTAATTATAAATTTTTAATTTAAGATAGAAAAGCTAATAAACTCTTCAAAAGAAATGAAATAAATACAATATTTTTGTATTTTTTTGGCATTGCTCACTCTTTGCAGTGCTTCGTCTTTTCTATTCTCTAATAACTCATAAGATCTTAGCTACTATCAATAATTAAATGATTTATCTAAAAAACTTGTCGGTTAAAGATATAACTAGCAGAAAGAATTTAAATATTTCCCTCCTTAGTTCTTTGAAAAGTAGGGTTTATACTCATCAAATATACATGGTAATGCTATGGACTAAAACAATACATTTTTTTATCACCTTGTCAGAGAGTACGTTGGATGCCCTGATAGTAATATGTTTGTTACAAATTTTGTTTTATCTGCTTTGTTAGACTGTGCAGAACTAGGAACTATTGAAATAGATTAAGACATGTTTGAAGAAAGCATTGACGCCATTTTAGAATTCAGAGATAAAAACTAGCAAGAAGGTATTCCATCTTATTCATTCTGGTTACAAAATAATAAGAATGGAACATGGTATTCATACCCATAGAACCTTCAGAAAGTAGCTTAAATGATCAAGATTATGCCTGATTGGATCAAAAATATTTTTATAAAAATGGGACTAAATTTTGTTGCTAGTGCAGATTAAATTGTTGATGCTTTTCATCTACCTCCTGATACAGATGACTCTTCAGTAAACATAGGTAAACATGGGAATAATAAATATTTTCAAAAATTAATTTAAACAAACAAAATTATCATCTAAGTATTTTTGAATGAGCTACTTTAACTTTTTAAAATTAGATTCTGTTTTATCTAAATGAATCCAAATACATAAAAGGAATAATATTAATTTTTTATTACCTTATCTTATTCTTACACTTTTTACTAAAGCATTAGGAATAAGAATTTTGAACTCACCTTTTATAAGACAATCTATCAAAGACAAGTGGATTAAATCAAACCATAATCTTTAAGGATACTATCAATTACTTAAAAAATATTCTTATAAGCCTTTTGATTCATCCAATTCATCTGTTAATACTCTTGATGTGAGAACCTATTTTGCCTTTCATAACTACCTTCAAACTTTAAATAAGACATACAACTATTCTGTTTTCACAACTTGGATTAGATCTACTGATGACTAAATTCCTCAAATGATTGAAATTCCAGGAAACACCAATAATTTTGATTGCTCAGTTATCAGCAATACCCTATTTGGATTGCATCATGTATTACTTAACTCAAACTAGACAGTTATTAATGAAATATTTGATGAAGAACTTTAAGGTTTGTATTTAAATTCTACCAACGTCATTCTCTATGCCATAAATAGTTACATTTCTAAAACCCATCCAGATATTGCGTTCCTTTACTATCCTTCAGTTTACGACTTTTATTGGTTTGTTGCTAGAAATGTGCACTTACTCAACTCAAACTATGATAAGATACCAAACTAGTTAATCAAAGGAGTTGCTGATGCTCTTAACAAATCTATGAAAAACTAAGGAACTATTTACCTTCTAAATAACACACTAGCAGATAAAAATGGAAATCTTTACTGGTAGGAGTTCCTAGGTATTTATAACAATAAAACATATCATGAAGATGAGACATTTTCTACAGTAATGGCCCTAAATGCTTTGATCGATACATGGACAATTTCAAAGATAGATGAAAATGGTAAATTAAAAAGAATATTTGATACATAAACACCTCAGAATGTAACAGACACTATCTAAAAAGGTATGTAAACTTTATTAAAAAAGAACTCATTTTCAAAAAGCAACTAAAATGCTTTCTTTTCTGGAAGCTTCAAATCTTTAAATACCCTTTATTTTTATCCTATGAATGTTAATCACTATCTAAATGGAACAGAATTTGATCCTCATACTGCTTAGATAGATATTTTACATTAAATATCTGGTGTTAGAGGAGTAATTAATTCAGATGAATACTAATAAATGGTGAAACAAAAGTGGTTTAATGTAACTACTATTCAGTAATTTACTGGATATAGCTCCTAATACATATCATATCCATATTGGTCTTCTCCTGCTATCACTTTTAGCATGGGTATGTCATTAATAAGTAAATATTAATCAATAGAAAATATATAATGAAATGTCTGATAATTAAAAAAAAATTATTGAAACTGAAATCTGTCTACATAGTTGATATACTCCATTTAGAAGGGTTAAATACAGTGAGATTAATCAAGAAATTAAAACAAATTATTTTTAAAAATTAAGAGTTAGTAAAAGTGTATGGTTTTTATCAGATTGTATTTTATATTTTATTAATTACTTTATTTTTATCATTTTATATTTGATAAAAAATATTTAATTTAAACCCTCAAAAATGTTTAAATATGATATTAATTTCCTTTAATCCAATAATAAAAAATTTTTAATAATAATAAGTAGATTTAATTAATGAGGATTAATAGTAACTATTTTAAATATTAAAAAATGAATTTATAAGCAATAATTATTTTTATTTTTTCAAATAGATATATTTTATTTTAATCATTTAATAATTTCATTTGGTAATAGAATTGTTTATTTTCATAAATAATATTAGCTAAATTAAAGCTTTATATAAATTATTGTATTACTCTGCTAAAATAAAAAAAGATTTTCTAATTTTATTTGCAGATGAAAATAAAAAATGAATTACAATTTGATTAATTTTTTCATTTAGGTATTTATAGTAACTTATTATTTTTTTAATTAACAATTTATGTATTAACGATTAAAAGGTTTTACCCAGTATTTATTTAAATTTTAAACATATCTTAATATTCTCAATTGTAAATTTTAATTTATGCTATTCGGATCCCTAATGTGAAGATTAGAGATGCTGATGTAGTATAGTAATAAAAGAAATTTTAATAATGTTGCAAATTTTGTAGAAACAATACAATAAACATTCCTAAAGAATAAAAAGAGTAAGTATGAAGACAACTAAAAAATTCATAAAGTAATAGTATATATCTAAAATAATACTTAAGTTTACCTTATTGTTATAAATAGCTTATTGGTAATAAATAAAATAATATTATTTTTGATATTTTCTTACATTTATTTAGGCTTTTTTTGTTTTGATAGATTAAACTCAAAAAAAATATTGTCTTTCCTAATTTAGCTATTTTCATTTTAAATTCATATTTTTCTATCTATTTCATAGTTTTATCAAAATTAATTGCAAAATTTGTTGAAAATTAATTTAATTTTAATTATCTATGGTAATTAAAATTAAAATCAGGCTTAAAATACTAAAAACTTTATGGTAATTATAAATTTTTAATTTAAGATAGAAAAGCTAATAAACTCTTCAAAAGAAATGAAATAAATACAATATTTTTGTATTTTTTTGGCATTGCTCACTCTTTGCAGTGCTTCGTCTTTTCTATTCTCTAATAACTCATAAGATCTTAGCTACCATCAATAATTAAATGATTTATCTAAAAAACTTGTCGGTTAAAGATATAACTAGCAGAAAGAATTCAAATATTTCCCTCCTTAGTTCTTTGAAAAGTAGGGTTTATACTCATCAAATATACATGGTAATGCTATGGACTAAAACAATACATTTTTTTATCACCTTATTAGAGAATATGTTGGATGCCCTGATAGTAATATGTTTGTTACAAATTTTGTTTTATCTGCTTTGTTAGACTGTGCAGAACTAGGAACTATTGAAATAGATTAAGACATGTTTGAAGAAAGCATTGACGCCATTTTAGAATTCAGAGATAAAAACTAGCAAGAAGGTATTCCATCTTATTCATTCTGGTTACAAAATAATAAGAATGGAACATGGTATTCATACCCATAGAACCTTCAGAAAGTAGCTTAAATGATCAAGATTATGCCTGATTGGGTCAAAAATATATTTACAAAAATGGGACTAAATTTTGTTACTATTGCTGATTAAATTGTTGATGCTTTTCATCTACCTCCTGATACAGATGATTCTTCAGTAAACATAGGTAACATGGGAATATTTTAAAAAAAATATTTTGAATAAGCTTCTTTAACTTTTTAAAATTAGATTCTGTTTAATCTTAATGAATCCAAATACATAAAAGGAACAATATTAATTTTTTATTACTTTATTTTATTCTTACACTTTTTACTATAGCATTAGGAATAAGAATTTTGAACTCACCTTTTATAAGACAATCTATCAAAGACAAGTGGATTAAATCAAACCATAATCTTTAAGGATACTATCAATTACTTAAAAAATATTCTTATAAGCCTTTTGATTCATCCAATTCATCTGTTAATACTCTCGATGTAAGAACCTATTTTGCCTTTCATAACTACCTTCAAACTTTAAATAAGACATACAACTATTCTGTTTTCACAACTTGGATTAGATCTACTGATGACTAAATTCCTCAAATGATTGAAATTCCAGGAAACACCAATAACTTTGATTGCTCAGTTATCAGCAATAACCTATTTGGATTGCACAATGTATTACTTAACTCAAACTAGACAGTTATTAATGAAATCTTTGATGAAGAACTTTAAGGTTTGTATTTAAATTCTACCAACGTCATTCTCTATGCCATAAATAGTTACATTTCTAAAACCCATCCAGATATTGCGTTCCTTTACTATCCTTCAGTTTACGACTTTTATTGGTTTGTTGCTAGAAATGTGCACTTACTCAACTCAAATTATGATAAGATACCAAACTAATTAATCAAAGTAGTTGCTGATGCTCTTAACAAATCTATGAAAAACTAAGGAACTATTTACCTTCTAAATAACACATTAGCAGATAAAGATGGAAATCTTTACTGGTAGGAGTTCCTAGGTATTTATAACAATAAGACCTATAATGAAGACGTAACTTTTTCTACAGTAATGGCTCTAAATGCTTTGATTGATACATGGACAATTTCAAAGACAGATGAAAATGGTAAAGTAAAAAGAATATTTGATTCGTTAACACCTCAAAATGTAACAGACACTATCTAAAAAGGTATGTAAACTCTATTAAAAAAGAATTCATTTTCAAATAGCAACTAAAATGCTTTCTTTTCTGGAAGCTTCAAATCTTTAAATACCATATCTTTTTATCCTATGAATGTTAATCACTTTATAAATGGAACAGAATTTGATCCTCATACTGCTTAGATGGATATTTTACATTAAATAGCTGGTGTTAGAGGAGTAATTAATTCAGACGAATACTAATAAATGTTGAAACAAAAATGGTTTAATCTAACTACTATTCAGTATTTCACTGGATATAGCTCCTAATACATATCATATCCATATTGGTCTTCTCCTGCTATCACTTTTAGCATGGGTATGTCATTAATAAGTAAATATTAATCAATAGAAAATATTTAATCAAATGTCTGAATAAATATATTTTGAAAAATATATACCGTATTAATATATATTTAAATATAATTATACATAAAATTAAAATTAAATTTTAAATAAATTACCCTTTATCCACTTATAAAATTTTTTATAGTAGTAAATAACCTTAATTAAAGAGTATTAATAGTATCTATTTTAAATGATAAAAAATGAATTTTTAAATAAAAAAAGAAAATAATTATTTTTATTTTTTAAAAAGATAAATTTTATTTTCATTACTTAAATATCCAATTTGATAATAAATTTATTTATAATCTTAAATAATAGTAACTAAAATTAAAGCTGTATGTAAAACTAAAAATTGTATAATTTTGCTAATGCGAACAGATTTTTCTAAATTTATTTGTAGATGAAACAAAAAAAATAATATTTTGATTTTTTTTCTTTTAAAGTTTTGACTGGTACTGAATTTTTTTTAAATTATCAATTTTTGTATTTGTTCTAAAATTCGAGAAAATTTATAATAAGATTCATTTTCACAAAAATATTCTTTTATATTAACAATCGCTGTTAAATTTCAAAATAAAGATGTAAACTTTTGAATATAAATTTAAAGGATAATATATAGATGAACTTTCTACCTAATAACACTTTTTCATATTTGATTTATTTATAGAAATTCATTTTATAATTCTTTCAAACCATTAGATCAGTTATTGAATTCGCATTAAATATTATTATCAATATTTTTTTAGCATTAAAGTAAAAGGTTAATACAAGCTTTATATTTAAAGTGATTTTTTGAATTAATTAGTAATAAATATTAAAAAAATTGAATTAATTTTTATAACTTAAAATGTTTTTTTATCAAAGTATTATAAAAATGTCGAATAAATTATTTATCATTTAAAATATCTTTTTATTTTAATATAATTCATTAATTAATTGACCAAAATTTGGAAATTATTCTTAGAATTTATGTAGAAAAGAAAAACTGTAAGATTGAATATTTATAATCAAATAAATACAATATTTTTTAAAAATTATTTTTAAATTTAAATTTTTAATTAAACTTATTTTATTTGAAGTTAAATGTTTAAATATGAATGATACTCACCAAAATCATTATTTTCTAAAATATTATTTAATTAATGATTAACATTTGTTTATATTAAAAATTAACTTTTAGAATAATTTATCTTTTCTATATTATTTTTGTAATCAATTTTAAACTTAATCCCTTGTAATTTATTCTCATATACAAACAATATAAATAATCTTTTCCATCAATCAACTTTAAAAACAATTAAATTTTAACAACTGTAACTAAATTTGATATCCAATTTGCAAAGGAAATATCCTTATCAGCAAGATCAGTCTCTGATAAGCAAATGATATAAAATTAAATCATATTAATTAGATTTAATTAGAAACTTGTTCAAAAATACACATTCTACAATAATTAATTTTTAAAGTAATATCAACTGCTTAAACATTTGAAGAATATGAGTAAAATACAATTTTTCTGCCTTTTTTTAACTTTTTTTGGAATATGCCTAACATCTTCTTAATTTAGAATCAATTCTAATGGGCTTAGCTATCAAGAGTAGCTTAAAGAAATAACTAGAAGACTTGAGGACCAGAGATATAATTAATAGAAAGATTTCAAATTCTTTCCTCCTTAATTTTATGAAATGAAGGGTCTATACTCATCGAATATACACGGTAATGCTATGGATAAAAACAACACCTTTTTTTACCACCTTATTAGAGAGTATGTTGGATGCCCTGATAGTAATATGTTTGTCACAAATTTCGTTTTGTCTGCTATGCTAGATTGTGCAGAACTAGGAACTATTGAAATAGACTAAGAAAAGTTTGAAGAAAGCATAGACGCAATTTTACAATTCAGAGATAAAAATTAGAAAGAAGGTATTCCATCTTATTCATTTTGGAAGCAGAACTATAAGAATGGAACATGGTATTCATACCCATAAAATCTTTAAAAAGTAGCTGAAATGATCAAAATAATGCCTGATTGGGCAAAGAAACTTTTAATTAAGTTAGGTTTACCTTTTGTAGCAGTGGCTGATAAAATTGCAGATGCCTTTCATTTACCACCCGATGCAGATGATTCTTCTGTAAATATTGGTAAATTAATTTTATTATTAATTTAAAATGTGTCATGTATTTTTCAATAACCTATTTATTATTTATTTGTAAATACTTTCTCAAATAAATTAACAAAATTAATTTTATTTCTCAATAAAAAATCATATTAATTCTTAAATTATTTTTAGCTCTAGGAATAAGAATTATGAACTCTCCTTTGATTAGATAATCTATCAAAGAAAAGTGGATTAAATCAAACCATAATCTTTAAGAATATTATCAATTACTTAAAAAATACTCTTATAAGCCTTTTGATGTTTCAAATTCATCTGTTAATACCCTTGATGTGAGAACTTACTTTGCCTTTCATAATTACCTTCAAACTTTAAATAAAACAAGCAACTTTTCTGTTTTCACAACTTGGATTAGATCTACTGATGACTAAATTCCTTCAATGATTGAAATTCCAGGAAACACCAATAATTTTGATTGCTCAGTTATCAGCAATACCCTATTCGGATTGCACAATATATTGCTTAATTCAAACTAGACAGTTGTTAATGAAATATTTGATGAAGAACTTCAAGGTTTGTATTTAAATTCTACCAACGTGATTATCTATGCGATAGATAGCTATATCTCTAAGAGCCACCCTGATATTGCTTTCCTTTATTATCCTTCAGTCTATGATTTTTACTGGTTTGTTGCTAGAAATGTGCACTTACTCAACTCAAACTATGATAAGATACCAAACTAGCTAATCAAAGATGTTGTTGATGCTCTTAACAAATCTATGAAAAACTAAGGAACTATTTACATTCTAAATAACACATTAGCAGATAAAAATGGAAATCTTTACTGGTAGGAGTTCCTAGGTATTTATAACAATAAAACATATCATGAAGATGAGACATTTTCTACAGTAATGGCTCTAAATGCTTTGATTGATATTTGGACAATTTCAAAGACAGATGAAAATGGTAAAGTAAAAAGAATATTCGATTCATAAACACCTCAAAATGTTACAACCACTATCTAAAAAGGAATGTAAACTCTATTAAAGAAAAATTCATTTTCTAAAAGTAACTAAAATGCTTTTTTTTCAGGAAGCTTTAAATCTTTAAACACTTTATCTATCTATCCTATGAATGTTAATCATTACCTGAATGGAACTGAATTTGATCCCCACACTGCAGATTTTATTGCCTTACAATAAGTAAAAGGAGTAAAGGGTATTATAGATGAAAAAGAATACTAAGAAATGCTCAAATAAAAATGGTTTAATTTAAATGTTATTGAGGAATTTACGGGTTATAATTCATAAATTCTATCATATCCATATTGGTCATCTCCAGCAATTACTTATAGTATGGGTGCATCATTAATAAGCAAATACCAATCCTTATAAAGCAACGATTGATTATTACACTAAAAATGAATTACTAATTATTAATAAAGTAATTAGTATTTGTATCTATCTATATATTACAAAATAAATAATTATATACTTTATATAAATATCTAAAATTTTTTTAGTGCATTTTATTTGGCATATAATGTTGTAATCCTTCATTAAATACTCATAAAAAATTTTTCGTTTGCTAGTAGATTTTTATTAAGTACTTTTAATTTTAGGTTTTGTTAAAAACTTCAATAGATCTAGACATGATTTTATAAAAGCAGGTAGATATTTTAAATATTTTATTTAAATAAAGCATTTTTTATTTGTAAAATTTAGTTAAAATTTTAAATTAGAGAAAATTTAAATAAATGTAAATATTAAAAGGTTTTTATTAAACTATAAATGAATTTTTGTTTTTGCTAATGTTTGTGAAAGTGTATAAAATTTTAGAATTGTATTTAATTATTTAGAAAATTTTTTTAAAGCTTGCATAAACAAGATTAATTTAAAATCATATAAAATATATGAAGTATAGCCATTGATACCTACACAGATTACACAGATGTGAATATTTTAAATTTATAATTTGATATCTTAAATAAAAATATATATTAAAACTAAGGAATAAAGCTTAATGATAGTTAGTGTTTGATTTAATTATTTAGAAATGTGCAACTTTATTTGCTTAAAGAATTCAATATTTGATTAAATAATTAAATTAATACTTTTATTTAATAAAATAAATTTATTATTTAAGTTATCAATAAAGATTTTAAAATGAGTGAATTTTAAATTTTATCTTAGATTGAAATTAATAAAAGAATTTAATTTGATCTTATCAGATTTCTTTTATTTGATAATATAATTTCTTATCAGATTTTATTATGGTTTTACATATTTTTCTTTGTGAAGGAAATTTTTTATTTTTGCTAGTAAAGTGCATAAATTATTTTTAAAATAAAATTTTCTTCTTAGAAATTCAAATATTAAATATATTTATGAAATAATCTATCTATCTATTTTCTCATTAGCTCAGAACAAGATTTTAATAGCCATTAAGATATCTTTAGTGAGAATTTAAATAATACCATTTTTTTTATTTTAAAATAAAGGTATGAGTAATAAATAAGAGCTTGTTGTTTGTATATTATTTTAATTCGATTGTCTATAAATTTGATGCCAGAATTTATTATTAAATTACAAATTTTCTTTATTAAATTTTTTTCTTTTGCAAATAAATAAAAATAGAAGAACATTATAAATAAATAATTAATTACTGTATTCTTTTACTTCCATAAAATTATGTTATGTTTGTTGCTTAAGAAGCAAGCAGATCGAATTTTTATAGATAATTAATAAATAAATAAATTAAAAAAATTAAGTAAGAACAAAAAATGAGATTATTTGTTATAATTTTAGTCTTAGTATCGCTTTCTCTTAGTAGATCTGATTTTTTAGAAAATGAATAAAGAGATGTTTCTTACTCTAAACAAATAAACAAACTACTTAAAAAATTAGATGAATAATATTACCATGAAGAATAAGAGTTCAAATATTTTCCACCTTAATTCTACTAAAAAAAAGGATTGTATTCTTCATACATTCACGGCAATGCTATGGACAAAGAAAATGGGTATTTATACCATTTAGTTAGATAGTATATCGGATGTCCTGATAGCAATATGTTTGTGAGTAATTTTGTGTTATCTGCCCTTCTTGATTGCGCAGAATTTGGAACTATTTAAATTGATTAAGACTTATTTGAATAAACAATTGATACAATTTTAGAATTTAGAGATAAAAACTAAAAAGAAGGCATCCCCTCTTACTCTTTCTGGTTATAAAAGTTAAAAAATGAAACATGGTATTCAAGCCCAATCAATCTAGAGAATATTGCTAATTCAATGAAATATATGCCTGAGTGGGTAAAAACTATTTTAGCCAAAATGGGTCTGAATTTTGTAGCAATGTCTAATTTAATTATTGATGCATTTCATCTCCCTCCTGATGCAGATGATTCTTCAGTTAATATTGGTAAATAAATAAATTTATTTTATTAAATTTTCAATATATTGAAAATATTTTTTATCATAAAATAGCACTTGGATATAGAATAATGAATTCTCCTTTTATTAGACAATCAATTAAAGATAAATGGATCCGTAATAACTATGATGTTAATGGTTATTTCAATTTACTAAAGAAATATTCTTATAAGCCATTCGATACTTCAAACTCTTCGCTTAACACTATTGATATTAGAACATATTTTGGTTTTAATGAGTACTTGTCATAATTAAACAGAACTGAGAATTTTTAGCTTTTTACTACTTGGATAATGAGCACTGATGATTAAATTGAGAAATTAGTTGCTATTCCTAGCAATGTTAATAACTTTGATTGTTCAGTCTTAAGTAATACACTTTTTGGCCTGCACCATGCTTTACTCTACTCAAACTAAACTGAATTTGAAAAAATATTTGATTAAGAGCTCTAAGGTTTATATTTAAACTCAACTGACATTATAAATTATGCTATCAATTCAGAAATTGCACTCAGACATCCAGATATTGCCTTCTTCTATTATCCATCTGTTTATGATTTTTATTGGTTTGTTGCTAGAAATGTTCACTTGCTTAATTCTAATAAGTAAAAAATTTAGCATAGCTTAATTAAATAAGTAGCAGATAGTTTAAACGAATCTATGAAGAATAAAGGAACGAAGTTTCTCTTAAATAATGCAAAGCTAGATAAGAATGGAAATATTTACTGGGAAGAGTTTTTAGGAGTATATAATAATAAAACTTATAATGAAGACACTACATTTTCTACAGTTATGACCTTAAATGCTCTCCTCGATACTTGGACAGTCTCAATAAGTCACTAAAATGGAACTATAAGCAGAATCTTTGACCCATAAACTCCTAAAAATGTAACTAATACTATTTAGAAAGGAATATAAACTTTGCTTAAGGACAATTCTTTCTCAAAGAGTAATTAAAATGCATTCTTTTCAGGAAGTTTTAAATCTGTTAACACTTGGTTTTATTATCCTATGAATGTAAATTATTATCTAAATGGAACTGTATTTGATCCTCATAATCCCCCTGTAGTTCTAAATGAGTAAGTTGCAGCAGTAAGAGGCATTTATAATCAGTCAGAATACTAAGAATTATTACAATAAAAGTGGTTTGGCTTCAAGCCAATTGAAGAATTTTTAGGATATAATTATGAATCATTTTCTTATCCTTATTGGTCATCTCCATCAATAACACTAAGTATGGGCATGTCATTACTTAGTAAATACTAATCTATCCATTTAGATTGAATCAAATAATCAAATAACTTTAATGCATCATATTTTTACTATTTCTAAATTCGTTGAAAAATTTAATTCTATAAGATAATTAATATTTTATAATACCATTTTTTGTTTTCAAATATACATAAATATTAAACACTAACAAAATATAATTTTATTAAACTATTATGTAAATAAATAATTATTCAATAATACACTCTAAATAAATATGATATGATATTAAATTCAAATATTTTATTTTCAAAAATTATTATTTTAACTAATTTTTAATAGCTTGGAATTAAAAAAATATTTTCACCTCTGGATACTTTAATATAATTATATGTATTAAATTTTTTAATATCTGTTGATGTTAATTTAAAACAAAGAATTTAATCTTAAGTTTTATTTCATACTATTTTAGGGACTTTTAATGTTAACTATTTATTTTCAATCTTTCTAAGCATTTCTTAAAATTTTTTTTTTTTACTTGAGATATGTGACAAATTTTAGAAAAATTAGATACAGTTTAAAAATATAATTTAATGCTTTTTAAAAAAAGTTAAATAATGAATTTCTTATAGTCATAGATTAATTTTGTTCCTAATAGAAATAAAATTTTCATGTTTCAAAACATTATTATTTCAAATAAAAATATATAATTTTTAATTAATTATTCGACTTATTATAAAAATTAAAAAAAAAGCATTAAAAAATATTTAATAATTGTAAATAAGTAGATTTTAAATTAAATTTCAAAATAATTCTGACTCATAAATTGGGTAATTGTTTGCTTCTACTGTATAATAATTTGTTATTTTTGATTAATTATTTATTAATTGTGAAGCTTTACTCAAAATAAAGTTCTTAAATTTAAATTATAATATAGTTGCTACCAAATAAAACTATTGTAACTGTTTTTTATATACCATATTCATACATATTAAAAAAAAGCATTAAAAATATTTAGTAATTATAAATAAGTAGATATTAAATTAAATTTCAAAATAATTCTGACTCATAAATTGGGTAATTGTTTGCTTCTACTGTATAATAATTTGTTATTTTTGGTTAATTATTTATTAATTGTGAAGCTTTACTCAAAATAAAGTTCTTATATTTAAATTATAATATAGTTGCTACCAAATAAAACTATTGGAACTGTTTTTTATATTCCATATTCATACATTCTCTATTTCTAGGGTTAAATCTTTTAGGAGCATTATCAAAGTTTTAGTATTATTCTATTTCCTTAATATTCTTTTATCTATCAAGATCTTTGATAAACTAATAAACTGTTTTTTTTTCTTAGGGATTTCTGCCTAGCTCACACTATTCTAATAATATGCTTACATCCCTAAATAGATAACTTTCTAAATATTTAGAATAGTTACATTAAAAGTAAGTCCTTTATTCTTGATCTTACTACATCTAAATTATTTCTTCTTTATCAAACTCAATGATTCTAAAATTATTTAACATAAGCAAAGGAACTATCAAAACAGTAACTTTCTTTTTCTAATTTAACATTTCTTCTTATGCTTCTATTAAATCTAAATAGTGATAAGAAAAATCACAAATTATATTTAATTCTGGTGTGCGCTTGGTAACTAAAAAACATACAATTATGCATTCTTAATCGTTTTAACATATTAAATCTACCTTCTTAGAAGTTTGTAAATATTTTATTGTTTGATTTGGTTGGATTATACTCATTTATCTTTTTTAAAGATATTCTTAAATAATTTTAACTTAAAATTATAAAAATTCATTTTGATCATCAGTGAAGTAAGAGTCCTTAAAGCAGCTTCCTGTTTCGAAATATTAGATTATTTATTTGTGGGTATTTTGTGAAATTTCTTTTCTTTTTTTAAGATCATCTAAGTTTACTTTTAAAAAATTTTATGGAATGAATTCTCTTTGTATCTTCATAAATTTTTTATCATTATTTTCTTTTTAATACCAGTCAAATCCTTTAATTTGAAATGAACCTTCAATTTATTTATTCTTATCATTTTTCTACTTTTTTTAAATATTATCTAAGCTTTGACTTTCATCTGAGCCACTCAAACTCTCTTATAACTTTTTATTGCTTCTTTTTTTAGACTTTACAATCTATTTTTATTAATCTTAAGATTCTTCTAATTTTTAATTATTTGTGCCTTTTTCCTCTTGAATTAATTTCTAATTATCTTTTAAAGCTTACTTTTCCAATATTTTTTACTCTTTTTTAGTAATCTTCATTCTTGATTTTCCTTATTATTTTCAGGTATTTATTTTGATATTGATTTTTCTATTTTTTTTGTTTACTTATTTTTAATTTAAAATAAAATTATAAACTTTAAGCTAACTTTATTTGATTTTATATTGTTAAAACTTATTAAATGATATTTGGATAAAAGCGTTTTAATCTTTCAAATATTTATTTATTATTAACAACAAAAAATTAATATTTATCAGAAAAATTTAATGATTAGGGAATTAATATAAACATTATTTATATTTTTTTCTTATCGAATTTAATTAGGTTATTAATTTAATTTGAATTCTAAGGATATAATTTTTTTTGATCAAAATTAATTAGAAAATTTAATATTATAAAAATAATAATAATAATGAGAAAATTTATTTCTGAGATAAAATATTTTTGTAACTTTATTTTGTTATGATTTTTTTCCTATTTTAAAAATAAAAATATCATTTAAAAATTGACAATTCTTTTTAATAAAAAAAAAAATGTAACTACAAATTATTTCACCTAAAAGAATAAAAACAAATATTTATTAAAATAAATAATGAAAAAGTTTTATTTCTTGAAAAATAAGATGATTTATTTAAAATGAGATTGCTTATTTAATCTAATTATGATAAAATATTAATTATTTATGATATTAAAAAATAATAATGCATTCATAATTGATTTAAAAAATAAATAAATACGAATGATATTTAAGAAAGTAATTTAATTTTTAGCCAAAATAAGCTTTTTTGAATTTGATTTTACAGTTTTTAAAATTTTTGTAAAAATTTGAGATAAAAGTATTTTTTTTATCTTTTGATTTTGATCAGAAAAATTTTATAATTAAAGGATGAGATAAATATTATTTATATTATTTTATTGATCAAATTAATTAAGTTAATAATTTGATTCATATTTAAAAAGATAGAATTTTTTTAGTTTATTTTTTTTTGATCAAAATTAATAAGGAATATTAATTTGATAATAATTTTGAGATAAAATTTTTTTTTTTGAGATAAATTAATTTCCTTATTTTATCTCTAATAATTTTTAATCATCTATCTATAAATAACAGTCCCATTTCACAAATTAGTAATAATCTTTAATAAAAAAAATAAAAGCAAATAATAAATACCATGAATTGCTTTAAAGAGTCTTTAAATCTTTAAAAAAAAAATTATTTATAGATAAATGATCAGATTATTTAATTTAGCTAATAAGAATAAAATGTTAATAATGATATTTTAAAATAAAAATAAATTATTGATTTAAAAAATGAAAAAAATATAATTGAAATTTAATAAAATAATTTATCAGTTAATTTTTAAAGTGATGAAGAATAAGAGGAAGAAAATAAAAATGATAAATAAAACATTGAAGAATAAGAAAATGAATTGAATATTAATAAAAAGAGAAAATTTGATGAATTTAATGATGAAGAAATATCATAAACATAGGAATTAGATTCATACACTGAAATTTTGGTGGATGTTCCAGCTAAAAAACAAAGTTCTAGCAATAGGAATAAATTTGAAGGTCCATTCGAAATGAAAGGCTTTGAGTGGTTTGAAAAAAATGGCTTAAAATATCTTAAAATTATAAAAAATGAAATTTAAGATATAAATTTAAATTGTTTTAAATCAAAAGTATCTCAAAAAAGTGATATGGGAAAATAGATTCATAAATTGATTAAAAAATATATAGACACAGAAAACGAATGTGTTTTTGATGAATTTTTTAATTAAGAAGAGAAGATTTATATTAAATATTAAATTGATCAAACAATTAAATACTTAAAATTAAGAGGTATGGATACATTTTATACTGAAAAACTTTTAAAGAGTGAATAATCTTAATGTAAATATATAGATCTTTTAGCTGTAAATAAAAAAAATAAATAATGTATAATTGTAGATTGGAAGTTTTAAAATAAAACATAAAATCATATTATTAAATATGGGGATTAGCATTTCATTTAGTAGATAAATGCAGCTATGAATGAATTTTAAGACTATAATATAACAATTTTAATTGTTCCTCTATAGAATTTAAGAAATTTTTAATTTATTGAATTTACAAAATAGGATGTTGAACTTGTGTAAGAAGATTAGCTATAGTTAAAATCGTACTAAAATTAAAAAATGTATTTACTGAATTAAAAATTTAAGGATAATATTCATTTAAATTAATGTACACTTGATTCAAATTTTACCAATTTAACTCTTTAATAATATGCTTAACTCTTATACAACAGTGAAGATTCTTAATAAATTAATCATTTTTTAAATATTGATAATTGTTAAAATTATAAAGACATATCTGAAATAAGCACCTCTAAATATATAACTAAATTAGATTAATTTTTTATCATAAATATTTTACTCAAAAATATGATGAATAAAAAAAAATAAGACAAATTAAATAAAATTATTGATTGAATAAAATTTGTTTTATATTTATTTTTATAAATCCTTTTTATTAGAATATTCCATTGTTTAAAAATCATAAAATTTTTTTTTTCTCTTCAAACCCAAATTAAATATTTATTAATTTAATTTAATATTATTGTGAATTATTAAATTAAAAATAATACTAAAAATTTCAATTTATTTTTTAATATTTAAATGAAGTATTTTAATTATCATAAAATTAAATTGTTAGAATTATTTAAAGATAAAAAAAATATTTATTAATAAAATTATTATTTATGAAATAAAATCTATTAAAACTAATTATTTTGATAGAAGGAATATTTAATTTGTATGTATTAATTATTATTTTTTTAATTAAAAGTAGATTAATATTTACTAGTAAGGATACTTTAAATATGAAAGCTCACTATATTTGTATTTACTTGAAAAAGAGTTTGAAAAATTCTTCAAAAGAAGGTTAAAAAATGTAAGTTAAAAACATCATAATTTATACTCATTTATTTTTGACAATAAAATTTTGAATCATTCAGAAATTTGGGAAAATTAAAAAAATAGTTAATATCGAAGATGTATGCTATGTTATTCGATTTAAAAATGGCTAAAAAAATACTAATAAAAGTAAAATTTATAATTATTTATCATGTTATTTTGATACAAAAGTTTCTTAATTTATAAATAACAGTAAAAAAAATAAGCAAATAGTTTGGTGAATTTAATTCTTCATAAAAAGAAAAGTTATTAAATTTGTAATTAAAGAATAAGTTCTATTTGAATACTACAAAAGTTATGAGTTATAAAATAACTTTGTTTATTTAGGTTTTGATATACTTAGTAAAATAAGTAAAGTTGCAAAATATAGCTGATGTATGTTTAATACCTAGCTAATACTTTTAAAACTAAGAAGATACATGTTTATTTTGCATGGAAAACTGTAGTTTATGCTATACTGTAGAAATGTGCTTGTAATGTATGCCAGGATACAGTTTAGTAAACATTTTTTATTTTTAAAGTTAAAATAATTCATTATTTTTTTATAGAACAATTAGGGGTAGTGCGTAAGCAGTTGTGGAGCGGATTAACTTAAAAACTAGTTGGATTAATAATGCGATAGCTTTCCTGATATTAACTGCTAGTAATATAACTATCAAAATTAATGCAATAAATGCAATGATGGGTATATCTTATAAGAAAATGGAATGTGCAAAAATAAATTTTGCTCACAATATTAAGGTACTTTTGACAGTATCACCTAAAAATGTTCTTTAGATGGATTTTTACTGTCAGAGTATATTAGAGAATAGTAGAATTCATAAAATAGTGCCCAGTTTAAGCAGGATTCTTTCAATTTTTAGTACTCCTCTTTAAAAGATAGCCTAAATGAGCAAATAGTAGAAATAAAAGTCTTAGATATTTTAGATCATAAATTAGTATTTTTTTAATTTTTATATTTATAATTTAATAGTTTTTAAAATAGGTAATTGGAAGGACGAATTAATATTTAATATTTTATGATTTCTAAAAAATGTCTGCATTATATCTACTTGATATGTAAGCTCCTATAATTTAGATATAGACAAATGAATAGTAAATGAAGCTTTACGCTTTGGTTTCGCATTACGATAACTTTAATCAAACTTCTTAATATGTTATAAATTAATTAATTCAAATTGATTTGGCTTCATACTAAAAAAATACAATTTTTTAGTATAATAATATAGTAGATCAAGTTTTATTTAACCAATAATATTTAATATTTAGAAGTGGAAGCATTTTAAGCATATTTTCGTTAGTAGATTAGTCTATGAAGTAATTAAAAACAAGTATAAATATAAGTAGCTTTTGCTTTCTATAAGAAGAAGAAATTATTTTAATTTTAGATAATTAAAATAACATTTTTCTAACAAATCCTTCATTAACAGGATATAACTAAATCTATTTAAACTCAAATGAATAATTTGTAATGATAAAATAAAATCTACCTTATAGCATTATAACGGTCATTTAATAAAACTAAGCAAATTTTTAATAAAATTTAGTAGTTTACTTAATTTAAAAATAAGTTGATTCTTCAAATTAGACTCACTACAACTTAGGATAGGTTTTTTTTAATTATTTTTTGTTAAATAATACTTAATTTTTATTAGTAAATATAATAAGTGGAATACTACGGATAAGTGATCCAAATAACTAATTAGAAAAATTTAATATATTTGATTTCTAGCACTGGTAAAGTTTATTTAATTTATCAATTAAAACTTAAAATTATTTTTTTTAAATTATCTACTTTAAAATATTGATATAATTTATTCAAAAATAGAAATTTAAATCTGGAATCTGTCTAAATTAGTGTCGACAGTAATTATCAAAAACAGTATACAAAATTATATATAAGATGAATGGATAATAGTAGCATTTGAAGAAAATATTTAGGTTTATCTAAATTCTTAAGATGGTTCTCAACTCACTACTTAATACTATAATATTCCTTTTAGATCATAAATAAACACAATAATCTATTACTAAAATTATATTTTAGTTAGCGTCTTTAATAGCATTTATTCTATTTAATATTTCTAATAACAAAAAAATGGACAGATTTTACAAAGCTTTGCTTAAAGTAATTGTTCAATAAAAATTCCTAAAAAAATATAAAAAACTTTAATTTTCAGCGATGATGGAAATAAAGTATCCAAATTAATTATCATTTATGACACAGAATATTTGATTGTTGGTTCTTATTAGGATTAATAAATACTCTTTAGAGATTAAATTGAAGCAAATATCTCTTTTAGCATGATCTAATAATCAATTTTAATATTATTTGCAGAATCATAGTTAATATAAACTAACTTAGTGAATTTTCAAAAACAAGTAACATAATTTTAAAACATTCTTTTATAAAAAGTTGAAAATGGTAATATTTATGTGTTAGAATAAATTAGTACATAGGATTGCTTAAAAGTATAGCTTAATACTTTATCATCTGGCCAAAATTAAGTCTGCTTACTTTAAACTCCAGTAAATTCTAATTATAAAAGTTTCTGTGATTGTGATATTAAAATAATGGAAAATAATTTAATTATCTTTGCTTAGTCCACAATATTTTTTGTAATCTATAGATATGATTGCTAAATTCTCTTAGAATAAAATAATTATATTTTAAATATATTATTAATTGACTCTAATACTTTGGTAATTTAAAACTAAGGTATTTCAATATTACAGTTAAATAAAAATAATGCTCTAATTAGTATTAATGTTTATAATTAAATCAAGAAATATACTTTAATAAAAAATATTTTAGTGATTTGTATAGAGTTTTGGTTGCTTGCTGGAGGAACTTAAAACCCAATGGTAAAAATAAACCTTAATGAATATGTTAACTATTATTCATAATAATTAAATGAATTTTTTTACGATTATGCTGTATCCAACTTTATAGTAAAAATAAAAGGATAAAATTTATAGTATATGGATATGTCATATCCTTTCTTCTCTTATTAATCAGTATCGTTTTAAGATAATATAAGCACAGTTGAAGAAGTATAAAACTCAAATTATCTTCTGCTCATAAGATTTATAAATGTAATTAATTTTATTATTAATATATTATTAATAGATTTAACATTTACATTCATTAAAAATTAAAAATTTTTTCATCTTTTTCTTAAAATAATTTAAATTTAATTTAGGATAAAAATAATGCAGTTATATTAGATGGCCATAATAATACTTACATTTATATAAACAAGAATTTAGGAAATATAATGTATTTCTTAAATAGTTATTTATTCATGCAATATCCTTCAAATTAATTACTAGTTATATAAGGAATTTATAAAGTAAATTAAAACCTACTTTTTAAATTCAAATCTCCATACGCATTTACTAATGATATTTAATAAATAATTGGAGATATAAGCTCTAAATAAATATAAATATACTCTCTTAGAGATGGGTCTTAAAAAGTATACATAAGTAAATTTTTAATTATGTAATATTCAATAACAATTTTTTCAAAGATAGTGTAGATAATTTAAGCGGTCAGTTAACAAATTATATAGAAAATACAGAAATTTACATGACAATTAATATAAGCAGTTTTGGTAGTATATTATTCGTAGATTTATTAACCTGTAAAATGATTTAAGTATAGATACCTATGTCCTATTAAATTTTAAGAAACGATGATATGCTTTTTATAAGTGTAATTAACTTTTAAAACTAATAGACTCTTATAGATTCAAAATTGAATATTCTTTAAGATGCAATGATGAGACTTTAGGGATACATAATTTCTTTATTATGGAAAGAAAATAACTATTATTATTTTATCTCAATCTCATAGAACAAGTTTACTGTATTTAATACTAATGGCTCAATTATATTTTAAGAAGATGTTGTTATTACTGACATTGTTGCAAATAACTAATAATTAATATTTTTCTAACAATAATAAATTGCTCAATACTCAATTAACATAAATAGGAAAAAAATTATTAAAATAAACTCATTCTAAATCAACAATCAATACCTAACTTTTAATATTGATTTTTATAATAGGTTAATTTATATATAATTTTTAAGCTAACTTTAGGTCATTTAGATTGATACCCTTAATTTAGTTCAGTCTATATAAATCTAGAATGATTATGTATATATTGGAGACGATAAAATAAATTAGGTAAATTTTAAATTGTAATTAAAAAATATTTATTTTTTTTTTAATTTAAAGATATAAATTTATAGATAAGCAAATTAAATAATAGTATTCTAATTGTTTAAAGAATAACTGAGATATTTTCCATTAAACTTTGATTTAACAAAAAAAATATTCTTTATAGATAGCGAATTAGGGATAATTGTTATCTGTGATACAACAATACTACAAATTTATGTATTATAGTATATTGGCTATTTTTAGCTAAGCAGTTTTTCATTCACTCCTTAATCATCAAATCTTGATATTTTTAAAATTAGATTTATTTATAATTACCATTTATCAATACTTATATTTAGTTAAGCAGGATAATTCTATTTTATTGATATTAACTATTTATACTACAATCAGCAAAGCATTAAAATGGTCTATGATAACTAATCAGCTCTCTTTGGAGAAAACAATCAAAATATAATAATGCTTAATAATGATATCAATTACCTTTCTATTTATGATAGTGTAACCTAATAGATTTAAGATAGTATAGTTTTTAAGTAAAATATAGATTTAAATGACATAGAAAATTATTAGATTGCCATTCTTCGCTAAATCAACCTTATTATCTGTATAAGAAAGAAAGATTATTATATTATTTAGATTTTTCCTTTAAAAACAATTTAATAACAAACTCTTTCTGATGTTTAAAATATTTATATTTCAGATAATTATGGTTTAATTCTTTATAGTAATTCAATCTAGCAAATATATTTATTTAGCCAAAAAGATTAATAATTTGTCATACTAAAATAAAATTAATAATATATAGGTAAAATTATCTTTATAAACGAAAGATTTATATGTGTTTAAGTCATAAATTTAGGCTAATAATAATTGTCTATATTCGACACATTGTCCCAGAAATAAATTCCTTTTCCATTTAATAAGGTATCATTAATTTGTTAAATTTTAATATAAATTATTTAAAATAAATTAAACTTATATAGCATATATTAATTTTATTACAGAATTAACAAATAAACATATTTTTTTAATTTAAAATATATATTTAAAATATAAAACCTATTTTATTTAATTTGAATTGATTCTTCTTCTGGCTAATTTGCATTAAATTATTTATTTTTTAAATTAAAGAAACATAAATAATTTTATAATATGTAAATATTAGGGGTAAGCAATAGATCTGAAGATTAAGAATTTTCTTATAGTTTAATAAGTATCTAAAGATAAAACATCTCTCCAGATATTTTAATTTAATTAAAAGGATATTACATTCATTTTTTACTATTACTAGTATAATGGATAATTTTAAATTAAATAACTATTTAATTAACAATTGATTAAAAATGTTCATAGCATTTACATAATGGGTATGTAAAATAATTTAAATACACTAATTTTGAAAATTAAAGAAAGTAAAAGTTTTATTTTACTTTCTGAAACCATTTAAATAAAATAGCTAGCCTTGCCATGCTCAAATAATACTAAAATAAAAGCAGAAAAAGATTATTTTTATTACATTTGTCCTTATGCTTCATTTATTTATGACATAAGCGCAACATTTATCTAAAGTATTAAGTATACATTTAGCTCTAATTTGACTATTTAAGATATATCCTACTTAAACTATAATATTTTTATTATAAATTTGTCATAAAGTTAAATAGATTTATATGAAATAAACTATAAATTTAAGAATAAAATATAATCACTTACTAAAATCATCAATCCTAAAGTTTATAATTATTAATTTAATCAAAAAAATGACACTATTTAACTCACAATCTATGGAGTTTCTGATTTTAATTTATTTTAAGCTACCATAAATTATTAATCAAAAAGGTTCAAATACTAAATAGCTTAGTATTTAAATTAAAATTTAGTCTAGGTTACAACATAAAGCTACATAGATAACTATAAGGTACTTTATTTATTTAATATTTAATTTTTTGTTAAATAAAATTTATTTTTAAAAGCACATTGTACTATAATAATAAATATCCTAAACTATCTAATCTCTAAGATACCAAATATACTTTCAGCCTCCTTCTAATATGTAAAAATTTTATTTTTCTTATTTATTTATTTATTTTTGCTAATTTAAAATAGTAATTAATTTCCAGTGATCAATTCTTATTAAAGCTCAGATATTGTAGAAATATATTCAGCAGATGGCATAAATAGCAACTAAAAATATTAATTACAAATTTCTTCAACTGAATTCATATCAGATTAATTTAAGAAATTAAAATTAGGAAATATGATTCTCAATATTAACTTGATTGACTCTCTAAATTTTAATTAGTATTAATATTTAGAATAACTTTAATTCTCTAATATGACAATACAGTTTGGCTAACAAAATGGATCTATATTTTTGAATTCTTATAAAAAGCTAATAATAAATGAAATAAAAATCATTAATTAAGTAATTACAACTTAGTTCATCTTTTAAAATATCACTGATATTTTAATTAACAACCTGGAAATTTAAAATGTCACTTTTTAGTCTTAGTCTTACTTTTTTTCATTCTAAGAAATCTAGTAAATTATGATAAGAAATCTTTCTATATACTAGAGCAACTTTAATCAGACAATGATTTTGGTGAATAATTCAAATAATATTTAAATGTAAAATATCTTCATTGCTAACACCAATTTTTCTCAAGGATTAATTTTTGTAAATTAATCTGAAAATTTTTTTAGTGATTAGATTTAAGCTTAATGGAATCAGATAAATTAAAAAAATTTAAACAATAAAATAAATCCCTACTTGTTCAATTTTTTATAAGTTAAATAAGTTTAATTTGATAATATTTCTTTTAGTAACTCATTGAATTTAGGATTTGTTAACTTCACTGGCTTGATGATAAATTTTCAATTTCTTTATTCTATTAGCATAAAAAATTCAAAATTTAATGAAATTAAATAAAAAATACCTATTATTTAAGTTACTTATGGAATCAGCGCAACCATAGAAAATTTGTAAGTTAGTAAAATGAATAGCTCGAATTTTATTCTTTTGTCTTTGGTAAGTTAGCTTGAGTTAACAAATTTAAGCTTTTTTAATATAAATGAGCCTTTTTTTTAAATACCTAAGTTAGAATCTTCTTTTCTTCCTTAATTCCATAATTATTTATTGAGTCTTGGTGGAATAAATAGTCTTATGGTCTAAAATTTGTAAATGTCTTATTGCTATAATATTGGGATGCTAAATGTAATTGAATTTTAAGTGGGATTAGATGCAGTTTAAAATAGTAATTAAATGCAGGCAAACTTAATTAAAATTTCTGATTCTTAATCTAATCTAAGTGAACCAGCTATAAACTTAAGAAATAAATAATTAATTATCTCTTAACTAACAGTAAAAAATGTTATATTTAAAAGTCATATTATGAACCTCAATTAGCAATCTTATTTCTAAATGAATCAATCTTAATTTATTAATATCTAACTGAAAGAATAGTCAACAACAATATATAATAATTAAATTTCAATAATTGAAATATCATATGTGAAATTTTAAAATATCTCTTCATAATAATATCCTGCTGTAATTTTAAGTAAGTCTGTAGATAATTTTAGTATTCATAACTGTACTTTTAGGTAAAACTAAAATCTACAAACAAATATATCAGTTTCATCTAATAATGATAATAACAGTAATTTTAATATTTAGAATTGTAATAATTTGATAATAGATGATTCATTATTTGTACAAAACACATGCTTCAGTAATGGAGGAGGAATTTACTTATTTCAAATTCAAAATTCTCTCATAAATAACACCAAGTTTATTTTAAACTAAGCATAATAATATTCGGGAGGAGCAATTTATGCTTCTAATTCTAATATTAATATTAATTAATGTCTCTTTTAAGACAACATATCAAAAAAGGAAAGAGGTGGAGCTATCTATTCTGATAAGACTTATATCTAACTAGTTAATTCAAATATCATAAATAATATTGCATATGTGGGTGGTGGAATTTATTATAACAAAATAAATACAATAAATATTGATAAATCTAGCTAAATTTATTAAAATAAAGGTATTAATATTAATAATTTATTTATTTACTTTATATTGAAATTATATTATAAATAGGTAAGTTTTATGGAAATAACTTAGGCTCTTATCCTAAAAAACTATTAAAAGTAGATTTAAAAACTAAATAGGTTTATAAAAAGATAATCATTAAAAATTTTTAAAGTGGAAACTATACTAAATAACCTATATATGTTTAGTATTTTGATGAAGAAAATTAAATACTAAACTTTAATATTGCAGATTTAACTAGCTAATTTTCTTCTAGCATTAAATAAGAAATAGAAAATTATTAAATAGCAATTTTAAATCCTTCAAATGTGAAAAATCTAACAATAATATTAGGATAATAATTATAATATATAAAATCTATCAATTTATTTTAACTAAATATGACAGCAGGAAATTACTATGAAACAGATTTTAAATTGGTTCTATTCTCACAATTTTTTGGTGAGTAACTTGCTATAGATTTACTGCTTAATTTTAGAAAATGCAAAATAGGAGAAATATTATATCATAAGCAGGGATATATTTCGTAAATAATTTTTTTTATTAATTATTTATTAAATTATTTAATTTTATCCATAATTAAGTTGCGATCAGTGTCCCGAAGGGAGTTATTCGTTTGTTAACCCATATTAAAAATCTGAAAATAGTCTAGTTCAATGCCAGAAATGCCCTTTATAATATGCAAAGAAATGTTACTCTAATCAAATAATTTTAAATTAACATTTCTGGAGAGAATCAAATTTAACAGATAATATTTTTCCGTGCTATATGCTAGGATGTAATGAATCTGCTTACAATTCAATAAATGGATGCATAAAAGGTTATATTGGCCCCTTATGCAATTCTTGTGATTATAAGGGAATATATTGGGGAAATAGTTATGCTTAAAATGGTAAATATTGCTATGAGTGTGGTAAAATAGTAAATTTGTACATCTTCGTGGCACTATCTATTTTATTTTACTCATTATACATACCATTAAGTGTGTATTCATAGATCAAAACTAACATATTGATTATCAAAATTGAATATTTAAGAAAGTTAGAGGTGTTATTTTTAAGCAAAACTAAATTTTTAGGTTCTGATAAAGGAATAATATTAAAGATCTTTTTTCATTACTTCCAGATATTTTCATCTTCTATAAATGTAATTAACTAAATTCCTGAGATATTTGGTAATTTATTTAAATTAGGAGGTGATCCAGCTTAGGTAACTTATACAAGTTTAGATTGTATTTATAAGGATTGGGTTATTTCTTAGCTTTGGTTTAGTCGATTAATAATGTAATTTGTTTAAATAATAATAGTGACTGGACTTGTTCTATTATCTAGATATATACTACCTAAAAATATAATATAATTTTATAAAAAAAAGATATACTTAATATTTATTTACTTTTTTTATTACTCGTCTCTTGTTAAAATGCTCATGTCTCTTTGCATATGCAAATCAATTGGAAATAACTCTTATATGTTAAATGATTTTCTTTAAAAGTGCTGGACAAGCTAACATTTATTATTTTCTTTCGGATTAATATATCCGTTAACCATTATTTGCTCAATTGGAATACCATTTATTTTTTATTTGAAAATAAAATCTGCTATAGAAAATAAAAAATAAGAAAATATTTAATTTATCTTGTCTTATTACTTTATATTATAAGGATATAAAAATTAATTTTATTATTGGGAAATTCTCAAGATGTTACTAAGATTAATTATTATGATTATATTGAATTTAGATATTTAAAATGCAATTTAAAGATAGATGATATTAGTTGTATGCTTTGTCTAAATAATAGTGACAATCTGTATGAATCCTTATAAGTAAAAATAATTGCAAAATTTAGAAATTTTGCTGCTTTCAGTTTTAATAATTAGTCTAGCTCTGTAAACGATAATATATATGTTAGATGATAATTTCGAGAAAACTTTAATTTTAATAATTATCATATTTATTTTTAATCTTTATAATTTGATAAAGATAATTTTTGAATATTATAAATCTGCTTTAGAATTAGCTTTAAGGTCTAAAAGTAAAAAATTTAAAATAATCTTAAATTTTTTAAATAAATGTAAAATTATTAAGTTTGATATTAAGAAAAGATAAACTTCATTAACAAGAATAAGCCAATTGTGGAAAATTGTAAATAAAAATAAACATTTCTTAAATTATGAATATTAAGTTAGCTTGAAATAACAAACTATATTAAAGAATTAAAAAAGTTATAGCAATTATTCTGCTATACAATAAGGAATCCTCTCATTTAATGTAATTTTTTTAAATAATTTTATTTATAATATCTTATTTTTTAATTTTAGGAAAAGGAAAAAATTATAAACAATTGACTTTAGACAAATATATTAATTATTAAAACTTTTATTTTGTATGTTTCATGTTAATAAAATTAAATTCAAATTTATTTTAATATTTATAAATGCAAAATAATAATAAACATTAATTTAATACCAAGAAATAAAATAAAACAAAAATATAATTTAGAACTAAAATTTAAAAAAATAAGTTTATTGAAGAAAAATTTTTTAAAATGGGTAAAATTAAAAATTTAATATAAAAATGAAAAATCATAAAGATTGAAATAAATTAAAATTATAAATATTATTAATTAAATTCAATTAATTATAAAATTATTTATTTTTACATTAGCCATTCAACAAAATAGTGATCTAAAATCACTAAATTTTTGAATGGCTTTTGGCTATACTTGTAAATATACTTTATTATTTATTAAATAGAATATATTATGACTAATTATATATAGAAGAACTATGTAATTTGTATATGTTATTTATTACATTTTTAATTAAAAATTGGATTAATATGAGCTAATAAGGATTGATTAAATATATGAAGTTCACTATTTTTCTATTCACATGAGAAAAAATATGAAAAATACTTCAAAATAAGGTTAGAAAAATATGCTAAAATATCATAAAATACACTCACTTACTTTTAACAGTGTATTTTTGAAATACAGAAATTTGCTAAAATTAAATTTAATATAGAAATTTTTATGTTATTTGATGCAAAAATGGTATAAAAAATTATTGATAAAAGGAAAATTTATCAAATGTTAATTTAATACAAAAATTTCTTAATTTATAATAAATCAGTAAAAAAATAAGCAAATTTTTTAGTGAAATTCATTCATATAAAAGAAAAGTTATTAAATTTGAAATTAAGGATAAGATTTTATTAAAATACTAAAAACTTATGAGTAATAAATTAGCATTGCTAATTTAGGTTTTGATATACTTAGTACAATAAGTAAAGTTGCAAAATATAGCTGATGTATGTTCAATGCCTGGTTAATACTTTTAAAATTAAGCAGATTAATGTTTATATTGCATGAAAAACTGTATTTTATGTTATACTGCCGAAATATGCATGTAATGTACTTCAGGGTACAGTTTAGTAAACATTTTTTTTTAAGTTAAAAAATTCATTCTTTTTTATAGAACAATTAGGGATAGTGCGTAAGTAGTTGTGGAGTGGATTAACTTAAAAACTAGTTAAATTAACTTTGCGATAGCTTTCCTGATATTAACTGCTAATAATATAGCTATCAAAATTAATGCAATAAATGCAATGATGGATTTATCTTAAATCAAAATGGAATGTGCAAAAATAAATTTTGCTCACAATATTAGGGTATTTTTGACAGTATCACCTAAAAATGTTCTTTAGATGGATTTTTACTATCAGAGTATATTAGAGAATAGTAGAATTCATAAAATAGCGCACAGTTCAAGCAGGATTCTTTCAATTTTTAGTATTCCTCCTTAAAAGATAGCTTAAATGAACAAATAGTAGAAATAAAAGTCTTAAATATTTTAGATCATAAACTAGTATTTTTTTAATTTTTATATTTATAATATTAATAATTTTTGAAATAGGTAATTGGAAGGACGAATTAATATATAATATTTTATGAATACTAAAAGATGTCTGCATTATATCTATTTGATATGTAAGCTCCTATACTTTAGATGCAGATTAATGAATAGCAAATGAAGCTTTACACTTTAGTTTCACATTACAATAGCTTTAATCAAACTTCTTAATATGTTTTAAATTAATTAGTTCAAATTGACTTGGTTTCTTACTAATAAAATACAATTATCTAGTATAATAAAATAGTAAATCAAGTTTTATGTAATCAATAATATTTAATATTGAGAAGTGGAAGTATTTTGAGTATATTTTCGTTAGCTGATTAGTCTATGAAGTAATTAAAAACAAATATAAATATAAGTTACTTTTGCTTTTTATAAGTAGAAGGAATTATTTTAATTTTAGATAATAAAAATAACATTTTTCTAACAAATCCTTCGTTCACAGGATATAACTAAATCAATTTAAACTCAAAAGAATAATTTATTATGATAAAATAGAATCTACCTTATAGCATTATTACAGTCATTTAATAAGACTAAGCAACTTAACAGTAAAGCTTAGTAATTTACTAAATTTAAAAATAAGCTGATTCTTCAAATTAGATTCACTACAACTTAGGATAGGTTTTATTTTTTTTTTTTGTTAAATAATTCTTAATTTTTATTAGTAAATACAAAAAATAGAATACAACGGGTAAATGATTCAAATAACTAATTAGAAAAATTTAATATATTTGATTTCTAGTGCTGGTAAAGTATTTTAATTAAAAAATTAAAACTTAAAATTATTTTTTTAAATTAATTATGTTAAAATATTGAAAAATTTTATTCAAAAATAGAAATTTAAATCTGGAATCTGTCTAAATTAGTATCAACAGTCAATATCAAAGACTGTATACAATTTTTTATTTAAGATGAGTGTATAATAGTAGCATTTGCAGAAAACATTTATGTCTATCTAAATTCTTAAGATGGATCTCAACTCCTTATTTAATACTATAGTATTCCTTTTATATCATAAATAAACACAATAATCTATTACCAAAATTCTATTTTAGTGAGCGTCTTTAATAGCATTTATTCTATTTAATATTTCTAATAACAAAAAAATGGACAGATTTTACAAAGCTTTGCTTAAAGTAATTGTTCAATAAAAATTCCTAAGAAAATATAAAAAACTTTAATTTTCAGCGATGATGGAAGTAAAATATCCAAATTAATTATCATTTATGACACAGAATATTTGATTGTTGGTTCTTATTAGGATTAATAAATACTCTTTAGAGATTAAATTGAAGCAAATATCTCTTTTAGCATGATCTAATAATCCATTTTAATATTATTTGCATAATCATAGTTAATTTTAGTTAACTTAATAAATTTTCAAAAACAAGTGACATAATTTTAAAACATTCTTTTATAATAAGTTGAAAATGGTAATATTTATGTTTTAGAATAAATAAGTACATAGGATTGCTTAAGCGTATAGCTTAATACTATATCATCCGGATAAAATTAAATCTGCTTACTTTAAACTCCAGTAAATTCTTATTATGAAAGCTTCTGTAATTGTGATATTTAAATAATGGAAAATAATTTAATAATATTTTCTTAATCAACATTTTTTTTTGTGGTTTATAGATATGACTGCTAAATTCTATTAGAATAAACATTTTATGTTTTAAATATATTATTAATTGACTCTAATACTTTATTACTTTCAGGCGCAGATATTTCAATATTATAGTTAAATAAAAATGATGCTATAACAAATATTGATATTTATTATCCAATCAATAAATTTAGTTTAATAAAAAATATTTTAGTGATTTGTGTAGAGCTTTAATTAAATCAAGGAGGAATTTAAAATCCAATGATAAAAGTCAACCTTAATTAATACGTTAACTTTTATTCATAATAATTAAATGAATTAAATTATGATTATGCTGTATCTAACTTTATAGTAAAAATAAATGGATAAAATTTATAGTATATGGATATGTCATATCCTTTCTTTTCTTATTAATTAGTATCATTTTAAGATAATATATTCACAGTTGAATAAATTTAAAACTCAAATTATCTTCTGCTCATAAGATTTATAAACGTAATTAGCTTTATTATTTATATATTATTATTCATATATTTAACATTTACAATAATAATTTTTGAATTTTTAGATACTTTTTTAAAATTATTTCAATTAAATTTAGGATAAAAATAATGCAGTTATATTAGATGGCCATAATAATACTTACATTTATATAAATAAGAATTTAGGAAATATAATGTATTTCTAAAATAGCTATTTATTCATGTAATATCCTTCAAATTAATTACTAGTTTTATAAGCAATTAATAAAGTAAACTAAAATCTATTTTTTAATTATTAATCTCCATATTCATTAACCAACGATATTTAATAAATAATTGGAGATATAAGTCCTAGTTAAATATCAATATACTCTCTGAGAGATGGTTCTTAAAAAATATATTTAAGTAAATTTTTTCATATGTAAAATTCAATTAAATTGTTTTTTTAAAGATAAAGTAGCTAATTTAAAAGGTCAGTTAACAAATTTTATAGAAAATACAGAAATTTATATGGCAATTAATATAAGCAGTTTTGGTAGTATATTATTCGTAGATTTATTAACCAGCAAAATGATTAAATTAATGAAACCTAAATCTTATTAAATTTTAAGAAACGATGAAAAATTTTTTATCAGTGTTATTAACTTTTAAAACTAGCAAACTCTTATAGATTCAAAATTGAACATTCAATAAGATACAATGAAGAGACTGTAAGGATACATAATTTCTTTGTTATGGAAAGAAAATAACTATTATTATTTTATCTCAATTTCATAGAACAAATTTACTGTATTTGATACTAATGGCTAGTTTATATTTTAAGAAAGTATTGCTATTTCTGATATTGTTACAAATAACTAATAATTAATATTGTTCTAAGAATAATACATTACTCAATACACAATTAACATAAATAAAAAACAACTTACTCAAATAAATTCATTCTAAATTAACAATCAATACCTAACTTTTAATGTTGATTTTTATAATAGGTTAATTTATGTCTAACTTTAAAACTAACTTTAGGTCCTTTAAATTGATAGCCTCAATTTAATTCAGTCTATATAAATCTAGAATGATTATGTATTTATTGGAGACGATAAAATAAATTAGGTAAATTAAAATTATATTTTAAAAAATATAAATTTTTTTTATTTTAAGATATAAATTTATAGATAAGCAAATTAAATAATAATATACTAATTATTTAACGAATAAATGAGATCATTTCCATTAAATTTTGATTTATCAAAAAAAACATTCTTTTTAGATAGCGAATTAGGGATAATTATTATCTGTGATGCAGCACTACTACAAATTTATGTATTATAGTATGTTGGCTATTTTTAGCTCAACAGTTTTTCGATCACTCCTCAATCATCAAATCTTGAAATTTTTAAAATTAGATTTATTTATAATTACCATTTATCAATACTTATATTTATTTAAGCAGGATATTTCTATTTTATTGATATAAATTATTTATACTATAATCAGCAAAACATTAAAATGATCAATGATAACTAATCAGTACTCTTTGGATAAAATAATCAAAATATAATAATCCTTAATAATGATATCAATTACCTTTCTTTATTTAATAGTTAAACCTAATAGATTTAGGATAGTTTAGTTTTTAAGTAAAATATAGATCTAAATGACATAGAAAGTTATTAGATTGCCATTCTTAACTAAACCAATCTTATTATCTGTATAAGAAAGAAAGATTATTATATTATTTAGCTTTTTCCTTTAAAAACAATTTCATAGTAAACTCTTTCTGATGTTTAAAATATTTATATTTCAGATAATTATGGTTTAATTCTTTATAGTAATTCAATCTAGCAAATATATTTATTTAGCCAAAATGATTAAAAATTTGTCATACTAAAGAAAAATTAATAATAGATAAGTAAACTAATTTTTATAAATGAAAGATTTATTTGTGTTTAAGTCATCAATCTAGGCTAATAATAATTGTCTATATTCGACACATTTTCACAGAAATAAAATGCTTTTCCTTTTGATAAGGTATTCATTCATTCATTTGTGAAATTTTAATATAAATTTCAATAAATAAATTAAAATTATATAATATATATTAATTATATTGGATAATTCAAAATTAAAAAAAAATATTATTTTAATTTAAAATATTAAAAAATATAAAACCCAAACCACTAAAATTTTTTATATTTAACTTTTAAAAACCCAAAATCAATTATATATTAATCTATTTAATTATTTCTTATGCAAATTTGCATTAAATTAATTATTTTTTAAATTAAAAATACCTAATAAAAAATGTTATAATAGGGGTAAGTAATAGATCTGAAGGTTAAGAATTTTCTTATAATTTAATAACTTGCTACAAACAAAACATCTCTCCAGATATTTTAATTTAATTAAAAGGACGTTTTTTTTGTTTTATACTATTTCTAGTATAATGGCTAATTTTTAATTAAATAACTATTTAATTAACAATACTTTAAAAATGTTCATAGTATTTTCATAATGGGAATATAAAATAATTTAAATGCTCTAATTTTGAAAATTAAAGAAACTAAAAGTATGATTTCAATTTCTGAAAGCACTTAAATAAAATAGCTATTATTGCCTTGCTCAAACAATACTCAAATAAAAGTAGAAAACAATTATTTTTATTACATTTGTCCTTTTGTCTCTTTTATTTATGACATAAGTGCAACATTTATTTAAAGTATCAAGTACTCAATTAGCTCTAATTTGACTATTTATGATATCTCCTATTTAAACTATAATATTTTTATAGTAAAATTATCATACAGTTAAATAGATTTATATGAAATAAACTATAAATTTAAGAATAAAATATAATCACTTAGTAAAATCATCAATCCCAAAATTTATAATTATTTAATCAGTCAAAACAATAACATTATTCAACTCACAATCTATGGAATTTCTGATTTTAATTTATTTTAAGCTACTATTAATTATTAACCAAAGAGGTTCAAATACTAAATAGCTTAGTATTTAAATTAAAACTTAATGTAGGTTACAACATAAAGCTACATTGATAATTATAAGGTATTTTATTTATTTAATATTTAATATTTTGTTAAATCCAATTTATTTTTCATAGCATATTGTCCTATAATAATAAATATCCTAAACTATCTAATCTCTAAGATACCAAATATTCTTTCAGCCTCCTTCAAAGATGTAAAACATTTTTATTTTTCTTATAAACTTAATTTTTGCTAATTTAAAATAGTACTTAGTTTCCAGTTATAAATTCTTTTTAAAGCTCTGATATTGTAGAAATATATTCAGCAGAGGAAATAAATAACAATCAAAAATATTAATTATAAATTTCTTCAACTGAATTCATATCAGATTAATTTAAGAATTTAAAAATAGGAAATATGATTCTCAATTTTAACTTCATTGACTCTCTAAATTTTAATTAATATTAATATTTAGAATAACTTTAATTCTCTAATATGACTATATAGTTTGGCTAACAAAATGGATCTATATTTTTGAATTCTTATAAAAAGCTAATAATAAATGAAATAAAAATTATAAATTAAATCATTACAACTGAGTTTATTATGTCAAATATCACAGAGATTTTAATTAACAACCTGGAAATTTAAAATGTCACTTTTTAGTCTGAATCTTATTTTTTTTCATTCTAAAATATTTAGTAAATTATGATAAGAAATCTTTCTATATACTAAAGTAATTTTAATCAAACAATGATTTTGGTGAATAATTCAAATAATATTTAAATGTAAAATATCTTCATTACTAATAACAATTTTTCTCAAGGATTAATTTTTGTAAATTAATCTGAAAACTTTTTTAGTGATTAGATTTAAGCCTAATGGAATCAGATAAACGATAACAAAAATGTAAACAGTAAAAAAAATCCCTACTTATTTAATTTTTTATAAGTTAAATAAGTTTAATTTGATAATATTTCTTTTAGTAACTCATTGAATTTAGGATTTGTTAACTTCACTGGCTTGATGATAAATTTTCAATTTCTTTATTCTATTAGCATAAAAAATTCAAAATTTAATGAAATAAAATAAAAAATACCTATAATTTAAGTTACTTATGGAATCAGCGCAACCATAGAAAATTTGTAAGTTAGTAAAATGAATAGCTCGAATTTTATTCTTTTGTCTTTGGTAAGTTAGCTTGAGTTAACAAATTTAAGCTTTTTTAATATAAATGAGCCTTTTGTTTAAATACCTAAGTTAGGATCTTCTTTTATTCCTTAATTTGATAATTATTTATTGAGTCTTGGTGGAATAAACAATTTTGTTGTCTAAAATTTATAAATGTCTTATTGCTATAATATTGGGATGCTAAATTTAATTGAGTTTTAAGTGGGATTAGATGCAATTTAAAATAGCAATTAAATGCAGGCAAACTTAATTAAAATTTCTAATTCTTAATCTAATCTAAGTGAACCAGCTTTAAACTTAAGAAATAAATAATTAAGTATTTCTTAACTAACATTAAAAAATATTATATTTAAAAGTCATATTATGAACCTCAATTCGCAATCTTATTTCTAAATGAATCAATCTTAATTTATTAATATATATCTGATAGATTAATCAACGACAATATATAATAATTAAATTTCAGTAATTGAAATATCATAAGTAAAATTTTAAAATATTTCTTCTTAATAATACCCTGCTATATTTTTAACTAAGTCTGTAGATAGCTTTAGTATTCGTAACTGCACTTTTAGATAAAACTAAAATCTATAAACAATAAAATCAATTTCTACTAATAATAATGATAATAATGGTAATTTCAATATTTAGAATTGTAACAGTTTGATAATAGATGACTCATTATTTGTTCAAAATACATGCTTCAGCAACGGAGGAGCAATTTATTTATATTAAATTCAAAAATCTTCTATAAATAACACCACATTTGTTCAAAACTAGGTATAACAATACTCAGGAGGAGCAATTTATACTTCTAATTCTAATATTAATATTAATTAATGTCTGTTTTAAAACAACATATCAAAAAAGGAAAGAGGTGGAGCTATCTATTCTGATAAAACTTACATCTAAGTAGTTAATTCAAATATCATAAATAATATTGCATATGTGGGTGGTGGAATTTATTATAACAAAATAAATACAATAAATATTGATAAATCTAGCTAAATTTATTAAAATAAAGGTATAATTATTGAAAATTTATTTACTTTATAATGAAATAATTATATAAATAGGTAAGTTTTATGGGAATAACTTAGGCTCTTATCCTAAAAAACTATTAAAAGTAGATTTAAAAACTAAATAGGTTTATAACAAAATAATCATTAAAAATTTTTAAAGTGGAAACTATACTAAATAACCGATATATGTTTAATATTTCGATGAAGAAGATTAAATACTAAACTTTAATATTGCAGATTTAACTAGTCAATTTTCTTCTAGTATTAAATAAGAAATAGAAAATTATTAAATAGCCATTTTAAATCCTTCAAATTTGAAAAGTCTAACAATAATATTAGGATAACAATTATAATATATAAAATCTATCAATTTATTTTAACTCAATATAACAGCAGGAAATTATTATGAAACTGATTTTAAATTGGTTTTATTCTCACAATTTTTTGATGAGTACCTTACTCTTGATTTATTACTTAATTTTAGAAAATGCAAAATTGGAGAAATATTATATCATAAACAAGGATATATTTCGTAAATAATTTTTATTATTGTATATTTATTAAATTATTTAATTTTATCCATAATTAAGTTGTGATTAATGTGCTGAAGGGAGCTATTCTCTAGTTGACCCATATCAAAAATCTGAAAATGGTCTAGTTCAATGCTAGAAATGCTCTTTAGAATATTCAAAGAAATGTTACTCAAATCAAATTATTTTAAATTAGCACTACTGGAGAGAGTCGAATTTAACAGATATTGTTTTCGCATGCTATATGTTAGGCTGTAATGAGTCTGTTTATAATTAGATTAATGGATGCATAAAAGGTTATATTGGTCCCCTATGCAACTCTTGTGATACTAAAGGAATACGTTGGGGAACTAGCTATGGTTAAAATGGAAAATATTGCTATGAATGTGGTAAAATAGTAGATGTGTAAGTCTTTGTGGGATTATCTATTTTATTTTACTCATTTTACATATCACTAAGTATGTATTAATAGATCAAAACTAACATATTGATTATCAAAATTGAATATTTAAGAAAGTTAGAGGTGTTATTTTTAAGCAAAACTAAATTTTTAGGTTCTGATACAGGAATAATATTAAAGATCTTTTTTCATTACTTCCAGATATTTTCATCTTCTATAAATGTCATTAACTAAATTTCTGAGACATTTGGTAATTTATTTAAATTAGGAGGTGATCCAATTTAGATAACTTATACAAGTTTAGATTGTATTTATAAGAATTGGGAAATTTCTTAGCTTTGGTTTAATCGATTGATAATGTAATCTGCTTAAATAATAATAGTGACTGGACTAATTCTATTATCTAGATATTCACTACCTAAAAATATGAAAAAATTTTATAAAAAAAAGATATACTTAATATTTATTTACTTTTTTTACTAATCTTCTCTTGTTAAAATGCTCATCTCTCTTTGCCTGTGCAAATCAATTCGAAACAATTCTTATATGTTAAACGATTTTCTTTAAAAGTGCTGGACAAACTAACATTTAGTATTTTCTTTTATAATAATATATCCTCTAACAATAATTTGCTCAATTGGAATACCATTAATATTTTATTTGAAAATAAAATCTGCTATATAAAATAAAAAATAAGAGAATGTTTAATTTATCTTGTCTTATTACTTTATATTATAAGGATATAAAAATTAATTTTATTACTGGGAAATTCTCAAAATGCTTCTAAGATTAATTATTATGATTATTTTGAATTTAGATATTTAAAACGGAATTTAAAGATTGTTGATATTAGTTGTATGCTTTATCTAAATAATGATGACAATCTCTTTGAATCCTTATAAATAAAAACAAATATAAAATTTAGAAGTTTTACTGCTTTCAATTATTATAATTAGTCTAGCACTATAAACGATAATATATATGTAAGATGATAATTTTGATAAAACCTTAATTTTAATAATTATCATTTTTATTTTTAATTTTTATAGTTTGATAAAGATAATTTTTGAATATTATAAATCCGCTTTAGAATTATCATTAAGGTCTAAAAGTAGAATATTTAAGATTATTTTAAATTTGTTATATAAATTTAAGATCATTAAATTTGATATCAAGAATAGATAAACTTCATTGTTAAGAATAAGCCAATTGTGGAAAATTATAATCAAAAATAAGCATCTCTTAAATAATGAATTTGAAATTTCCTTCAAATAGCAAGCTATCTCAAAGAATTAAAAAAATTATAGCAATTATCTTGGTACATAATTTGAACTCCTCACATTTAATGTAATTATTATATAATAATTTTATTTTTAATATTTTATTTTATAATTTTAGGAAAAGGAAAAAAGTATATACAATTGATTTTAGACAAATATTTTCATTTATTAAGTATTTTTCATGTTAATAAAATTATACTCAATTTTATTTTAATATCTATATTTTCAACATAACATTAAACATTAAATAAATACCATGAAGCTATATAAATCAAAATATATATTAAAATTCAAATTTAAAAAAATCAGTAAATGCAAACTTGTATTATTTTTATCTTTATTAAAATTTTTATTTTTATTGATCTTATTTATTAGGGTATTCTATTTAATTTTGTTTAAAAATTGCAAAATATTCTTTAGAAAGCAATTTTTTTTCTAATCAACAAATTAAATGAAATATTAAATGAAATTTTTATAAATTATTTTATTTTCTATAATTTTTAAAAGTTAAATATATTTAAGAGGTGAATTATTAGACTAAAAATAAAACATAAAAAATACCATTTATTTATTGATATTTAAATGAATTATTTTTAATTTCATACAATTAAAATCTTAATAGAATTACTTAAAGATAAAAAAATATTTATTAAATTAACTTATAAATATACATTATTATTTATTCAATAGCATCTATTAAAACTAATTATTTTGACAGAAGGAATATGTAATTAGTATATATTATTTATTGCTTTTTTAATTAAAATTAGGATTAATATTAACTAATAAGGATTGAATAAATATATGAAATTTCACTATTTTTGTATTTTCTTGAGAAAAAATATGAAAGATACATCAAAATAAGGTTGGAAAATGTAAATTAAAAATATCATAATTTAAACTCATTTACTTTCGACAAGGTAATTTTAAAACATTCAGAAATTTGGTAAAATTAAGAAAATTTTTAATATTGAAAGATGCATGTTATTCGATGTCAAAATGGCATTAAAAATATTGATAAAAGGAAAATATATCATTATGTATTATGTTATTTTAATATAAAAATTTCTTAATTTGTAAAAAATCAGTAAAAAAAATAAGCAAATTGTTTGGTGAATTTCATTCATATAAAACAAAAGTTATTCAATTTGAAATTAAGGATTAGGTTCTAATTAAATACTACAAAACTTATGAGTTATAAATTAGCTTTGTTTATTTAGGTTTTGATATACTTAGTAAAATAAGTAAAGCTGCAAAATATAGCTGATGTATGTTTAATACCTAGTTAATACTTTTAAAACTAAGCAGATTAATGTCTATATTGCATGAAAAACTGTAGTTTATGTTTTTCTGCGGAAATATGCATGTAATGTATGCCAGGATACAGTTTAGTAAACATTTTTTATTTTTAAAGTTAAAATAATTAATACTTTCTTATAGAACAATTAGGGGTAGTGTGTAAGCAGTTGTGGAGTGGATTAACTTAAAAACTAGTTTGATTAACAATGCAATAGCTTTCCTGATATTAACTGCTAATAATATAACTTTCAAAATTAATGCAATAAATGTAAAGATGGATACATTTTATTTGAAAATGGAATCTGTAAAAATAAATTTTGCTCACAATATTAAGGTACTTTTGACAGTACCACCTAAAAGTGTTCTTTAGATGGATTTTTACAGTCAGAGTATATTAGAGAATAGTAGAATTCATAAAATAGTACCCAGTTCAAACAGGATTCTTTCAATTTTTAGTATTCCTCCTTAAAAGATAGCTTAAATGAACAAATAGTAGAAATAAAAGTCTTAGATATTTTAGATCATAAATTAGTATTTTTTTAATTTTTATATTTATAATATTAATAATTTTTGAAATAGGTAATTGGAAGGACGAATTAATATATAATATTTTATGATTACTAAAAGATGTCTGCATTATATCTACTTGATATGTAAGCTCCTATACTTTAGATGTAGACTAATGAATAACAAATGAAGCTTTACGCTTTAGTTTCACATTACAATAGCTTTAATCAAACTTCTTAATATGTTTTAAATTAATTAGTTCAAATTGACTTGGTTTCTTACTAATAAAATACAATTATCTAGTATAATAAAATAGTAAATCAAGTTTTATGTAATCAATAATATTTAATATTGAGAAGTGGAAGTATTTTGAGTATATTTTCGTTAGCTGATTAGTCTATGAAGTAATTAAAAACAAATATAAATATAAGTTACTTTTGCTTTTTATAAGGAGAAGGAATTATTTTAATTTTAGATAATTAAAATAACATTTTTCTAACAAATCCTTCGTTCACAGGATATAACTAAATCAATTTAAACTCAAAAGAATAATTTATTATGATAAAATAGAATCTACCTTATAGCATTATTACAGTCATTTAATAAGACTAAGCAACTTAACAATAAAGCT